ATGACTAGACGTACATACTTTGAGAAGAATTACTTCAGAGAAAAATGTTCTCAAACAAGGCTGCAGTCCGTGTGTGGGCCAGGGCTAGTTTTGTCATCCATATGCTGGGCTGGGGAAGAACCTATTTCCAAACTCAGGTGATTGTTGGCAGCGGTTAGTTCCTTGCAGGTGGTCAGACTGAGGGTCTCTGTGTCTTGCTGGCTGTCAGCTGCAGGCCGTCTTTGCTCCTTACAGGTGTTGGCCGGAGGCCGCCTGCAGTTCCTTGCCAGTGGGCCTCCCCAATGTGACCTCTTGGGAAGCTACAATCTTGCGTAAAGTACTCTCCTTCTGACCCAATAGCCGCTGGTCAGAAGCAAGCCACAGGCCCCACCCACACTCAAGCAAGAAAATCAATCACTCAAGAACTCGAGAAAAAGGGGTGAGGATGGCTGGGGGGCATCTTAGCAAGTTCTGTCTCTGTCAGCCTGTTCTCTCTCCTTAGTTGGATTTGCAAAAGAAAATTTAACCAAAAGCAAAAACAAGAGTGCTAACTCTCTGTAATGCACTTGACACCTAGGGATCAGGTTACAGATTCCCTGTTCACGGAGGGAGCTGAGAATGCTAGACAGGTCACATTTGTCAAGAAAGGTTATAAGCTCTCTCTTTAATAAGGATACATTATTCAATAAGAGGATTTATCCTTTAATTTTATTAGCAAGGAAGGATTGCGGGGGGACCTCTGTACATGGGAAAGTATTTTTAAAGCTCTCCCTAAGACGGGCCAAGATACCTCCTTAAAGCAGGTTAGCGTAAAAAGAAAATTTCCTAACTTAGTTTGTCCGTGCTTGTTAGTCTGCACCTCAGCAAAGAACCAGACAGAAAGTTTCAGTACATCTTGCTTATAATTTTTAGTCCAATAATATGTAACAAATAAATATCTTCATTTAGCAACTCAATTGCTTTGACAAAGGAAAGGAAAACTTCTCTGGTAGTACTAAATATTTCCTCCAGGTTTGCTAGGGGAGCTTTCATCTCTGAGAAAGTTTTTGGCCTGTGACTCGACTCAGTTGCCGAGGGTGGCAGTTTCAGTCGAGGCTTTTCTCTTTCACTAGAGACTTCTCAATGGACCCCATGTAACAAAAACTGAAAATCTGTTTTAACGTATTAAAAGAGCCACTTTGGATATAATTTGTTTAGGAGGTAGACCATTTCATAGTGCTGGCTCCCCTTACGATGGGAGTCTTTGTTCCCACGTGAACGGAATAATAAAATGTAAAACTGTAAATGGATATAAAATGGAGGGAGAAATAAAATAAGAAAATTATGTCCTATTGAAAACAACGACAACAACATCAACAACAACAAAATCCCAGTAAGTACTAAGCAAACATTTTTGAGTTGAAATACACTTAAATGATCAGTAAATACATGTGTAGCTGACGTGGTTGGGGTTCTCAGTGAGAAATACCAGATGCGGGGGGTGGAAGGCTAGGCTTTCTGGTGGAAGAGGATGGCCAGGGACAGCCTCCTCACGTGCACGAGATGTGCGCCGCAGCAGCCGTGTAGCAGCAGGACTGGGAGCCACCGGGGCCAGAGCTCCCTGGCTGGGTCAACCCGACAGGAACACAGCTCGTGCAGCTCCTGTGTGCATTGTTAGTGAGCGTACGGGTCCGAGTCCACATACTCAAGCCTGTTTGAGGGGAAGGAGGGGGTCCTTGGAGTCCAGTTTACTTTTTTGTTGTTTGATTCTGGGCAAGAAAATGACCTTTTCCAACCTTTAGTGTCCTCGTCAATTAACGAAAAAAGGTTCATACGTTGAAAGTATGCTGTGAAAATGAAATAAGAACATAAAAAGTGTGGTGCACTTGACTCAGTGTCTCACACGTGACAAACTGTCGGTAAGTGCTGGCTGAGATTACCCTAACTACATATCTTACTTGAGTGTTCTTTTTTAATGGTATAATGGGAGCGATTAAGCATAACTCTATCTGGGTGAAAGTATTTGCTTTTAAATGATATTTTCATTTTAATATACTTGGGCAGATGACTTACTAGGTAAAACTGTTAATAAAATAATAGCATGCCCAATGCTTGACATTTGAATGAAGTATGCTTTATGCAGAGTCAACATTTTAATTGAATTAATTTCCCCAGCAGTGACTTTAAATTTTCATAGCCAGCCTCCTCAAAGTCAAATAAACATAATTGCAAAAAAGTGAAAGCAGAAATTATGAAAGTATTTGTAAATTGAAATAGACTTGTCTGGTCCTTCAACGACCGATTGAGCACCAATATGTGGATAGTGCATTCAATATGGGAGAGGCCATGATGAAGAAAAATAGTTCACCGCTCTTCAGGAACTCAGAGTGTAATGGGAAGAGAGGGACACACACAGAGATGATTTATAGTGGAAATACCTGTGCAGAGGCATGCACACAATGCCTTCCTAACGGAGGACAGGACAACTAATGCTGCCAGAGGCTGTCTGGGAAGGTTCCCCTAAAGAGACTACAGGAGCGTAGACTACGTGAGGAAGAGAGGTGGAGGCATTGGGGGCTGGATTACGAAATGCTTTGGGGATCAGTGAAGGAGTTCACATTTAATCCTACAGATTATGGGAAACTAGTCTGGGTGTACAAGGAAGGGAGTGACAGTCGATCAGCTTTGCAACAAAGGATGCTAAAGGAAACATTCCCTCTTGGTTTGCTGGCATTGTATTTAAATACTTACGTTGAGAAGCTTACCCGCGTGAAGCAAGCAGGCTCCCGGGGTCCCATGGGGGCGAGAGGACGGAAGCCTGCTCCTTGTCCCCACCACCCCACCATCTCTCATGGAGAACACAGAAGGGATGTGGGTCCAATTGTTTTTCATGTATGTTCCTTACTCATATGTAAAAATGTACCATGAAATTCTTATACATCATCCATTCTACAGGCAAAAAGACCAAGAAGAGAGCACTAGAATTCTGATTTCAAAAAAGATATCAACAATCCTCCCATCCAGATCCAATCACAGTAATTTCTGTATTGTGGAATCAAGCGTTGTCTCTCCTTTTTCTTCTCCAGGAATAAACTACCTCCTGAGAAACTTCACTGCATTTCAGAGACTTACGCAGAATACAGATGCTTGGTTTTCATGCCTGCATGCCAGCCTCTCTTTCATTTCTCTTTCATTTGTTTATTCACCCATTTAACCAACAAATATTAATTGAATGCCACAAATATTTATTGTGCGTGTAGGTACTGGTGGGAACAGGAGGAAGATAAAATAGACCTTCTGTATTCATAGAGCTTCATGTCCAGTGAGGGAGAGAAATACTAAATACGCACTCAAACAAAAGTGAAATTACTGTTGTCTCAAGGCAGCCCAGGCTTCCTTGCCTGCTGAGAGGCAGATAAGATGGGCTGAAACATCCAGACCCGTGTTCTCTGGGATCAGAAGCTCCATTCCGCATGCATCTGGGAGCCTCCCCCTTCTCTGTGATGCAACAGTCATTGTTCAGCACCCCTTTCAAAGAAGACATCCCTTGCTCAGTTTCCACTAGATGCTCATTCACACACAGCCTCTGTAAATGTGGCTGACTTTAATGAAGATTTATGGGTAATGAGCACAGGCCACAGCATAGCTGCATAACAAATGAAAGCGAAAACACATTTGGATATTCGTGGGCTAGAAGTCCATTCAACCTCTCCACTTCCTCACTAGACTTTCTTCTCTCTCCAGTACTCAGCCTTCCATCACCTCACTGGTTCCTCCTTTCTCCCCTTCTTTTCTCTCCTTTCCCTTTGCTTCCCACCCTATCATTGCTCAGAAGCCAGCAACCAACCAACAGCCGCAATAATGAACACAATGAACAATAAACAAATCCCATCCCTTTATTCTTTCATGGAGCCTGACTTCCTTTCTTCTTTCTTTCCCTCCTCCCTCCCTCCCTCCCTCCGTCCCTCCCTTCCTTCCTTCCTTCCCTCCCTCCCTCCCTCCACCTCTCTCTTTCTCTCTTCTCTTTCTTTCCCCTCCCTCCCTTCCTCCCTCCCTCTCTCTCTCTCTCTTCTTTCTTTCTTTCTTTCTTTCTTTCTTTCTTTCTTTCTTTCTTTCTTTCTTTCTTTCTTTCTTTCTTTCTTTCTTTCTTTCTTTCTTTCTTTCTTCTTTCTCCTTCTTTTTTTTTGTCAGTTGGGATCCTGAACACATTTATCCTCTTAGAGTTATACCTTCTACTCCAAAGGTTTATTTATGTATTATACTCAACAAAGATATTTTCTATCCCAAGAGAAATTTTGTTGCCAACTGTCAAGATATACAAGTATATTGTTAGTCTGGATATATCCCAAATTAGGATGCATGTTCTGATAGAAAAGTATGAGGTACAGTAAGCACAGTAGTAGAATGGGGTGGGGGACAGGATTGAAACTGAGAACACAGGGAAGGAAAGCTTCTCAGAGAAAGAATGACATTTCTGAAGACTGTTAGCTAGGAATAAAGAGTGGGGGGACAGCATTTCAAGTAGGAGGAACAACATAAGCAAAGGTCGGGAGATGGGAAGGAGCTTGGTACTGCTCTGGAAAAACTGCAGAAAGGCTGGAATGGCTAGATGCTAAGGAGGGAGGGAAGAATGAAGGGGATGAGAGCGGGGCAAAGGGGTGAGAGCAGGAGCAGATCACATGGGACCTTGTCAGCCGTGCGGCTCCAATTTTTAGGTTCCTGGTTCTTCCCTAACCAATGAAATGCCTTCATGAACTGTTTCTGTTTCTGAACCTCGAGTTTATTAATGTTCAAAACAAAAACACTTGTGCCAAAACTGGCAAACTTATACACGCACACACACAAACAAATGTTACATAAAACACCTTCCCCGAGGGCCATATTATTTGGCATTATTATGAAGTCAATCTGATAGCCACAAAGATAATTCTGGGTCAGCTGGGCAATTAGCTGAAAATTATCTTCATATTCGCTTTTCCTCCACAGGAGTCTTTCCTGCAGAGAGACCCAGAATAGGAAGCTTTTTGTGAGAGCTTAAAAAAAAATGACCTCGCCTGCCAGCAGCACATAGATTCCACATCAGTTTTCGGGATTTGTATCTGCCCAGCTGACACACCCATTCTTCCCTGAAGAGCAAGCAGCTTCTTGCTCTGCCTGATGCCTTCTTATTATCGAGGCACGGCAGGAACACCTCTAAGTCCTGTTTACCACCAGGGTAAACTGCCCTCCTCCGGCATTCTTGTAGAAAGCCATTTGGGGGCGTTGATTCAGTATGTCTGCAAGTATTTACAGGTACAGAAAGTGACATATTCTTTGTGGACACTGTGCCCACTGCTTCCTGCCGATGCTAATCTGGCCCTTAGCACTTTTCACGTCACAGTAGATACATGTATTCATGAGGATGTTCATTCTGATATTTTCTGGAAATATTTTGTTTGCTCTCCCAATTCTACCTACTCCAAGCTACCTTACTTTTCTTTTCCACTCTTAGTTTTCATCCACTAATAACCATGCTTTTTCAGCTCTCTTTTTTATTGAAAGTAATAAATTAAGACATTTATCTGCAGGTGGTTCATTTTGGCATAAAAGTTGCCACCGTACACATTAGCATGCTCACAGTGTTGAGTGTAGAGGAGTTCATTTCAGTAGCAACAACATTCAGTGACCTTAGAAAGAAAACTTTCTGCTTAAAGTTATTTGTTAGTCTTACACAATTGTAAGTTTCTATACAGTACAATACTTCAAAATTAAGATATTTTAGGGAAGTAGTATCTTCAAGGAAGGGATGTCTTCTGCGGTTCTTCCTCAAAATGAAGCCATTGGCTTTGCTGAGGCCAGCTTGCTGGAGATGCCAAGACTACAACCGGTCATCCTGTGAGTCAATGCTTATGGTGGAAGCCTGGCTACTGGTATCAGCAGTTTCATAGGATTTCTGGTCTTTGGCAAAGTTGATGAAAACCTGGTTTTTTCAAGGGAAATAAAGGCATTAGTGCTTGGTAAGCAAAAGGAAGAAATTAGGTTCACTCTCTCTCTCTCACACACACACACACACACACACACACACACGCATCCTTGCACTCACATGGCCCATAAAATCAAATAAAAATATTAAGTTTTATAGGCCATGCCAACACTTATATACACACTCTCACTAGGGGTCCTTCCTTTAGGAATTCAAATTTAATTGGAGTTTGAAAATAATACCTGTATCTATAACCATAATTACATTTATAATCATAAAAAATCCAACCTAATAATTGAACAGCTATAGCCACTTTATCTATATGATCCATATCAATATCTCTCTGAAGTATAAACAAGGAGTCCCCACTCAAGCCCTTATCAAATGCTTGTATGGTGCTGTGGAGGGGAATTTCACTCATTTCAGGAGTTAATGAATTAAAATAAAATTTGCATAGGAATTTCACATTAACTTTATGCTCAGGAAGCCAATTAGTTAACAGGCAGATCTTTATCACTTTGCTTAAATTATTAAATCTATCGGTCATCAATTCATCCAGAAAATATTGAGAGTCTGCTTTGTGCTGGACATGGTGCTGGTAGTTAGTTATAAGCCAAAGGCTAGATATTCCGTATTAGAAAAGAAATACTGGTCGAAAGCCCCTGCAGAATACCATCCATAAGGTGCAGCACCGTATATTGGCTCACAGGCCCCGGAGGCCTCACTTTCAAGCCTGTTTTAGTGAGACGTGATTAAATGCCCCATACAACAGGTTGGTTGAGCCAAACAAAATTAATGCAGTGCAAAGGATATATAGGATGCCCAAGGAAGCCTCGAGTTGCTGAACATAAATGTAATTAAGACATGACACGACTAAAACAGAAGAATTCTGCCTTTGTCACTTCGGTTTCCTGAATCTAGCTGATCTAAAACTCTGGCACCAAACTTTCTCTAGGTATCCCATCGTACTCTAACCCAGGAAGCCCATCAATAGAAATGCTGTATACGAAACCCATCAAGGAGAAAATAAGGAAAGTGTTTGGTTTTGCAGGTGAAAGTAATGTTCTGTTGCTTTACACATACATAGAACTTGATGGATACAGATATCTTGTAGAAAGGAAAAAAATCTTCTTGTGTCTGTTAAAAATAGTTACCATAATACTTTTAATATTTTTCCCTAACATCCCAAAATGTGGTTAGACATAAATGAAGCTAAATTTCTCAGGTAGAAGATTAGATAGTCCTTCAACTAAAAGCAGATGGACTGTCACTGAAAAGACAAACAGAATGTGCCATAATTAATGTGATGTTGTGCACGTGCTTACCTCTTCCAGAGTAGTCTGGCTCACTAAGAAGTTCGTGATATTTAAAGCAGCCTTGTTGGTTTCCAGCAGATCAAAAATGTTTGCTACTCCTCCTGCTGTGACTGGCACATGATACTCGAGCATGCTGAGGTGCTGATCCTGAGGGAACCAAGAGAAAAATGTATTTTGCAATGTGAGGTAACATAGACTTGACGAGTCAATACTTGAGCAAAAGCCAAGGAAAACACTGAAATTCATTCCGCTGAAAACGACACTACAGTGTAAATAATGGGTATGTTTTTGAAACTAACAGCTTGCAAAGATGAGATGAAAAGTTTTATGAATGTCAAAGAGAAAACAAATTAAAAAGGTAATGAAAATTCCAAAGCACTCTATGTTGATATGCACTTATAGAGTCATTATAGTCTTTCCTGTAAAAAATACTTCTGTGGAATAGTGTTTCAGATGTCAGATTATCCTCTCAGCTCCCATAAACTTTTTCAGAGATTACTTTCAGAAATTTCTTTTTTTTAAATGCTAGAATTCTTCCAAAAGGCCAAGAATTAGCTGCTCAATTTGTATTGGCTAAAGAGGCTAGATGTCAACAGCACTGTCTAGGAAAAATCTCATTGAAATAACACTACATTTTTTTTATAACTCAACCTAGAATTCTCTTCAATTCCTTTATGTTAGGCCATACATCTACTTAGTAATCTATTCTTATTTCCTTGGAGTATCTTTAACATGTTGCTTTTTTGCATATTTGATCAGTCATCATATCCCATATATTTTTCCTCTAAAACAACTTTCAAGTTTAACCCTTCCTCTCTGTGGGTATCGTCAATATCTTAACCTGAGACTCTTCATTCTGCATCTGAGTTACTGCAACAGCCTCTTCAGAAGCCTAGAAAGCACATACACCTATATACTGTATTTTGCCATGTATAATGCACACTTTTTGCCTAAATTTTTGAGGGGAAAATATGGATACACATTATACATGGGTAGTACTAGTTCTATATTATATAAATGTCTTTAATTCTTTTATTTATGTTCATGCATTAAAAGTGTAACTCTAGAAAGCAATAACAATATCTGTATGCAAAACAGTACCCTGGAATATGATAATCGGGTTTGTTTCTAAAATTAAATGAATACAAATTGAATTAAAAAAGTAAAATGAAAGGTTTTTTTCCTGAAAGTTTGGGCCAAAAACATTGGTATGTATTATACACAAGAGTACATTATACTCAGCAAAATACAGTATTGTCCCAAATCAGCCAGGGTAATCTTCCCAAAACAGAGTTGAGTCAGGATGTTTTCTTGCTCCATAGTCTACGCCGTGAAGCTATATGGGTTAAACCAAGACTGTGTGTTTCAGCCTGGGACTCAAGACTTCGGTTGCTGGAAAAACCTCCTCTCACATCTGTGCTCACTGGGTAGCCCCTCTCCTTGACTTATTTCCACATCACACCTGTCACTGCGGTCAGGCTCTTACTTATTTTACTCCCCAGTAGTTTTTTTTTACTATTTCCCTTCTAGATATCTAGAAACAACCACACACTTGTGAAGAATGGTCTGCTTAGGAGAACTGAGACTTTTATCATCACTGCATTTGTCTTGCATGGCCTGGTCCCATGAGAACAGACAAGGGCCAATGTGATAGAATCGCTCAGTGAATGAGCAGGACTTCAATCCAGAAAGTCACTGGAAGAAAAAGCACCATGACCAAGGCAATTTGTGCAAGGAAAGTGTCCTTTAATTTTTTAAATTTTATTTTAATTTAGGTGATAGGAAATGGGCTTTGATAAGAATCATAGAAGCTATTGCTTCCTGAAGAAGTTAGACAAAGCTTGAGAGGTTGAGGCAAAAGTATTTGGCAGAGATAAAATAATTGTTTTTTAAAAACACACTCTATTTTACCGTCTCTAACCACTTCACATCACTATGGTGCCTTAAAGAAGTATCTTTGTGGACATTTTATCATTTATTTCTCACACCAGGCTTGTGACATAGATGTCACTATTGCTATTTTATACATGAGAAAACAAGGCTCAGAGACTTTAAGTATCTTGCTGAAAATCATACAGGGAGAGCTTGACTCAACTCAAAACTTCTAATTTCTTTTCACCATTCCACAGGTGATTTCCTTTTAAAACAGTGATTGGCTATAATCACCTTGTACAAATTACCTGTACATCAAAGATGTTTTATAATGATACACTTATTTTATTTTAAGTTTGTACTATGTGACATATATGGCCATATATTCATATGTGTCCATCCGATGGAAATGTATAGGTAAGGTGAAATTAATTGAACAATGTCTCAACTGGTGTGGCTTTTAAGAACTTGATTTTCAAGCAGTCCTGCTCAAACCTTCATGGGCTTATCTTTCAGATGAGGGGAGAAAAGGAGATAATCTCTTCTGGCTGTGACATTCTGGAACTCTAATTTTTTTTTCTCAGAAGAAACATACTTGTTCATATAACTGAAATACTAATACAGTATGGTCATAAAGTCTTTGCATGGAAGAAATAAATAAAGGTATGTAAAAAACAACATTACCTTTAATAGTTACAAAAATATAACTTTTGTAACTATATTTGGAGATATTTAAAGATTCTGTTTAAAGAATAGAATAATTTGAAGTTCCAATTTTTTTATACTAAGTGTGCTTCAGAGTATCTTATGCATCTTTAACTAACAGATATATTAAGATTACTAATAAAGCTATGGTCACATTGCAAATGGCTAACATCCACTATGATACAAGACTATCAAAACCAGTCAACATGAAGAGGCAGGCTAATCTCTTACTTTTAAGTATGTTTTTGGAAAGTGCAGTTGCATGAACCTTGTGAGAGCCTCCATGCTAACTCTGGTATTCTTCACATGAACCTTGACCGTAAATCCTCGCCCAAACCTAGAAAGAAAAAGTGCAAAACACTGTAAGTTACATTTTGCTGAAATCGCTCCCCTGGGATTCTAGATAATGAAACAGGACCCAAGCTAACCATTACAGTCCTTTTCTTATATAAAGACTGTTATTTTGTCATAAAAGTTCAGGGCATGCTGCAAACTGGAAAGAGTGCACTGCCATGATTTTTTAAAAATGTATGTCTACCACTCTATAAAGTCAGGCTCTTGGGACAAAAGCTGCATTTGAAAGGAAATATAAATTCTTGGCTTCCTTTGACATCCGTGAATTGACAGTTGATGTCAATTTCTGGGATTAAACACTTCATCATTTAAAGCAAACAAGGTATCGACAGGCAAATCATTGGAGATTTGGTGTCAATGGTAATGATTGACATCACTGGGTTTTAAACATAAATTTAAAAAAATTTGTATACTAGCTAACTGTTAGCACCAAGGGTAGAGTTTGTGAATGAGTCACAACAGACTTTTTGTGAACAACACTATGAGGCTTCGTCTACTCTGTTTTCTCACCTTGGCCAATAATATTGTATAAGAAAGACAATTGTACAGATAAAGGTATAATGTCATGAAGTTTGGAGATAAATTCATATGCAGTCTGGCAAATATAAATTATTAATTTAATTGTAATTTGTTAATATGATATATATGCACATTTTCCCAATGTATCTTGATTAAAAGGTTTTGAATGTGATAAAAATGTTAAATACCTTACTGAAAGCCTGTGCAAATGGCCAGTAAATATGCTAGATAAAAAAAGCTATGCCTTCACGTACCCGTCAAGGTCTAATATGTTATTGAGTAAACTCGTGAAACTGCTTCTTGATGGTGTTTTGGTTGTGGACTAATATTTTTTACAGCTTTCAGGCCTGGTAGGTTTGGGGGTTGTTGACTAAAAAGACATATGACTCTCACTAAGATCATTTAACTTTAATCCGATTCAGTGATGAGCTTCTCCATTCCTGTTTTACTACGCATCTCGGGGTCGGCGGCTGAGGCGATCCCCTGAGGGAGAGCAGAGTGCCACTGGATGGGTCACCCTACACTGTGTGTTACACAGCGCTTTTGTTCTTCACCTGCTCTTGATGTGCTGCAGAGACCCAATGCACTGGAACCTCCCGTTCACCATAATGGCCAGCCTGGTGCAGAGAGCTTCGCATTCTTCCATGCTGAAAGACAGCACAATCACATCAGAATTCTGGGCACAGAAAATCGGGTTTCAGTTCATGAACAGGAGCTTAACTATTTCACTGTGGCACTTCACACATACTCTTGTAGTTCCTGAATATGGCTCTCCCCTTGAAGAATGAAAACCACTTTTAATATAAACTAAATGTCTTCACATAGGGCTTATTATAACTCCTCCTGAGGCCTGAGGCCATCTCTCTCACTTGGAATGCCTTCTTCATGAAGCACATTATTCTTTCAAGCTCCTTCAAGCTTTGACTCAGGCAAGACCTACATTTCCCAAGAAATGTTCCCAAACTAATACTGAGTCCTTTTCATTATGCTTCGTAATCCATACTCGGTTGATTTTTATGATTTTGTATTTAAAACTAGTTAACCTGCATGTGATTATATACTTTCTAATTTCATAGACTGTGATGACTGGAGGAATCTTTAGTATCACTCTGTCCGTTTCATCCAAAAGTTCATGATAATTAAATAAATGATTATCTCCAGAACATATAGTGGTATAGTGTGTTAGGGCAAGGTTAGCACAGAAACAAATCTCTTCATTATAAACAAATCTAATACTTTTTCTGTGATATGATAATGACCATAAAAGGATGAACTTTGTACAAGGTCACCTTATGAGAAAAGCATGGATAAAATATTCCACTAGCTTTTCTACTTCACTGACTGAAAGGGTCTCCTTCAAGAAGGAGGTCTGTGAGCTGGATTGTAAAGGACTGGTAAGCTTAGAACTTGGAGAGACTTTGTTTGTGGAAAGATCATTTCCAGGGCATGGGGGCAGGAAAGGTCAGGGAGTGTGTATGGAATCCCAAGGCACTCGGACTGGCTGATAGAAGAGGGCATCACAGGGGAACAAGGGTAGACATTTAGATAATGAAAGTCCCTGTCCACCAAGCTGAAAGATGCTGAACATGATGTGGTATGCAATGGGGAGTCAGAGCTCAGTTGTGAGGGCCCTAAATCATAAGAAATTTGGTTATAAAAAGATTCCTTAGGCCCTGCCTCACCTCAGGAGCTGGATTCTCACAGTGTAACCTGCCTGACTTGTTCCTAAGACTATAAGCATAAAATACTTTTACCTGATTCTGGACATTCATCATCAGATATATTACATGGGAATTACCTTTTCCCATTTATCATCCTAGAATGGTGCCGACTGACCTTAAAGTTCCCACACGCAGTTTACCTGTGAGATGTGAGGATGACAGAACATTTATTCTGCACTTCTTCTGAAATGATCTTCCAGAGGTGCCGTTTCGACTTAGGGTCCATCCCAGAACTCGGCTCATCCTTAGTAGAAAGTTGCAAGAAAAATGTATCAAATTAATTAATCTCTGACAAGCTTCTTAACATAAATCACGACATCTCCCTTCCCTAGATAGAAATCGCTTTGCAAAGCCCTGTGACTGACTTGTTTTATACTTAATAGACTCCTTTCTGCTGCTGTCAAAAAGCTCAGAATCAATCATTTAAAATTGTCAATCTGTTTTAAAAAGTGTCTCATTGAAGCTGACATCCTGTTACTTTACACTTGTGTCATATTTCTCCGGAAAAAATTCTGCTTCAATTACTGACAAAGCAGAGTTTTTACAGTTAATGCTGCATTGTCACATATGTATTTGAAGCTACGGCAACAAGATAGCAGACCCGTGGCTGTGGGTGATAATCCGCCGCGTGAAGTGGAAAGAACACAATTTGATTATTCAGTTAATATAGTTGACGGGGACTTTTAGTTTTATGTCATTAATTGAAATTTCATACTCCTTGGGGAAATAAGCATGAGATTTACAGAAACTACCAAGTAGAAAGATGCAAATTATATTTCGAAAGTAAATGATGTCTCAAAAATTGTTCAGACATAAAATTAAAAATGTAGCAATGGATAATCTAAGCAAGCAATAATAGGTCCTAATAGATGATTAAACAAGCAAATTGGGGGTCAAGATTAGGTAAAAATTAAAAATATGTATCTGTAATGGAAAGTATTATATGGGATCACCAGAGGCTTGTTTTTATTGTAAGGGCTTAAAATTAAATTTAAAGAAAGAAATGAGTGGTAATATGGGGAAACAGAAAAGGTTATACTGTTACAGATTCTCTTTTTGAAGATGATAGCGTATGTAGCAAACACATATAAAACAAAATAATGATATCTTTACTGAAATAGCCTGTATTTCAGTGAGGCTGATTAACATATAACATTTGCATAGCACTTGTAACTTTTTGAAGTACTTTACATCTGTTATCTCACAGGAGTGCCTAAGGATTTTGTTCAATTTAAGGGACACTTACACAATAAAATTCCATTACAAGCATCGATTGGCAGGGATATAACACATTACAAGCTGGTATTATAGAAAGATGGGCTGTGCATCACTCTATCTGGGCTGTTTACATGAATTGATCCTCTGCATGGCTTAATCTCTGGAATAATGTGTGATTTATAAGTGGATTTTTATTGCATACAGTTAAGGCTCTTTTGGAGTTAGACGAAGGGGATCTCCCAAAATAAGGGCAAGCTTATTTCTCTGAAATAAACACTTTTACAATAGTTGACCTGGGGGAAGAGCGTTACCCCTGTGTTTAATTTACATTTCCAGGTGATCAGTTTAATTTTCTAACTCCCGCCTTAAAAAAAATTCAGATAAAATGATAGATAACTGATCAGCTCCCAAGTTCGGCAGCTCATTGTTTCAAGTAACAAGGGCATAAAATTTTAGCACAACACGTCTTTTTAAAATGTGTCTTTCCTCCCTTCTGGAAGTTTAAAAACACGCTGGCTCACCTGATTCGTTACCAATAGAGCTGCTTTCTGCTGTAACTGGGAATCACATTCTACCTTATTCCCTTCCTGGCTCATTTGCATGCCCTGAATTTGTTTCATCGACTTCCCACTCCCAGCCAAGTGTTTCCTCTGGAACCTACTGCAGCGCAGGCTCCAGATAGAAACACTTTGGGGGACCCATTGTTGTGGCAACACATTATTTGCTGATGTAAATTCCTTTAATGAGATAATACAGGGAAAATGCTTTGCAAAATCACCAGCACATCATCGTGAGCTCGTTAGCGATATTTATTCCAATAATGAGAATGAAATGTTACACCCACAGCTGGGTGGGTGGCTCCAATCCCCACAGCAGCCTGGGTCACCATGGCGCTCTTACCAGCAGCAGGATGGAAGGCTTCCCTATCAAGGCCAGCGCGGTGGACAGCTTTCTTTTCGTGCCGTAGCTGCACATGGAGGTAGGTCTGTCCTTGTAGGGCATCAGGTGAAGTCTCCACAGGAGTTTATGAACCGTCTGTGGGGCGGAAAAGAGCGTTAGGTCGACCTTCTTCTGCCAGAACCCTTAAAGCACTGAACAAAAACGAGCGTAAAAGCTGTTTGTGAAAAGAAAGTTTTCCAGTGAAGAGATACCTAAAAAATTCAAACACTTAACATATATTTTACTTTTATGTCCACAGGTCCACTTAAAATGAATAGTCATCTAAGAGACAAAAGCGGGTCTGTGGAGGCTCGTTTTCAAGCAGGATTTCCCCCCAAAAGGTGCGTGCGTGTGAGTGTGTGTGTGTGTTTGTGTTTACAGCTGCGGATGGTTCTTTCTGCTGTGTTACCACAGGGTTTCCTTGTGATGTGTAAACGCTAAAACAGAAACCAGCCTTTCTCAGGGCAGGTTTCCCATTGATTGTCCGCCCTGTTTCATCTTTCTTCCTACTGAGGGGCGAGTGATTACAAAGCCTTTAAGCCTTTTTCAAACTGACCCAGTATCAGAATTTTAGCCCATGAACTGAGACACAATGAGTGCTTGGGGCTATTTTTGTACTTTAATAGCCCTGGCAAACGGAGGAATCCTAAGGGGGATTTCAACAGTTCCCTGGGGTGGCAAAAATAGAGGAAACTACCCTAAGAGTTAACCATTCCATTACAAAAGCAAACAATTTTGGGGAAGTACAAAGCCACATTTGAAAAATCAAATTGGAAGTTATTCTATCTTACTTGGGCATTTTGTAGTTACTTCCATGTATCAATACTTCTCTGGACTCAAAAGGGTGTGCAGGCATCACCAGCCAATGCTCCACCCACAGCCAAGGTGAGTGCGATCCTTTATCGGATACTCCTTAAAAAGTAACTGAGCACACCCCCCTGAGCCACTTCTCCAGCTGAGCTCATAGGTGTGAATACGATACACGCTATCAAGCTAATACTGTGTCCACTGTCATTGTCAGGAGGAAATGTCACAGCTTTGCAGATGTCAACTTGATCTTGAGGGTGGACAGGTGGGAAGCAGAAACACTATGGTATTCAAATAACCTAGGTTGCTCCACTTATACTCACCTCTTTAATATCTTTCTCTGGAATTCCGTGTACCCTGGCATAAAAATACAAATGTTCTTCCACAGTTAATAGGTCATCTAAGGCATCTTCCTGAGGACAGTAGCCAACGAGGGAGCTGTGAGAGTCCACGTGAGCCAGAGATCTAAATTGGGAGAATCAAAAACACAGATGAGCTTCAAAAGGTGTTTCCCTCCCTGTCCCCTAACGATGGGAAGGCAGCTCTATTTTGGTCATGGTGACTGGTGATAAAAAGAGGTAAAATAATCCCACCATCACAGCCACACTTGAAGTTTTAAAAACCTCTGCTTGCTGGAATAGCTGTTTCTTTTTTTTTACCCTGAGGTTTTAATAATGTAACCCTATAATAACATAAATGATCTTTAATTATTTTTCTCATTCAATTATATTGCTCTGGGTACATTAAAGCGTTTGTTTTGCATACCCAGCCTTATTTCTGATCAGAATGTTTCCGCTTGAAGGAATGATGTCTCCAGTCAGCATCTTGAAGATTGTGGTCTTTCCTGCTCCATTCACCCCGAGAAGGCCGAAGCACTGGTTAGTGGGAGGAAAAATAAAAGATGTAAACCTCGATTCAAACCAAAGACATGTTATTGTTGTGTCTCTTTCCTCCCTTTCCTTGGGTCAAATAAACTACCGAGAAAAATAAATCACTGGAAACAGTCATGGGTATTGTACTGCTCAGTTGGCATTTGATAAAACTCTTTAGTTTAAAAGAAAAGGGTGCTAAATTGTTAGTTGCAGAGTGGTCACTGGGATGTAAAGTATAGCGAAGGGAATATAGTTAGTAATCTTGTAATAGCTATGTATGGTGCCAGGTGGGTACGAGGTCGATCAGGGTGGTCACTTCATAAGTTATATAAAGGTCTAATGACTGAGTTGTACACATGAAACTAATCTACCGTATGCCAAATATAATTGAAGCAATTTTAAAACACATGGGTACTTATGTATCTTTTTCCTCTTTTCCCTTTATACATTTGTGTGACATGATAAAATACCCAGGTAGGGTATGCTAACCTGACAAAGTCATTGTACTGACAGAATTCACATTAGTCACACAAACTTTAATCACAACTTCACTAAAAAAGCTACTGAAGCAATCATTTCTATATACTGCTGAATAAATTTGATACATTTACTTCGCAACTAAGGGAAAGGCCCACATTCTCTTTCTCCTTTCCAAGCTGCCTTAATATTCCTTCTATGAATAAACGTGGATGCAGTCCTGGTACCTGCCTTCTGACAACTGATTTCTTCATGCTCTCCTGTGAAGAGGCCTGGAAACCAGAAGTTGAAGATAGCACCCTCCCCAGGCTGCTTGCCTGCCAGCCTGCCCCAGGAGGGCAGTAACTTGGGGGGGTGCTCAGAACTTGGTGTATGATAAATCCTCTTTACCAAGAGGGAAGATTTTTAGGGTGAGTAACACTTGGACCTGTGTACATCTTATATAGTGAATCCATCAAAAGATTCAGAAGCTGACTTTCATGTTTTTAGAAAAAAGATTCAGGAAAGATAAAGATTTGTACTTGTCACTGTCACGCCAATAGGGAGGGCAGTCAGACACAAAACATGGCTCCTCACCTCCCCAGCGGGGATGCCAATGCTGATGTTGTTCACAGCGATGATCTTCTTGTGGATGAGTTGGTAGGTCTTCGTGAGACGGTGGAGCTGGACCAGGTCTGAGTCGTCAGCACCGTTCTCGACTCTTAACCTCTCAGCCCGCACATCCTCATCTTCATCCATTGTCTCGATCACAGGTGAAGAACTGAATTTTCGGAAGAAGAGTCTGAAAAATGAACCCAGTGATTTGCATCGATGAGTTTGAAATGGCACCATTCAATTCTGACATGTTTTAATGGGTTCTCACTTCACTAAAAGTGTGCTATCCCATACTCGATTTGTTTTAAATTTGTTATACATTATGATTCTCAAATAACTTAAAAATTAGTATAAGTGCAAAAAAATAGTATAAAGTGCTTCTCACCCTATTCATTATACAATCTGAAAAGCGGCTTTTGCTCTCCAAGCCGTGAACGCCTACAGATTCACTGTTACAAATCAGATCCCTAATTTTAGTAACAAGGAGGTCAGTCTGGGTTTGAAATTTACTCCTTAACACACACCAGAATCATTAATAAGACTCAACACTTACAATTCTACAAGCAGTGATCCCCTTTTTAAAAATCCTATTTCTTCTTTTATCATCAATAATATGAATGTTATTCTATTATCCTTTGACTCTGAATGCCTTATCTAGGATCAATGCAATATGTTAAGGTTATCAGGCCTGAAAACTCACTAGGTTTAAAACTCACTTCAGGATCGTGCTTAACAAATACCAAAGCAAACCAAACAAAATGAAGTTTAAAAAACCCAACTAATCAGTTTAGATCTTCTTCCCAATGTTCCTGTGTATTTGAATGATATCCTCACAGACTCCAATTAATGGTGCTTTCTTTGAATCTTCTTCATTCCAAAGTCCACTCATGCAGTCAGGCTGCTGGCACCAGAAATGCCTTATCATACCCAGCCATTGCCGCCAATCATTTTCTGTCTATTTTTGTTACCATGATAAGCTTTTACTCTTTCTCACCTAGATTTTTCCGGGAACCTCACATTACTCCAGTGTCTCTGACTCTTGCCTTCCAATCTGCACTACCTCTACAAAATCACACTTCCAGGGCACCGTTTGATTAAGTTGCTCTCTATTCAAAAACCTTTAATGGGCTGTTTGTTGAACGAAGTCCAAACCATATCTCTTTGACCAAGCATTCAATAAACTCCATAATCTCCCAGCCACACACTCTAGCTCTTATTTCACTGCATTTGTTCTGTTCTAAACAAACGGCATTACTCATTTCTTAAATATGCCCCAACATTTCTTTCTTTTGTTGCCCTTGTCATTCCTTTCATTATTATTAACTTAAGTTTTGTTTTTGGATAGGTGATATGTGTACCTCATGTATCAAAATTAAAATTAAAATGGTACTAAAGAACATACAGTGAAAATTAAAACTCCTTCAACCATATACAGTTCTCTTCAGCACAGGTACAAATAATTAGATAGTGTATGCATATATTTGCATAAATAACATATTTCTTTTCTACCTCAAATGGTAATATACTTTACACATAGTTCTAACCCCTGCATTTTTCACTTAATAAATATTAGAAGTAATCCCAAATATTACACAAATAACTGCATCATTCTGTCTAATGATTGCATGGCATTTAAGTTATGAATATATGTATATAATTTATTTAACCAGTCCATAAATAAAGAACATTTAGATTGTTTTCATTCTTCTGCTATTAGGAAATGCTTGCTATAATGAATAATTTTATACATACATAATGCCACATATTTAGGAGCATATCTGTGGTAAAAAAAGTTCCTGGAAATGGAATTGCTGGGTTAATGATCAGTGCATTTATGATTCTGTCCTCAATATTTCAATGTTCTTTTTCCAAATCTATTTCTAATATGCTACATACTCAATCTTCTTTCCCCATTTTTATTTTCTGTTCTTCCAAACCCAAGCAACATAAGCAGATTGCATTGTTCGTTTATGTACACATTTCTCTCCAGTACTCAGTCTTAAGCTCTTTAATACTCACAATTGTGCTTAACGTTACTCTCTAGTCTACAGCAATAGTTGCAGACACATAGTAAGATCTGATAACTATTTTTTTGGTGAAATGAATGGTAAATCATACTACAATTTTTGAAAACGTTTTTTGAGCAAAACATTTCTATACTAATGGAAAAGTTTAGATAGATTGACCCCTCCCTGAATATTTTGAGTTGAGTTTTGTCATGGATGTCAAATACTATGTATTTACCTGAATTGCTTTATTAGCCATTCATTGATTAAAAGTCGTAAGAAAAAAAACATCGTGCCCTGAGAAACCAAAGCCACAAACATTGCACCTAGTTTATCCATCTCAAAGGTTTCACTTGGATATTCCACACCGTATGCTTTTAAGAAGTCGAGAACTGACTGTTGTTGAGAAAGTTCAATCAATCCGTAGCCAAAACAGAACTGCGGGAAAATCAGGAAAATCCGCTTGAGGGTTTCCGAAATAAGTTCTAAAGTCTGAAATAAGAGAAAAATGAAGCTCAGTGTTAGACTTCCAACCAAGTGACACAAACTTAAAACTAGATGTAGACAAATGTTGGAACCTGAGAAGTTTACCTAGATTGGCAATTACTTCACATATATGCTGAATTTGCTTATAAATATTTATTGCAACCAAATAAATGGTGGGAATTCATTCCTAAAGTACAAGCAGAAAGAATTACATTTTTCCTGAGATGATTTAAGGTATCAGGCCAAACCCTGAAGACCGAATCACTTCTGGGCCTGTTTTAATGGTAGGAATGCAGGAACAGCCAAGGTGGTGGAGTCTGACAGGGTATCAGTAGGTGTCTGAGTAGAGGAATTTAGAAAAGTACAGTTTCAGAACCTAAGGTTATTTCTATTTGAAGAGGGACTAAGATGGTGAAATGAGATGGAAGGAGAGAGCAACCCATCTTAATGGGAAGCAAATGGCTCATTTTCACATTATTCACACTTGGGGCCAACCGTGCACATCTCATGAATTTTTTCCTTCCTCCTGGAGTGTGCTTGTTTTTTCCTTGGTTCACTTCATTTCCTCTCTATTTTTCCATTCAATTGCCTGGCACTGTTAGTGCTTCCTTTCTCACTAATCATAATTGTCAGCTCTGAATAGAAAGTGATGCTTACAATAAAGTAGTCTTCAACACATGATTGAAAGGGAATGAATTAGGATACTTTTTCCGTGAATGTTGAAATGAATCTTAATCCATAGTCATATAACTAATCCATTGTCCTCGTCACTACTACACCATAACAATTTGTTAATGAGTAAAGAGTTTAGCTGCCCAATTGATTGCATGATTTTTGTTGTGCCATACAATATACCTGATTGCACCCCATCACCCCACTCGAGCCCTATCATACGTCAATAGTTTTGCCACTAGGTGCCTGCAATCATAGTGGTTAACCTAGATGGAGCCTAAAAAACATTTTAAAGGCTGTAGTTTTCCTCTACTAAACTTAAGAGAATCTAATGAAATTCCTCTTTTCCATTTAGAGAATGCAAGATACCGAAAATCTTTCCACTTTAGACGTACTGAAGAATTTGAGACATCCACTGAAGTTTAGCAGACTAATAAAGGACCTTACCGGATCATTAAGCTTTTCCTTGGACAGAAAGTACACCACTGACAAGGAAACAATGGAATTGATGCCAAAGAAAAGGTTGATGCAGACGTAAGTGATGAAAGCCATTCCTGTCTCACGGAAGAGCCCAGCCAGCAAGTACATCCAAGAAAATGTGGCATACCTGCATGTTAATAATACTGAGAGTTAAAATTATGCACTCGCTGTTATCCTTTATTAAATGCATGCATACATCAAACATACATCTATACATACATACATACTTAGATGGGGTTCCATTGTGAAAATAAACATTAAGAATGATGTAGCTAGATGCCTCTTTTTTTTCCTACTCTCTTTAACAACAAAAAATTCCAAAGGATGTGTTAAAAATGACAATAAGAATCCTCTCTTTAAAGGAAACTTGAGCAGGCCTACATCATTATAATTTCAAATTAATTCCTCCTAGAGATGGTATTACATGCCCCCCCAAGCAAGAATTTATTTTTCTTTTCAGAAATATGGATTTAATCAATATAAATCTTACAATTTAAAGTTGAGGGAAATAATGGTATTATAGCAAGCGAGCTACGCAGTCAAGGTATGCTTAGAAGCTGCCTGTCTGGTTTTGAGCAAATACTTGAGCAATCTTTGGGGTAATGAAGTAGAACTAGAGACAGAGAGATCCCTCATCAGCTGCAATTGCTAACTGAATGGATAGAACCATGCATTCAGGCGAGAATGAAGTGCTACTTTAAGCATGGATTGTATCAATCTGTATTGCTTATATTAACCTAATATAGAAACAACATTATGTGTGTAGTTTAGACATCTAAAGCCTCCATTTTTTATGAAAATTAAATTACATATGTAAATAGTTAAGCATGACAGTTGGTACCTAGTAAGCGTTCATCAATGAATAGCTGATATTACTCTTAATGACAACATTGACTTTCAGAAGTATTGTACTTTACAAACTATAAACTAGCAAGAATGATGTATTGTTAGACATCACTCAGGGCTAATGAAAACCCAAGGCAGTTGTGAGTTAGCTAGTGAGATTTGGGTTCAGCTTGTGCCTAGGAGAGTTTTATTCTGTTGGTTCTTCTTGCACTGCAGCTTACCCAAACAGCAAGAGCAGGAGAGATACAGCGCCTAGGTTGTTTCCACTGTAGAAAGCAGGTAACTTGAAAACGGCAATGACACCGATTGAAAATGCCACGGGCACCAAATAGAAGACCTATAAGAATATGTAAACCAATGTTCAATATATAGCAAGGATGTTTAAAGAAAAATCAATAGGCCATCTAGTTTAAAACTGTAACAAGTTGACCTGGAAATATTTGAAGGAATGCATTTTTACTTATGTTCCTGTTGCTTGTAACATTCAGCTTATTTTACATTGATTTCACTCTAGAAGTTGTCTCCTGCGGTAGGAGGTCAAGCCAGCCTTCATCTGTACAGGTATACACGGAGTCCCTAGCGTTTCTGCCTCCAGGCTTGGAGACTTTGAAGGATTTGGTGCCAGAGGTTCAGTGACAAAGAAAAGACAGCCAGGTATCCTGGCATTAGGTTCAGCCCTCAAAGAATTTATTTCATTTTGAACGCTGGAACTCTCTCAGATGGCTGATTTCTAAGGCTTGGTTATCAGTGTGAGCCAGTCTGCCAAATAGCAGAGCAGCGGGGCCCACACATTCTTGGAATCACAGGCATGCGAACAAAGAACTCAGTGTTTAGAGTTTACAGCAGGATGCTCGTGATAAAAGAGTTGATCATTTCATTTCGGTGTGGGTGGGAGGGATCTCCTAAGCAGGAGTGAGAGCCAGATATATGACAACAGAATCTAAACAGTAGCTCTTCACAGAAGTGTGTACACTTGGAGGCTTTCTTAACATTACACCTCCTATTAAGTCCAGAGGAGTAATTACTATTCTTTTAGATTTGACTTCTACAGCAAATGCATTTCAGGCCTCACTGGATACATTCACAAAATAGATAGGCATTTAATTGTTCTCCAATCCTTTAAGCCAATGATCATTACGGCAACCCAGACAATTTCACCAAAATCACCAGGCCCATTTAGAGTTATTAAAAAACAAAAACAAAAACAAAAAAACCCATGAACTCTGGGACCATTTTATGCAAGTGAGAGAGCTATCAATAACATTCATCTTTTATTGTTCTTACTAATCTTTTTCAATGTGTCATTCAGCAAGGGCTGTTACTTCAAACTTTTCACAATTAACTGCTAAAATTTTTACAACCTTGATTATTGGGTATTCTGTGAAACTTCTGTTTCTCCACGGCAGTGGTTCTCAAACTTCAGCGAGCATAAAACAACCTGAAGAACTGTATTAAAAGTGCATATTTTCCAGGTCTGTTTCCAAGACAGGGATCTAATAGGTTTGGAGTGGGGCCCAGAAATCTACATTGGACAAGCGTCCTGGGGGATCTAGTCCAGGTGGTCCTCCGACCATGGAGATGAGGGCAGGTGGATTTTTCTGCGACCCTGAAATAAAGATAGCTCTAGCACATTATCCAACCATGGGATGAATAAGCCGAATGCAAAGTATTTTTTTCTTTATTTACTTAGGTTATGGTAACAATCTGAACACACTAGCTTAAATAAATCTCAAATATAAAACTGATGTCTCCTACTCGAATCAATCCCATCTTCCTGCAAATCCACAAGCTACTCACCATGTCAAAAATGAAGTTTGTGACCCAGTAGCATGTCACGCCGATGCCTGAAATATGCTGCAGCTGCTTGGCCTTCGTCTGATGCTCCCTCACAACATAGGTGACAAAGCTGGCCGTGGTGACAGAGTAGCCCATCAGGATGGAGAGTGCCACTAAAATATCGATTAAGCTGCTCATTCTATAGTGAGCAATAGGGAGAAGAAAGCACACATAAGTTTTGGGAACTCTTTTCCTTTCAAGGAGATTCATGACTAAACCATCAACAAAACGGTCTAAGGGTTGGCTGGGACACAAATAAGTCTCCCTGCAAGGCAGCCAGATAATATCTCCTGCATGACTCGGCTGTGACCCTGGAATAAATGTAACTCTAGCGCATCTGAATTGACTGGGGATATTCGACAGCAAAAACCTCAGCCTCCAAGGGTTACAGGATGCATCAAGGGATGTATAGTTCCTGAGCACAGAAATACTGCTTAAATGTTATGCAGGGAAATTGAGACGATGAAGCACTCAGGCACTCGACTTACAAAAGCAGCAGATTCTGTGAATCTATATCAAGTTCAACTTGGCACTCCCACTGTACGCTCTTTCAGAAATGTCCTTTTATCCCAGTCAGTGAGTTATATTACACCAGCTTTTCAAGATTGACATTCATTCAGATACAACTGTGATTCCCAATTACAGGACTTGATGCAGAGGCTGGACTCTGCCAAGGAGGAAGCAGTCATGCCGTATATATGTACTCACGTGGCTTGTTCTTGGTCTTGCACTCCTGGGTAAGGGTGACTATACATGATGATACCTTAAAGCAGAGACAGTTCTTTTCATTAGCAGGTACTGAGTACTTCAGAAGTATCAATTTTTAGAGAATAACACACGATACTTTTTTTTCCTATGCTATGATCTCAAAAATTTTACTTTGGGGACACACTTTTAAAGGAAACTACTTTTCTTCCAATCTCATCAATGCCATACATTTGGAGACACATAAAAAGAAAAAAAAAGTTTTCAGACTCTGTATAGAATTTTGAGGGAAGGGGCAAGAATTTACATGTCTTATATAGCATTGTTCCTTTCTGTTATATTCAAGTAATTGTTTTCTACATTCTTCTCTCTATCTGCTGTACTTCAGAAATGTGTGGCATGCAAAGAAGCAACTAAAGGGAGGCCAATTACATGAGGATCTCCTGAAGAACAGCCACTCATCATCCCCATGCTTCTTCATTGTGCTATTGGCTGTGCTAGGAAACACATTCCTCAGAGGATCCCTCCTACTCTTTAACTACACTATTTCTACGGTGCCTATTGTTCTAGAATTCTCCAACCCATGGCTTGGAGCTTCAGCCATGCCAAGGGATTTTCACTAAAATATAGAGATCAAGGAAGATTCAGAGAGACTCGCTGATTTCAGAAAAGTAGTCACTTAATCCCAACATGGTCCTAAATTATTGGGGCCTCCCACAGTTAGTGTCACTTCCTGAGTTAGAAGGAAGCTTTTCTCCTCTTCTTCCTTAGAAGATGTTGGTTAGCCAGCATCAGAATGGGCTGGCAACAGTTTCCCTAAGGACCACAGTGTGAAGGCAAAGTTTATACTTTGGAAAAGAATGGTAAGGAATGGAAGGAAGATATTCCTTAAATACTTGTTCCTAGAGCCATTAGCTGAGGGAGAACTTCCTTACCTATTGCTCATATAGCATATGTTTCATTATACAGGGTCCAGCACAAATAATGCCCCATTTTTATTACAAAATAATTTATTACAAAATCATAAGCATGTAATTCTGTAACATAATAATATCACACTCAAGCACACCATATGACATTTTAGGTGAAATTTTCAAATTAAAACCACAAATTATTACACCCATATTATTACCACTACCAACCACATTCAAGCAGGCCTTACTTCTCCCGGACCCTGCATTAGTGTATGAAGGCCCCTCCCTTCACAACACCCAAATGTTAGAGAATTATTCTAAAGTTCTACTCTCTCAATTAGCTTAAATTTCCATTTTTTTCATTAAATAGACTGTGACATACTTTGAAGTTGAATTCTTCAATTGTAATATATTAAAGAAAAAAGTATGTAGTTGAAGTAAAACAAACTAATAGTAATAATAACCAGTTTGGGCTAGAATTTTAATAACATCATTGGGGAACAAACTTTCTTATCTATTTTTTGGTAAATTAATGGGATCTCCTTTTACAGAGATTCAATATTTCTTTGGGACCCTACATAAACCTAGTTGATGCCTTATAATATACATAGGGGAACAACATTTTTAAAAATTTCTGCTTTGTGTTTTAGAATCAAGAAACACTCTATTTCACTACAGGAATCTCTGCAAAGATGTGTAATCCACTACAAAAGATGGTGCCAAACCAATTGTTTTCATACATGTCTTTAGCTGATAAATCAAGTAAATGTGTCAGGGTTAAAGATCAATGTAAAAATCTTCCCTGTGGTTCTCCAGCATCCAGCATAATGTTTTCAGGACAGTGATTATTCAATGAATGCTTATTAAATTTAGTCTATCTTCAAAAAGAAGATAAAAAATATGAACAGTAAAATGACAGCAAACCCACAATTATTAATGACCGCACCTAAAACAAAAACAAAAGCAAACAACTAGAACAGGAACAGGACTACAGAAATGGAGATCACATGGAGGGTTAGCAACAAGGGAATGGGAGGGGGAGAGAAGGGGAAAAGGTACAGAGAATAAGTAGCATAGATGGCAGGCAGAAAATAGGGTGGGGGAAAGAACAGTATGGGAAATGTAGAAGCCAAAGAACTTGTATGTATGATCCATGGACATGAACTAAAGCGGGGGAATGTGGGTGGGAGAAGGTGTGCAGGGTGGAGGGGAGTGAAGTCAGGGGGAATGGAACAACTGTAATAGCATAATCAATAAAACATATTTTAAAAATTTAGTCTATCTTAAATTTTCAATTATTTCCCCCACATACAACATGTATTAAAAGTAACACATTTGATGCTGTCTCTACAGTTGTGAATCTAAAATGAGACACTTCCCATTGACCATTGTACTATTGCAATAAAGGGGAAGGATAAACACTAGGGGGCAAGAACAATGCATCAGTTATTTTGAAAAAGAGCCTCATTTTATAACATTTGTTGGTGAAAACAAGCAAACCTATTCTTTGGGAAGCAAGAACAGAATTTTCCTGTGTAATTAACCATGAAGGGAAACCACATGAATATAATAGATATTGACATTATAAAGAAAAGCTAATTAAAAGATTTTTAATAGCATGTGAGAATTCAAAGAAAATCAATTTTACAGCTAAAGCAAAAACTCCAGTTTGTGTAGAATCCAAGAAAAAAATGCTTTACAACACCTAGTATAGTTGGGGGTGGGTGGGTGGCAGGAGACGAGTTGCATTGATTTTTAAAGACAGTATTGCTGTGGTAGACCTCAACTATGCATCACAAAATAACAAGGGTATTGGGGTGACATGGATTTTGTTCTTTTTTTTTAAGATTTTATTTATTTATTTTTAGAGAGGGAAGGGAGGGAAAGAGAGAGAGAGAGAGAGAGAGAGAGAGAGAGAGAAACATCAATGTGCGGTTACTGGGGGTTATGGCCTGCAACCCAGGCATGTACCCTGGCTGGGAATCGAACCTGGGACACTTTGGTTCCCAGCCCGCACTCAGTCCACTGAGCTATGCCAGCCAGGGCTGGATTTTGTTCTTTTAAAGAAATCGAACTCTTTCCAGAGAAGGAGGAAGGTTACCACTTTCATAAGTCTAAGAAAAGTTAATTAAAACAATAGAAGACATACTACTATTAATCTCTATATAATTCATGCTAAGCCTTGTTTTTAAATTAAAAATAAATATAAACTTCCTTTTGGGGTCAGTATGAATGTATGTTCCACAATTCTTAATTCTTTATACTCAACTTAAAAAATACAATGGTGGGAGCCAGAACTAGCCTGTGCGGTCCAGTGATTCCCATTGCTTTGGTCTTGGTAAAGAGCACTAGTAATAAATGAACTCTGAATGCAGGTGGCAATAGGTGACCTTTCAAAAGTGGAACTGGTCTCTTGTTCTCACTTACATACCTCGGCTACATTTTCCCTTAGTAATTTCTATAGTTTTTGCACTTCCATACCTGTTCCAGCAACAAATAAATGTCTTTCACTCTGAATGAGACATCCTACTGAAGGTCAAGTGTTCAGTAGTCTTTCAAACCAGGTCATTCCAGATTCACCTGGCTTTGGTCACCATTTAACTTAATTTACCACTTTTGACTTTGCCCTTTACTGATGTTCTAGATCAGGACTCTATCAATCTTGTTGTCTCTTTATGGTTTCTCCTGCTGGGAAAATACCAAAGCAGTTGGGAGAAAAATGCTGTTTCTCTGAAATACAGATTCCAAGAGATCCTGTTCCTAGAATGCCTGTTGGACCCCACAGTTTACTGGTACAGTCACCAGAACATCCAGCGTACACCATTATGCCCAACGGCAGGGAGATGAAGAAAACTGGCCCCAGCATTTCTCAAAGACTTGCCGTGTCTTTTCTTTCTATGTAATAGGTTATTTGTTAGCTTATCTACCAGGCTAGAGACTCAGCCTTGGCCAGCAGATATGTTACTTAGTTTTTTTCATCTTCATTGTTATTTTTTTAGGATCAGTATGGCAAAATAATTTGAGCAAGACTTAAGAAGAAAAAAATGACCTGAATGACAATAACTGAATTAGAAAACAGTAAATCAGTCTCTTTCAAATTATAGACTCTATTTTAAAACTATGTGGAAGTCTCTTGGGAAATCGAACTGAAGTAGAACTGGCTGAGTATAGGGAAGCAGCAGAAAAGTGAAGAGTCAAGAGTCAGATAGACACGGTTTCGAATCCCACTCCTGACAAATAGTGGTAGAGAACAATAACACTCATCCCGAAAGGGTGCCTGTGAGGATTCTCAACACTACATAGAAAGCATGTGTCATATGGTAAGTGCTTAATTGATGGTAACACTTTGGTCAAGTACAGAACTTTTTAGTGTAAAAGTTTTGTCTTCATGTTTAGATTTGTGTTCAATACTTATTGACATTGTTTTTTATTTTTTAGCCTATGCATGAATAAATAGTTATAAAATATTTTCCTACGAAATATAACTAGCAGGTAGGAGAACAGAAATAAGCATGAAGTAAGCGTTACTATCCTGAATTAATAAATAAGGGAACTAAATTAACCTGAAGTTAAGGGGATTATCCCAAATCTTCCAGCTGGTGGTAGTTTGGAAGTAGCAATTTCTAAACTCCTTTTAAAGATCTGAGATTTAGGTACCATGAAATACCTCCCACTGGGAAGCGTGGGATCTAATGTGAATTTTCATATGGACGGTGGCAAACGTTGCAAGGCAAGAAGCTCTGTGTAAGTAACTTTACCGTGTCGGGCAGCATCATATTCTGACATGTTAACTCGCAGGAGGAAATTATTCAGGCTGTTGAGGTAAGCTGGAAGGGAGTGATAGCCTTCTGGATCATACCACACCTGTGCAGTTCCAAAAGAGGGCAAGGTTAGAACTGTGTGCAAGTAAATGAGGCAGTTTTTACATCTGACTGCCTATAGAATTTATATTTAAAATAAGAGTACCTGTGCCCAATAGCTTATTTCACCTTGGAAGATTATGAACCACCTCCCCAGAGTGTAGACTACAGACTTCTAAGTTTCTAACTTAAACAGAAATTTAGACAGACAGACAGAAACTGGGAAAATAATTTCTTTTGGTATGATAGCTGCAAGTTATTAGTTGTCCCGATCTGCTCTGTAGGCAAAGCCTTAAATAAACTAGAGAACGTGTTATTATCTCCATCTCCACGGCTGGCCTATAGTGATTCTCAGACTAAAACAGAGGCATTCTGGCTCTTAAAAATTATAATAGAAACAAATGACATGTATGCCAGGCTGTAGAACAAAATTAAATACCTTGATAAACATTGTTTCCTTAGCAATAAGATTGATAATCTTGAAATCCCCCTACTAACTATTCCTAATGATAAGCCTCAAAAAAGTGAGTTACTTTACTTTTTTGTGGATAGCAGAGGGATTTAAAATACTGGGGGGGGGCCTTAATTCAAGAAACCCCATTGATAACTTAAAATTACAAATCTGATTTATAGAGAAATTACTTAATGTTAGAACTGCTTTGTTTGTACAAGAATATTTACTCTGTGTGTTGAGGGAGGGGGGAAGGAACAAATATTCCGTCCTACTACTTTCTCTACGACTTATGAAATCAGCGCAATGCCTATCTCAGGAGGGTATTGTAAGGATGAAATGAGGTAGTTTGTGTAACAGGTGATGCTAGTGCTTGGCTTAATACAGTAACTAAGAGAATATTGGTTCTCCACTGCCCCCAAGTCTGTATGTGTCTCTTGCTACCAAATGAGAAACGTGTGAAGGGCAACGGAAAACTCCTAAGACCACTATTGATCGTGTGGCTAACCACATGTGTGTGGTTCTGTGCCTCTAGCTTGCTTCAAGACACAGGTAAGATCTAGAAGAAAAAAATAGCCAACAGGGTTTCTTTATCTCCATCAAATTCTGTTACGTTTCCATGTTATTTAAGAAACAAGTTTAGCAAAAAATTATAAAAGGAGAACACCTATTGAACCATCACTCAGGTTGAGAAACAAAAATTGCCAGCATCCAGAATAATTTCTCGCTGACCCTCTGTGTCCTTCCAAATCATAATTTTCTCACCCCTAAACAATATGGTTAAGTTTTGCTTAATTTCAAAGTTGACAGTAAATGCATTTACAGTTATGTATTCCTTTTTGTCTCTTCTTTTGCTTATGAATGATGTTTGGGAGACTTAGCCTGTATTTTATATAGAACTAAGTCTATTCATTTCCATTGCTAAAAGGTTCTACTGTCTATGGGCACTTGGGGCTGTGGTTTGGGCTAACGTGAGAAACACTACTATGTATATATTTGTATATGGATCCTGGTACTTCTGTGTGCACGTTTCCCTGGGGTAAGTACACAGGACCAGAATCACTGTGCTGTGGGGTTTGTATTACTCCAAACTGCTTTTCAAATGTTTTATACCTATGTTTTGCTGTTACCTTATATAAAATTGCTTGAACATTTCAAGTTCACGTTCTCATTTATATGACATCCCAGAAGAAAGTTCGTAAATTTACCTTGGCAAGTGTTCTATTGTCAGGAATTGCTGTTACATCAAAACGAAGGTCGTTAGTCAAAGGCAGCCCAAAGCTCCAGCCTCCGTATCTAGAGTGAATACAATTTATATTTGTTTGATGGAGAAAATAGTCACAAATAGATCTAACATGGTTAAGAGCACAGTCTTTTCCTTCCATTAGGAACACATTTACAGTATGAAATAAATACTGCCTGACAAATATTTTACATGTTTATCAATTTGATATATCATATTTTAGTCTAAAATGTACATTATAACTAGAAGTAAAAAATCCTTCTAAATAATAGCAAATGTGGAGTAATCATTCTGAAAATCAATGACATATAATCTAATAAATTCCTCCAACTTAACTGGATCTGCATCATCTCCACAATCTTAAGACTCTGAACTTAAATATCCTTTTTTAGGTAATCTAATATTAAAGAGACATAACATCAGTTGTTTTTTTTAATGACTCCATTTCTTTAATTCCCCAAACTTTTTCCTTAGCTTGTCCCCTCTTGCCATGTGTTTTCTCTCCCTGGATATTTGAAGGTGAGCTGTGTCTCTGTAACTACCTGTCAGTTCATGGTCTCTTAATAATACAAACTGAATTTAAAAAATCCAAGAAGCACTTTAAAGAATAGATTATTTAATTGTCCCAATAGGGGTTGGGTTAAATACATAACGGTACATCACACTGGTAAGATCCTCTTGTGACTGTCATCCTAAACGCGATGCTGTAGCGCTATAGTTTTGGCATGCAAAGAACACTGTAGCATATTGTTCACTTAAAAAAAACAGGTTTTAGAATCAACCCCATTTTGTTGAAAATATTTGCATGTATCTTTGACTAGAAAATTTCTGGAAGGATATACAACCAACAGTGGTTGTATTTGGGGAGAGAGAGACTATTTTTTCTTTTTTTGTTTATCTGTAGATTTTAATTGTTTTACAGCTAACTTTAGCCCTTTATGTATATTGAAAAATAAAGTGGGAAGAGACAGAAGAAAGGAGAAACGAGTAGCTATTGTAAGACTACCAACTCCTCTCCTCCCCAGCTTTATTGAGGTATATTAACAACAAAAAAGCGGTATATATTTAAAGTGTACAGCTTGATGTTTTGATATGTATTGTGACATACATCACTACAATCCAACTTATTAACATATCCATCACCTCACATAGTTACCATTTCCTTTGTCTGTATTATGTGTATGAGCTGAGAACTCTTAAGATCCATTCTCTTAGCTAATTTGAAGTATGCAGTACAGTATTGCTAACTCTGTCACATTGCTGTTCATTAGATCTCCAGCCTCTACTCATCTTGTAAACAGAAACTGCTGTATCCTTTGACCCATTGTCTGGCAACCACCATACCACTCTCTATTTCTATGAGTTTGACTGTTTTAGTTTCCACATATAAGTGAGACCATGCAGTATTTGTGCTTCTGTGTTGGCTTATTTCACTCAGCATGGTGTCCCCCAGATCCATCCATGTTTTCACAAATGCAAGCCTACCTATCTTACATCCATGGCAAATGCTTAAGTGACTTAAGTATTTGCCCAGAGCCTTGCTACACATGTATACATTTTGTCCACATGCAGATATTTGTATTGGAACTAAGGCCATTTGTCACTGAAAGCAATGCCTCAAAATTCTCCAGGTTGGCTTAATTCACTCAATAACTATTCTCTTGCTTTAAGAAAAAAAAGTGTACAAATTTTACAATATATTTTTGAGGCTGAAAAAAATCAATGCTTTTTAATTTGCTCAAATGAATCTTAATTTAGTTATTACTTAAATTTTAAATACATAAAGCCGTTTAGATGAAACAGATAATTTAACCATGTAAATAATCAATAGACATTACATCTATTGTCTCAAGTTCAGAAGGCAGTTAGCATTAAAATTAGAAAGCGAGATACGCTAAATTAAATGTTATTAACAGAGTATATTTACCTTCTCTGTGTAAACTCATTAGCAGTTGATATAAGATAATTTTCCAAGCGGTGCCCAGTGAGGTCATAAATTACTTGGGAAGAATAAGTTCTTCTGTGAGGTGGAGAATAGTTAAACCTGGGACATTCCTGAAAAATAAAGTTAAAAATTAAGTTCTTTCTGGCCAGTGCAGTGCAAATCAAATAAAAAATGGCAAGGACCTTCAGTCTCATGATTTGTCTATTAATTGTCACTGATGGAGGGTGACATCTGCTTGTGACTTGAAAGAGCTTTGAAAAGGAAGGCATCTTGCCTAAGCCAAGAAATTAGAACAAACAGTTATCACAGAGAGAGAGCTTACGCATGTGTTTAGGGTTCACTTGAAGTCAAAACAGAACACAACTAAGGTGCGATTTTTCTTTTACTGTACTGACAAGCTTGATATGTTAGGAGAATAACACTAAACGCTAAGATGACTAAATTCCCCCAGTAATTCACAGAGAAGAAACAAAATATTTGCCCCAAACTGAAAAGATAACAGGCTTAAATTCTCAGGCTCTAATGGCAGTGGATGAACAAGTTTGAGTGGTGGGGGGGAAACGGAGACAACTGTATTCGAACAACAACTAAACAAACAAACAAACAAACAAACAAACAAATAAATAAATAAAGCAAGCTTGTGTTATATTAGTTTTAAGGTCCCAAACCTGTGTGCCACAACTCAATTTTACATCTATCTAAATCTAAATTTAATTTATTTTTCTGCAAATCTAAATCTAAAATGTACTTATAAAAGTCTAAAATTATTCCAAATAACAAGTCTATGTAAATATTGCAAAAATAATACAGGGTCCCTGTAGACCCTTCGCCCAGCTGCCCCACTGTCAGCACCTCACGTTATAATTGCACATTTGTTAAAATTAAGTGCTTTGGTACGTTACTACTAAACAATCTCAGAGCTTAGTTTTAATCACTTATTTTTATGGTTGTAGCTTTCTACGCTTCCTGACCACTTACTTCGCATGGAAGCTACCCATGTTTCACTGCCATGAAGTGTTAGTTTGGGGAAAGCCTAGTGTCTTTCCAGTTTTTCTTTCCATCCCTTCACACAAGGTCGCACACCTTGAGATTAGTGCCACACCTGTGTACCAAGAGCCTAGGGTTGCAGGTTGCTCTAAAAAATGACTGCTGAACTTCCTTCACCTTACATCAAGTTGTATCAACCTGAAGGTCACATTCTAGAATGGCATTGGTTTCACAAATCAGAAGATACCCTTATATATGCAGGGTAACAATTTAGCTTTAATTTAGACTGAATTATGTTATACATACAGAAAAGCGCACACATTGAACTGTATACCGCTTGGTGAACTGATAAACTGAAGCCATGTAACCTGTCCCTGGATTAGGAGACAGAACAGTGCCCCCCTCATCACACTCCCTCCCAGTCACTACCACCTGCAATGCAGCCGGCACTGCAGGGTAGGTTGGCCTGCTTTTGTATTTCACATAAACGGAGTCGCAGTATAGGTACTCCCTTGTATTTGGCCTTTTTACTCATCTTTTGTTTGTGAGAATCTTCCTGTAAGACATGTTTTTGCATATCAATTATTCCCATTTTGTTCTGTAGAGAATTCCATAATGGAAATATATTACATTTGATTTCTCCACCCTACTGCCAGTGGAAAGTTGGGTAGCTAGTAGGAACAGTATTGCTATAAATATTGTAGTATACGTCTCTTGGTGAACCTATTCCCATTTCCAGTGGGTATATAATAGGAATGGAATTACTGATTATATATGGCATGTATATCTTCAGCATTAGTAGATACTGCCAAACACTTTTAAAAACTGTTTACACAAATTTAGATTCTTATCAGCAGAGTATTAGGTTGAAAAATTTTAATCTCCTGCGGTTTTTCTTTTTTATTAAAAAAATGTATCCAGATTCCAAATTTAAATACTGTTAGTTGACTTTCACTGTAAGCTAACCAAAATACATAAAGAATTTCAGAAATTAAATAGATTAGAGGAGAGATTAGAAAACTCTTTGAGTACCAGTTAAGACTAATATTTAAATAAGCAAGGATTCCAAAAGATGCCCTTTGAATCTCAGCTTTCATTGTTAGTAACTGTCTTGCATGAAAACACAAAAATAGGCTGCATTTACTGAAAACATTTTCACTCTAACATATTGTACAAAGAGTTCAGGGTACAGTCACATGATAACTTTGAAGAAAATATTGTGAGAGTCCTCTCCACGGGAAAGTAGGCTGACAACACAGTGACTCGCAGAGACTAATAGTGATCTCTTTTCTTCGACTCTCTTTAATTTCCCCAGTGAATTTGGCTTTCTTAAAAGTTTATTGAATTGATAGGCCTACAGTGTACATCTATAGAATACAGACAGGGTAAACGATAATTGGACAATTTTTTCTGTTTCTTTCAGGACACGAATTCTTCTAGCATTCTGGAGGTGCTGCTTAGAGACACAGGGAGTTCTGTTCTGGACTTCCACATTACTGACTCCCCGGCCGACCACTCAGGGGGTGGTCTCACTGTGTTTTCAAATATGACAGTTATGGTGGCATTTTGTTGCATGAAATATAGAGCTTTCTAGCCGGACCTGAACTGGAACCAAAAATTCATCTTTGGAGTGTTTCCTCAAAGACCATCACGGAATTACCCACCTTTGGAAATTTGTCCTGAGATGGATTTACAACAGTGACCTGAAGTTCAAAGCCAGTATGTTTGAGCTGCCCAGGTCCACATCTCTGAGCTACTGGCTTCCATAAAATGAAATTATACTGACTCTTTGGTAACCTAGATAGATCTTTCAAGTTTTGATATTTATTTCTTTCTTTTCCCTACTTCACTAAAATTGAATTCCATCTTACCTGGACATTTTCTGAACAGGAGCAAACACCGAAGTTAGTGATACGTTCTCCACTCGTGTTCCATTCTCCCAGACTGTCTTTTTCTAAACAACTCCTGCAGGTGAAAATGGTATCGAAGTGAGGATTGTGTGCATTCCCATGTTTATGGATGTGCATAGAAAAGTATCTTAGTACTTAAAGAGAGCACTTAGTACTTAAACAGTGTTAAAACCAAAGTTCAGTGAACTGTCTTAATATGGTGGGATGGGGCTTTTTTATTACATTCTTCTCTTTGTTCTTTTCATTACTTTCTCTGACAGAAAGGGGATACTTTAGCAAAAGTATGCGTTAATGTCAGGTCACATGTGTTGTGTACCATCTTGGAAGTCTGAGTGAGCAATGCTACATAGTGCAAAAGCATGGGAATTGGTGTCGAGACCTGGGTCTCAGTTTTAGCCATAAAACTTCCTGCCTAAACTTGTTTATTTAAGAATCTTAGTCCCTATGAGCCTCAGTGTCTTCATCTTAAAAATGGGATTAGTAATTCACAGGGTTGCTGTGATTGTGAAATTAAAATATGTGCAGAAAAGAACTTCACAAGTTATAAAGCATCTTTTTATTATTATTACAGCATAGCCAGGGAGTGAACGAAAGAACACAGAATACATCTGTTAAACACATTTCTGTCATTGCACTGCCCTTCTCCAGCCCAAACCACATCTACTCACTCAAGCACCCTCACACATGTACGTGTGCACACACACACACAGAGTGGAATGTGGAAGAGAAGAAAAAGGACAAGAACCACTTACATATCACTGATGTTCAAACAGGTATTGTCGATGCCAGGGAAGGTCCACATTGCTGAGACCAGGGCTTTTGTGCTTGGGTTAGAATTCCTGCAACATTAAAGGCCAGAAACAGATCCATGATTCCTTCACTCGTCCCCCATATTAACCTGCTGCTCATAAGTAATAAATAAAATAGGCTCTCTAGGCAACTGCTGTTTTAAAGATCTGAGACTTAATCACAGAGATAAAAAGTGTCACAGGAAGAAACCCACACATCTCCATTTGGCTGCCTTGTTATTCTTCTGATTGTCATGTGCATTTAGTGATTACATATGGTATACATAACATTATATTACACAAAATTCTGACATTATTATTTAATTTGTAAAACCAATAAAAAATTATTTACTATACATTCCAATAAGTTGGGAAGCCATACCTAACCTCACTCTCTTGATTAAAGTTTTGTCGTTAAAAATAAAGATCTACTATAACTTTATCTTTAGACGAACACACAAACTCTTAAACGTTATTTGTTGGCAGTAGGCATGTCACGTCACAATACATCAAACTGTCCAATCCTGTGACAGAACTAAGTACTGTGGCCTTAAGTTCTTATTCTTCAGCATTTCATTGCATTCATTCAGGTGCAACCGTACCTCTGGAAGCAATGTGGAAAGATCACTTTGGGTAAAGGAAGGAAACTCACACATAGAAGGCAGTCTGCTCAGAGGTGCCATAAAGAGATGGGGAGATCTGGATCTCTGGATAACTGTTGCTGGAATTCCTCAGTGTTCCAAGGCCCATGGCAGTGGTTACAAAGACAATGGGGAGGACAACCTGAGCAATGAAACCTTTCCAGTTCCTGCGGGTGTGGTGGAACCTCTTGATGAGTATCGCCATGATCTTCTTCAGTAAGAGTCCAAAGCCATCCAACCTCTCTCCTCTCGTCAGGATTTTGTCTGGTTAAGAGAAAGAGATTTGATATGGTTCTGGGGAGCCTGGATAAATCAATTCATAGAGTCACTTCAAAAGCCTATGGGCAGATAATATAATGTGGTATGGTGGGAAAATCTTATATTTTAAAGATCTGGATTTTAGTTCAGCTCTGGATTTATCAGCTTTGAGCCTGAGCTACTTCGTGTCATAGTGTTGCATGCAAAAGTGCTTTGAAAATTATAAATCACTATATGCAAAATATTATTATCATGCACATAGTAGTTTTCCATGTCAAAGGGATATCTAGAATTTTATAAATGAGCATTGTCCCCAATCTCCAGTCTCAGTGCAGGCTCAGTATGCATTGCTAATTACTAATATTAACGAGTTTGCTTCCACCAAGAGATTGAATTCAAATACAATAAATAGAAACCAAAACATCAACCTAGTCTAAGAACTCATTCCTACTGTGGCACACTTCATGATTATAAGTCTCATTGGCTCTCACTCTCAATGTGAAGTCCAGTGGCTTCACCTTAAACGTGACAAAAGGAGAATGCTCTCCTCTGAAGTATAACTCTAGCTCAAACACCTGTTCACTACATTCTCTTTAGACATTTGGAGTAATTACATGGCATTTCAAAACAACATTTTTTTACCACCTGAGTCACAAAAAAGAACTTATTAGGCAAAATGTCTGCCCTTGTCTTTTCTGAAATGCTCTTCGGGTGCTAAGAACAATTCCACAGCCTCTAGGAGTCAGAGAAGCTGTGGAGGTCGTAAACTGTTTCCTCATTAGTGCCCCCACACCTGAGAATTCCAGCAGCACCCTTTAAAAAATAGGACCAAATACAACATTCTTTCCTGAGGCCTGCCGCCAAGCAAGCCATGTGATGAGATGACAGTATTTGTCAGCTCTGTGGGTAGTTAAAATTCTTCATCACAAATTATGCAGCACAAAAAATCATGATCTTCATTTAGCTGATAAGGAAAAATACAAAGCTGCTTAATTTAAAATGAACTCCAATTTAACAGAGTGAACAAATTTAAATGCAAACTCATATCTCTGCAGAGGGGAATTGTCGACGGAGCTAAATATTTTAAGTTAATTAGTATGCTTTTCTGTTTCTTGAGAAATTACAGGTGGATGATTTACAGATGTATCAAATGGAGCAAATGAGATTTCTAAAATATAGTCAATAACAGGTATATTTTGGCTGAAGAAATATTTCAAATTATGAGACAAATGTATAACATTTACTTCCTGAAGCAGATGACCACTTTCAAAGTCCTCGATTCCATGGAGTAGACAATTATATTCCCCAAAAGATGATATATGAGGAATGAGGCGGAAGACAAATGAGACTTCCAAGTTCCAGAATTATACAAACATTAGAGATGATCTTTTCTGAGTTTTTTAGAGCCAGGCAAGTGCTTAATTAAAAGTTCTGTTCCTGGAGATTTTTATCAATTTAAACAAACTGTTGAAATGACTATTCCATAATTTATATAATATTTTACTATGTTTCCTTAAATAAATAGTGTCTTCAAAGGAATAAGTTAACTGTCAGAAAGAGAATAACTGAATAGAAGTTATTTTCAAAAGAGTTCAATTCCTCAAAGTTGTGTTAAGAAACATGATTTTTCAATCGTGCATTGTGTGAAGAGTTGCGGGGAGAGACCTATTATTACAGAGTCATAGCCATTGGCTCCAGCTTCATCAGTTCAGAGACCCTCCTCCAAAAGCATTTTCTCAAAGCCTGAATTTCTTCCCAGCACCTGAATTGCTAGGAGAGGTGGGAAGGTTAGACATGTTTTCCAATGAGGTTCTGCAGTGAGTGATGACTATGTTTTTAACTTTTTAAAAATGACTATTATCTCCACTCAGACATATCTAATAAGAGTGAGTGAACTACTTTAAAAGGTTACTTTGTCAGCTGTGGAATAGTGCCAGTTACAAGAAGGATTTTAACTTGTTGAACACAAATCTGAGATCTTTGTTAGTTACATGTTGAAAACGACTACTGGTGGGTAGAGGAATACTCATCATTGTCCTAAAAAGGAATCTCTTCAACATTCTCAAGCTATTTTTTGAAATAGAGACCCTTGCCAGGTAGTTAGGTCAGTTAGAGCATCATCCTGAATGGCCAAGGCTGTGGGTGTGGTCACCCAGTCAGAACACACACAAGAATCAGCCAATGAATGCAGAATCAGTGGAACAACAGATCAATGTTCCCGTGTCTCCGCTCTCTCTCTCACTCTCCCCCTCACTCCTTTCCTTCCTCTATCTCTAAAAAACATCAATAAATAAACATTTAAAAATATATATTTTGAGTAAATATGCTTCACTCAAAGTTTATATTTCTTTAAGCTTTTTGAATTTAGAGACGATTTAAAATTGAGTTTCAAAAATCAAAATCTATCACGTGAATTTTCTTACTTATGTCCTTTACTGAAATCAAGCAAAATGAACCCTTAGATTCATACCATCTCTGTCTGTGAAGTTGCTGCTGCTCACGGACAGATCATCCGGGGTCGAGGTGCCACTGGTGCTGGCATTTCCAATCTTCTTTTGTGTTAAGTGCTCAAGTCTCATATCCCTACTTTTTTGTGACTCTTTAGTCAAGTTCAGGAAGACCTGGAAAGAAAAGACATTATACTTCCTTAATATCAATCACACCTATCTTTAGTTTCTAGGCTCAATTTTGATTTTCCATTCTTATCACATTTATCAAGACAAATAAGTTCAGCTTGACGTGAACATATTTGTATGTAAAAGATAGGCATTCTCTCATTGGAGCAACACAGTTTTTTTCTCTTTTTTCTCAGAAGTCAGTCTTATATAAGAATGATATGGAGGTAATTTTAAGATTTTATGAAATGTTCATTTAAAAATATTTCTGTTCTTTAAAAAAAATGGTACAGCTTTATTTTAACAGGACAGCAATGATATCAGCTCTAAGAAACGCCCAGGAGCACCTCTTCCACGGTGGTGTCGGAAATGCCGTAGCAGCCGATGTTGAGGCCGCCCATGCCGTTGTCCAGCGCCCTTAGGAGTGACAGGTAGGCCCCCGAGACTTTGGTGCTGAATGGAGGGAGCACATAAACGAGCTCTCCCCCTATGTCCTCCTTCAAGTAGGCTTCAGGGAGGTGTGATTGGATCATCGCTGTCACAGCCGTTGTGTCACACACTGCACTAGCATTTAGATTTGGACTCTAGGGGAAAGAAAAAAAATGGAAGTTAAATGCTCCTTTGTCTTTACCCTGCAGGGTCCTGGGGTGCTGATCAGGGAGTGGTGAGTTCTTCTGGGCCACCCCCGGCCTCAGAAATCACATCCTTCCTTCAGCGGCTCCCTGCCCCACAGGGGGTCCCTGTGGTTGCATGCAAATAACCATTCTCCAGCTCCATTCTCCCATCTCACTGTATCCCTTCCCCAGCCTCACTGCCCACCATCCTCCCTGTCACTTGAAACCACAGTCTCTTTTCTGTGTTGAGAGTGCTTCAGGCTCCAGCACAGCCTCTCCTCAGGGCCTTTACAATTGCTTCTTTGCTCCCAGAGAGTGACATGGCTCATTAGAAATGTAGTAAATTCTGGAGCCTTAACCCAGACAAACCTACAGAATCAGAGACTCTTGGGGTGGGGCTGGAGGTCTCAGTTTCCCCAGACCCACCAGGTATCCTGAGGCTTGCTCAGGTTTGAGAAATATGACTCTAACATACTAATAGGGAATTTTAGCAATGAATGAAGTTGGAGAGGGCCTGCCTCTGTTTCATACAAAATTAACTTATGACCCCATACTAAGGTGTATTTTCCCTCCTACAAACCTTTTTCTTGGTGAGCGTGAGGTGGTAGCCGTCCCCAAATGCTTCCTTGAGGTAAAAGGGCGACCCGCAGCAGCGCAGCCCCCCCTGCTCCAGGAAGGCGATGCGGTCACTCAGCACTTCGGCCTCGTCCAAGTGGTGCGTCGAGAGGATGATTGTTCTGGCTTGAAAACACAGAGTGGAACAGCCAAGGATGAAAAATGAAAATACAGTTCCCAAGATACAGAGAATTAGCACAAGTAAATCTTGCCATTTATGGGAAGACTCACATTTATGAGGTAACAGAAAAGCTGACCAAAAGGAGCTTCCAAAAGGACCAAAGAGAAATTCAGGGCTGCTCCTAAAATATTTGGAGGTCTCTCTTTTTCTATTTCCAACCCTCCTTACCGCCCTACCCCCACCATTTCCTTCACCACTGTGAAGAAGCATTAATTTTAAAGACTTTTTGAATATTCCTCTCTGATTAATCCACTCTGCTCTGATTGCTCTTTGCTTCACATCCTGTTAGCACTTATTTATTCTGTTTTCAGTTTATTTTCATTTGTGTATGTTTGGTATCTCTAATTAGATTCTAAGCTCCTCTAGGCAGAACTTGGAATGTCTACTGGATTTGCATGCTCTCAAAAAGGCCCATTAAGTGGTCAACTCACGGTGGGGACTACATTGATATTAACTGATTGGTCCAGAAATTTAGTTGGGTGGAACGAAGACTTGGGAAAAAGAAGAGCCCCTGGGAGGCCTTTGGTGGGTGTCATAAACAGAAAGGCTTCAGTTTGCTTCTGTGTATGGATCCCAGAGAGCAAACTTACAACTGTTGGGTGGAGAAGCTATAAAAAGGTACTCATACCAGTTTTGTTCTTGGATATAACATCCCATATACTTCGGCGAGAACATGGGTCAACTCCGGTGGATGGTTCGTCCAAAATGACCACCCTTGATCCACCAATGAGAGCTATGGATATGGATAACTTCCTCTTCATGCCTCCTGACAATGTTCCAACTCTCTTATGACGATGGCTATATAGTCCAGTGTCTTTTAAAGTCCTTCAAAAATAATGAATGGTGGTTATTTCTTACAGATAGACCAGTTAAATATTGGAAAAACACAATAAGTCCCCTAAATGATAGATATTCACTAAACAACCATCATGTGCTCAGCAAGGTGCAATAAACCATTGAAAATTCTTGACATACTTATTTATTATGTATCATCTAGTCGGAGTTATAAAATTAGTGCTCAAGAAACAACATGAGGGAATACATGGCTCATTCTTTTGTTCACTCATTTGACAAATATTTATAGAGAATCTGGCCTTTTAGTGCCAGACTCTGTTTCAGGGGCTGGGGGAAAGAAGTAAGCAGGTAATGCTCCTACCCATAAACAGTTTAGTTCTAATCTGTGTGTGTATCAGGAAGGATCAGAGAAAATTTAGTTGACAAACATATTGCCAAGGAAGTTTATAATATGCCAGGTGGTGATGAGTGCGATGCAAGTGAATAAAGCAGGGGACGGGAGATAAATAGCGCCTGGGGCATGCTGTTTTAGGCATCAGTTTTATATACGGAGGTCTCCTCAGAAGGTGACATTTCATCAGAGACCAGGGAAGTGGAAGAGAAAGTCAAGTGGCTGTTTGGGAAAAGCTGCTCTGAGGACAGGGAATAGGAAGTGAGAAGCCCTGAGGCCGGAGCAGGCTTAGTGTGAGCAAGTGTGCAACCGGGCCCGTGTGCCCAGGGCAGAGGGAATGCTGGGAGACTAGAACAAAATGAGTCCCAAGTGAGATTGGGGGCAGGTCGAGTAGGGCCTCAGAGGTAGGCTTGGATAAAGACATGACCGAGTTCCACTCTGACTGTGGTGAGAAGCCATGAGAGGGTCTTGGTCTCAAGAATGGCATACTCTGATCTGCAGTTTACAAAGGTTGTCCTGGCTGCTCTGTGCAGAAGAGACTAGATAAGGGAGAATAGACCTGGGGATCCAGTTAGGGGGCTTGGACCGGTGCAGTAGCCATGGAGATTAGAAACAGAGGATTTGGGGCAATATAGAAGCCAGAGTTGAACAGATTTCAACAATTCCTCCATTGATATTAAATGTATTCACCATCAGAGAAGTAAAAAACTAAAAATCAGTTGGTTTGTGAGAACATGTTTCCTATTGGTATTATTACAGTAGCTCGATTTCTCTTTGAGTTGCCAACGCATATTCTCAGTCCTTCCATAACTGACCTCTTTACTTCCTCATGCAGCTGCTTTTTAGTCCAGTGGGGAACTTTGATGGAGCCATATAGGAGAAGGTGTTCTTTGGTAGTGAGGTAACTAAACAAGACGTCGTGCTGCATGCAGACTCCCATGCTCTTGCGTACGCTGTGCAGGTCTGTTTTGATATCTTTTCCATAAACAAAGATGGTACCTGCTGAGGCCCCAAACAGTCCAGTCAACATGGAGCTGGAAATATAGAAATGATAAAGTTGGTGTAAACCAAGCATGAGAGCTAGATTTTAGGCATAAATACAACTCATCTGTTAGCAGAAAAATGTTACCAGTGTATTTCCTTAGGCAAGGTAAAACTATGAAACAAAATGGCATTGAATGGGAATAAAAAAATAAAGATTACTATTAAGCTCTTCCTAATTTAGGGTGTTGCATAAATACTACATAATGATGATGATAATAATGACAGAAGTGGTTGGACTTCTTAATTGCCAGTACATTCTCTCTTTTAGCAAACTGATGTACTCTCTTGGCATCAGATAGTATCTACAGGTTGTTAGTCTCAAATGTAGATCGCTAGCCCTGATCTCATCACTCACTTCCAGGCTTGTTTTATACATCTAAGAGGCTATGCTATGTCTCCAGAAGATACCTTCCAGGGTCCTCTAACTCAACATGTTAAAAACTAACTAACGGTCTTTGCACTCCCACCTGTCCTTGTTGGTGTTATCTCCTTTACCATCTAGTGAATTAATACAGTGGTTGCACAAGCCTCAGATCCAGCTGATTTTGCCTCTTCCTCCTCTCTTAGTCCCGTGACTCCACCCACGTCTTTCCATTTTCCCAGCTGTGCCATAGTGCAAGCCAGCATCACCACTTGCCTGTGCTGCTGGCGGCTGCTAACTCTACTCTAGCACACTCCTTTGCCATCTCCAGTCCCTTTGTCCACTTCGTAGCTAGACGATTCTCACTTAGATAATTCCTGACCATTTTTTAGATAGTTGGTAAACTGGGCAATTATTTAATATCCATTTTCTTCACTAAAATGTAAGCTTTGTGGGGTCAGGGAAAGGATCTGTTTTCTCACTGCTCTGTCTCAGTACCTAACAAGTGCTGAGAACTCCAATGACTACTGCGGACTAAACAGGGAACCAATACAATATGCAATCCTTCCCATTAAAACACATATAATATCTCATTCTTTATATTAAAGGTTCATATTCAGAAGAATAAGATGGTGACTTTCTCAGCTAAAATGACAGCCTCTTCAAAAGCTTTCTCTGTCTCTTTTCTTCATGGGTTTCTCATTGCCTGTTAGAGATCTTGCCTTTTAAGCACTCTTTTCACACTAGAAAGCCAGCTCTGAATTTGAACAGGTCATATAATACAGTTATATCATGTTCACTCATTTCATGACCTTCCTTCCCCCCCTTTATTTACAAAACAAATTAATTCAAAAACACCTTGGCAGCCACTGAATTTATTTATGATGATACTAAATAGGATATCCAGCTACTGACTTTTTTTCTCAAATAAGGGTTAGAATGCCAACAGCATCTTAGAGCTGGCTCCCAGACAAGCAATGTGGAGTGTAGCAAGTAAATAACCACATCCCCAAATCTAAACAATGCCACTTCTAAAACATTGCAATCTTTTCTCCATTCATACACAGGAAAATGCTAGCTAAATGAAGACTGACAATAGGAGAGTGCATGTGCCACTTCTGCCCTTTTTGGTCTGTATCTGAGAGCTGCTGGTTCTTTCATTTCTTTAGGAATCAAGGCAAGGCTTCCTTGTGAAGGAGCAGCTGGGGCTGAGTGTGCTTATACCAGAGCATGTAAACTCAAGCTTATAGGTGAGCATAGAATGCAAATAAGTGAAAACAGCCTGGAAACATGAGATTGTATGAATTGGTAGGGACCAGAAGTAAATGAGGAAGCAGATACCTCCTTTAAGAGAAAAGTCACTAATATGCCCCAACCAATTGTCCCAATCCAAGACTGTGAATTCAATGTTGCCAAAACTTCGTTTTATCTAACAGATGCCAAGAATATTTTTTTAATTAGAAAACTTCCTTATTTTTAAATATTGGCACTGAATTAAACATTTTAAGAAGTACTGGGGGTGGGGGGAGCAATACCAGGTAGAAGTAAACCTGTCTGGTGGGCTTGATCTGGCCTTTGCGCCCACAGTTTGGGATCTCTGACTCAGACTCCATCCTTCAGCCTGTGCACTGAGCCATCTTAATCCATCTGGGAGATGTAATGGCTTAATTTTTTAAAGAGTTGAGGAAATATTGAATAATATGCTTCCATGATAAGCATTATAAAGTAACATACATGGTAGTAGTTTTCCCAGCTCCATTGGGCCCCAGCAGTGAAGTAATATGCCCTTCATAAAAGTTCAAATTGAGGTTATCAACAGCGATTTTTGAGCCATAGATCTTTGTGACTCCATGCAGGGCCACCCCGACTGTTAGATCCTTAGGTTCAGGTTCAATATTGGAAGAAAACATATATTCAGGACCTGTAGAGAAATCAAGAGAAATTGTTGTAAGCTCACCAAGAAAGAAAGCACAGCCAGAGTTAGACTTTTTCTTAATTAAAATTACAACCCTCTATGTAAAATATAATTCTGGAAACAAATGACCTGTTATAGCTTTTAGCCTCCTCACTAGGTTAAAGAATGTGGAGCTACATTCTCTAAGGTCTTCATGACCCTTCTCTGTCAGAAAATACAGTCCCAGAAACACAGTAACATTATAGTGAATTCTGTTTTATTCAGCAAATCTCAAATGTTCAAAAAACAAGCCTAAGGTTTGGTTCTCTGATTGAATAGGATGATACCAACTTAGGAAGAAATGTCTACAAGGTGTGACTTCACAGTCACAAGGCTGGCTCTTTAGCTCAGACCTGTGGTTTATAGAATCCAGTTCATTCATTACTCTCCACATCTCCTTCAGGCATCACAAAAGGGCCATTTCTGTGGGCCATCCTTGCTTTATAAAAGTGACACTACTCACCAAATGTCAGTAAGATATGAACTTTAAACTGTCCAGTGTTGGTGATAGGTTACACTAAACTGTCCATACTTGTTACTTGGTTAGTCCTTATGACTAGTGACAGATGGCTGGAGTTTGGGGTGCAGACCGTGGCCAAGCAAGAAAATTTTTCTCTGTGTGAGTCTAACTGGACCACAAAGGGATTTACAATCTTGGACTAATTAGCACCATATGCTAACCAACTAAGCTAATGAGCCCAGAAAAAGCCACAATTTAATCTCCATAAGAGTCCAAACACGTATGTGTAGACATATTCATCCATGATGAAAAGAATAATCTTGCCATTTAGGAAAACATAATTAAAATCACTAATCATGTAAATTTTATATCACTTCTCTCATAACCAATGCATGTTGTTGACCTACTTGTCTTGCTGGCAGAGGGGTTGGTGTTCTGCATCATGATATTAGTAAACATCAGGCCATTGCTCTTCTCATGCTTTACCTCTGCATATCCAAATTGCTTCTTCCAGTAGGAAGGAAGAACTGGGAAATACCATGGAGCTGCCATGCCATATGTACCTGTAATAAAAATGTATTCGAGAGGATAGCTATGAATTGATTGTTAATACTAAGCATCAATAGCTAAATAACAGATGACTATAAATGGTTCAGGAAGTAGTTTCATTGTTTACTGTATACAACTAAGAGTACTCTCAGTTTTACAAGTAAAAAACATAGCTTTTTTAAAAAAAATCTTTCCTTTTTAAACAGCTTCTTTGGGATATAATTATGTGCCATGAAATTTACTCCTTCTAAGTACAGAGTCAGATGATTTTAGTAAAATTTAAAAACTGGATAACCATCACCACATATTAGAATATTTTTGTAACTTCAAAAAGTTCTCTCAGGCCCCTTTACAGATACTCCCTGCACCCACCCAAGTCCCAGGCAATCATTGATCTTATTTCTATTTTTACACATTTGTACAAATATAAATATGGCTTAATGGAAAACTCCCAAGCGTGCTAGAAATGATGACCACTTGAGAGGTAAGAAGGGGAAATCCAACTAGTCATTTTCCATTAGAATTTGGTAAATTCTCCTTCAAATGCAAAGACTTGGCTTTTGCCTTGTACTCCCACTTGGAAAGACTGGATTCCATGCCTCTTAATTCACTCCATCCTTTTAAGAAACATCAGAGAAAGAACCCCCTAGGTGCATTGTCTCATCCTGAAGGCGTTTTGGTTAATTTTGGAATTTAAATATTTATTTTTAAAGATCAGTCCTGGCTGGCGTAGCTCAGTGGATTGAGCGCGGGCTGTGAACTAAAGTGTCGCAGGTTCAATTCCCAGTCAGGATACATGCCTGGGTTGCAGGCCATGACCCCCAGCAACCGCACATTGATGTTTCTCTCTCTCTCTCTATCTCCCTCCCTTCCCTCTCTAAAAATAAATAAATAAAATCTTTAAAAAAAATCATATGTGGTAAATCAAATATTAGAAAATATATGTTAGCCAACTCATAACGGTGACAACCATAAAAAGCAAGTTATGTGTAGGGAGTATGTTCGTACCTGGGAAGACATTCCTGACGTACCAAGCAATGAGGAAATAAATGAAGGAGTCAGCTACAATCAGTCCGCACAGCCAGCCAAAGGAGGTGGTGTCATCCTGAACCGGGGAGCTGTACATATTGTCCCACTGAAGACCTACAAAGTGAACACGTGCATTTATTCGTGTGTGAGCTATATGGCAGTCTTGAATGACAAAAACCCACTTTCACAGAAAGGAGCCTACCAATGCCCTGCTCTTCATATCGCGCGATGTACTGACTGGCGTAGCTGAATGCTGTTGGCGACAGGAGGCTCTGTGAAGAGAACAAACTGCAATCAGAGTTCTTGAAGATTTCATACTTTTCACCCAGATGGACCTTGACATATGTAAACTTTGGACATATGTAGATAAAATCATATTTAAAAATACAGAGGTCCCTTACCATGCATGCTACAACTCTGAAAGAAGAGAAGAGGACATGGCAGAAAACAAGAGGAGGAAAATTATAACTTGAAAAAAATTTGTCATATGTCCAAAATATATGTCTAAACTTATTAAATGTTGCTCAGCAACTTATAAAATAGATAAGTACAAAGTAATACAATGTTAAGATAAAAACCAAATGAAATGTTTGAAGCCAAATTATGTTTTTACTTCATGAATTGATTTCAGGTAACAGAAGTATTATGAGGAAATAACACTAAAATAGCAACTGATTGAATACTTATAACTGCAACAAATTATTATTTTAAAGTTTGTTTAAATCCAAAGTAGTCAAGATTAGAAGAAAGTTATTTATCACTTTTATTTCTTTATGGAAAGCAAAGTTTTAATATGACTCTTAGTCAATAAAGAGGTTTACTTCTACTTTCCAAAATTCATAATCTCAATGCTTTCATCAGACTTCTTAAATTAATTGAGCACTTTTGAATTAAAAGGCAGGAAGGAATTCAAAATTGACTATGTGTTGTCAGTGCATTTGTTTTTATGCCTGTAAGTTGTGTCGTATGCCATGAAAACCATGAAAATCATTGATATATGAGAATAATTCTAGTAATAGGGGCTTTCAAGTCAGAATTCTTGGTGCTCTTCAAAATGTGATATATGATATTCTAACTGTTATTTCTTCAGGAACCATTTCTTAACAATGTCAACTTATGGTTTTAGAAACTACGGGAAATTGCTTCCTTTCATAGCCTTGTGCTTGTAGGGTGTACAATGATGTAGAAAAATTGACTATCACTAGGACAGTTAAGCTTATTTTGCAATGACTAAACTTTTAAATTTCAATAAGTGACATGGAATTTCAGTGTGAGAGTCTAAAAACCACAACAAAAAAGGGTCCATTTTTCTTGCACACTGGCCATTCCACGTGACCGTTGACTCACCATGAACACTTTTACTACGTAGCTTAGCTCATCATCAACTGTAACCATCACGATGAAGGGGAAAAAGGCAATGATGTAGATGAGGCTTCCGATCAGAGCTGCGATGTTGGTGTTGTTAAAGAAGGCACTGATGAGGTAGCTCATGGCAATAACTGAGAAGCTGTAGTCCGAAAAATACAGGAACAAAATGACCCCATTTGTTTTAGGAAGAATATTGCCAAACTTGAGTATAATGATGAGGATGACGATGGTCACCAGTAGAAATCCAATACTCTCTATCAGCCAGGCAAAAAAGTGACTGCAGGAGTTCACACCCATCATCTTCATGTACTGTAAAAAGGAAAAAGTATTAGGTACTGCTTAAGCTGATATATTCCCAAATAACAATTTTTTGGCATCATGCAAAAATGCCCACAAAACACTCACATATATGAATTAGGTAGGCATCTTAATCATTTTCATAAGTCAAGTATTGGTGCATACTTGCTACAGGATATTAACATGACCATTTATTCCAGCTCATCTTAGATTGCATGCTCCCAGAGTGTACCAAATATAATGAAATAGTAAATAATTTGGATGGTGAAGGTGTTTTTTTTTACAATTCCATTTTATAACTGGTATCTAACTGATGCCTGCAGATTAAACTAGTTTAGAGTAGACTATCAAAATTTATGGTATCCCCTGAAGAATTTTACATGAAAATGACATTTGTGCAGTCCTGATTATTTCTAGTGGGTGAAAAACCATAACAAATTCAATGTTGGGACTCATATAATAAATCTACATAATTTTTTTACTAAACAACCAACATTCATATTCCTGGGAGAAATAAAACAGACCTGATTCCTAAACATTTAAAATGTGGGGACTTTGGAGGGACACATTCTGTCCTTTGCCACACCTTCCCCATCTTTAAAGTCACCGGTGGTCTAGGTCTGGTTTGTCATCTTTGTTTTCAGGAAGACATTCATACACACAAAATTAACTCATGTATCTTAGATATTCTATATCTCCTTCTCAATTAATATTCTTTTATAACTTGGTGATACTCTTTTAACTTGGTGATACATTTACAAAGGTAGAAAAACAGACCAGTACGATATGTTTGTGCATTAACTCAAGAGGGTTCTGGAAGATCTAAAGTCCCCTGGACATTGGCTGTCTTGAATGTGGTGATGTGTGTGGTACTTTTAGAGAACCTATATACCCTGGTTTCCAGTTTTAATAATTCATAATTAAAATTAAGCCCATGAATCCAATATTTCATAGAAAATAACCTAAAAGAAATATTCCACTAACTTTACAATCCCCACCTTCTTAACTTGTCTAGAAAAAAAATAGGAAATGTGCTGGATCTTTTGCTCTGTAAGTAAGAGAGAGTGAATTTTATTTTCTGCCTTTGCAACTTACCACATTTTGATAACTCTGCTGTTCTGGTTGTTACCATGGAAACAGCTACCTGACTGCCAACAGTGTAAGCTGTAGGCCTTAAGCTAATCACCACTGAGAAAAAGCCTCTGACTCTTCCTCTTAAGTGTGCCCTTTCCTCACCCTCTGTTCTCCCTACTGCGTCTCTCCTCCCAGGACCCATCACCCGATGTTTCCATAGGAATGGATGTGTGGGTCAAAGTAAAAAAAAATAAGCATGGAGCAAAGATTCACTATGGAAGTTTCTTCCAATTGTTACTTATCCACCATTGAAAACAAAATTACATTTTGGTGTGAAAAAAGACCTCATATAGATCTTATTTTAGAAATTCTCTCCCTGCACGCCAACCCATTTGAGATAGTTACTGTGTCACATTTCATGACTACATGTCAGAGATAGTCACTTGCTCAAGTATGATCATGATACGTTAGCTCTTTATTTACCTTTCTTCCTATTTGTATTTTGAGGGTTTTTTTTACTGAGTTTCTGCCCATTTGAATATAATTAAATGAGGAGTTATGGAACCCATATGGCTATTCCAAAGCTAATGTTCACCACCAAATTTTATGTGGCCTAACAAAAATATTTACCCCCCAATGTATGACAGTAGGAGACAATGTCAATACATTTCACAAAGTGAATGTAAAATATCCAGGACACTATTGAGGATGTGAAAAAAGCTGACTCAATAAGCATAAATGTGTTTTCCTTTCCTGTCAATTGAAAGCTGCAGTAGGACACATTTATATGTCTAGAAAATTCTCCATTCATAGCCTTGTTAAAATATAATTTGGCAAACCTGAAGACCAGAACTAAAGGTACTTATCATTGTAGTTTTGAAATTTCTGAGACTCAAGACCAGATTCCTATTCCCAAGAACTGGTAAAAGTTGGAGACTCATTATTGCCTTTGATAGAAACAAACTGAGTTCAGTGCTCTCAAAAATACTCACTACTTAACATTCTAGCATGAAACAAACTTCAGTGTTAAACTTCAGGATTTTATGCCATGAGGAGAACAGCTGCTTTCATAAAGAGTCAAAGCATGTAAGCCATCCACAAATTATCCAGATTCACTGCCAACTATGTTACAATAAACAAGATCAAACTTGCTGATAGAAGATGGCACACAGAGAATGGTTGGCTATGCTTTCTTGGATGTCATTGGTTCCTCCTCAAAGTGACAGCTGTCAGGCACCAGCTTTGTAAGGAGTCACATGTCTTGAGCCTCCAAACCTGCCAGAACCATTCATCAATACCTGATAACTTGTTGCCCAAAGGAAACCCTTCTGGACAGTGGCCAAAGTCTGTCCCAGTTTATGGCAGAAAATAATGAGAAGAGATTCAGAAATATTTGCATAAATGTATGTCACATTCAGGAGACGCTTCTGCACAGGGACTGGCATTGGTTCTATCAGGAAAATAAACCACAAGTATTCATATATTTACTTGAATATTTACTTATTCAACTCAATAGGAGCGTCAAGCACCAATTTGTAAAGAATAATATTTTCCACCATAATTTTAAAAACTCTCTTGAAAATAGATATTTATATATTGTTTTAGTAAGACGCATAGGATGTTGTGATCATTACTTGGAATGTTCCAAATTCCCACTAGGGGGATGGATAGTGTATGTCAAAAAAGCATAAAAGGTTGTTTAAAGTGAAGCACCACCGGACTAAAAGTGCTTGCGTAGTTCTTGGTAATATCTCTGCAGCCAACAGATATTTTAGCTTACCTGTCTAAACTGAGAAAGAGCAACTCCAACTGAATATGAGCAGTAAAATCACCCATAAATCTCCATAAATGATTTATATTAGATCAAATGGATGAAACTAACCCATAAATTAGGACAATAATATATAATATGCACATATATAATATATGTAAAAAAAAACTCTTCCATGTGTTAAAAAAGCAGCTTTTATATGGCTTTAATTTTTGATTTTTAAAGGAAGGAATGTATAACAGAACCCAATTGAAAAATATTTTCAAATATTTTTTAAAAACTACAGTCTTAATTTCATCAATAAACTTATTTATCATTAATATTTACCCTAACTTCTTCAGCAACTTAAAGGAATTCAGTGGAGTCATATCATAAGAAGGTCAAAAGTTAATGGTTTCATTGAAATAACAACTAACTTGGTTTTCTTGTCCAGATTTGAAAACAATTACAGGAAAAAAAGGTATTTTTTTTACCTTTTTGATTTAATTTGGAATAGAAGGAAGCAGAGAGTGAGTAGATTTACACCTTAACTAAATATAAAAATAATGGCATTAAAAAGAGATTTTGAATCTCTGATAAACTAAGAAATTATTATCATCCTCAAAAGTCCTTAAGCTTCTATGCTAGTAAAATCAGATTGCAAGAGGGAAGCTAGGGTTTGATTGGAAGTCAAGACACTTGAGTTTTCTAGCCAGATCTACTATTAACTGGCCCCATAGTTTTCAACAAGTCACTTCTCACTTTCTGGGTTCAGCTTTTTTATCTTTAAAAGGGAGGAGGTTAGTCTAGAATGGTGGACTGTGGAGGGAGGCTGAGCAGGAGGCTCTGGGCATGTTCTAGTCATTCCTCACCTCCTTCCATTCATCTCACAAATACACCGGATTCCTTTGAATTTAGGACACTACCAATTTTAGGCTGTGCCATTATTTTACATGCAACCAAGAAAGAAAAATCACTGCCAAATAAATTATGACACCCTATCAAATGCATCCTAATTTCAGAGGCTTTAAAATGTGTAGAAGAAAATCATTACCTTGGAACTGATAAAATATGTGTAATTGAATGTCTTCTCTCTTCTGGCAGTGAGAGAGCTACATTCTGAAAATATAGTGCTGAGTGAAGTGTTTGATGACAACACTCAGAAAATTTAAGGGATTGGGCCCAAGTGAATATGAACTGGAGGACTCAAAGCCTGATTCTCTGACTCCAAGTTCACTGATCTTTCATTACACGTCTTTGACCCCCAAGATCAGGTGGTTAAATTTTAAAGACAGATGCCTGAAAAATGAACACACAGAGCTACCAAGCAGAAGGTAGTTCTTTATTTAAAATGCCTTTCATATCTTAAATTGAGAAAGTATTCTTCATTATGCTTTTTGGTGACATACAGAGATGTACTTAGTATCATCCTTAAACAGAAAATAATATAATGTGTGTATTTTATTTGTGTGTGTGTGTGTGTATATATATATATATATATATATATACACATGTATATATGTATATATATATATACACACACACACACACACACACATATACACACACACATATTTACTGTGTATTTCTATGACAAATAGTATCTCTAAGGTAGATGTTCATTTTGAAATAGAAAATAATTTAGTTTTTTAGTTTCTATGGTTTTCTACTTCAAAGTTTTTCTTTAATCTATGAAGATTCACTTCTAAGTACCAGACATCTGAAAGAGAAATATAAGATAAAGACTTGCAACTAAAATTATGGTCCAAGGTGTGGATCCAAGTTTTTAAATTGGAATTAAGAAACCATCATACTCAATCCTGAATACAACTGGGCTCAAACCAGTTGATGAGACATTTACCAACTTGTACCTGAAATTAAAAAATGCAGCTGTGAGGATCAACCAGAATTTGAACAAAAAATCTAAGAACTGTAGGTTCAGACTGTAGGATATCCTTGGAAGCCTGATGCTGAACTAACAAAAGTATGAAGCAGTAATTTGTTCCTTGTAAGGAGAAATAATCAATTGCCTAGAAGCATTTGAGTCTGAAAAGCACAATTAGACTAACAGGTTACTCTAACTTCGTTATTTCAGATTGTCATCCAGGACTTGCAATAATTATTGTGCTCCAGTTTTGAAATGTTTCTGCTTTCTCTTCATTCACAAGTGTAGGAACAGACTCATTATAGGACAAGAAGATAAAATCATTTCTATTCCAATACAACCCAAAAGAATCACACAGTGCTTTTTCATAAATTCTAAAGAGAAGTAATATATTTTGGATTTGGGGATAATGATGAAGAATATGCTCAAGAAGAGTTCATGCTTTACATCCTAGATACTATCTTCCATTGTTATATTATTAACTTAGTAGCTTAACATGAAATTCTTAGCCTATAAATCATGAATTAGTGGGAGAGGGAGGAGAAGGTAATTGAAGGAGACAAATTATACTGGAAAGATAATTTGCTTCCTGAGAGCAGAAATAAGCCATATGTCTTTATATATGTCTATGTCTATGTCAGTGTCAATGTCAATGTCAATGTCAATGTCTATGTCTACCTATATCTATAGTTGACCCTGGAAGAACACAAGTCCAAACCCATGGGTCTACTTACATACACATTTTTTTCAATAAATATGTAGTCAGCCCTCGGTATCACTGGGTTTTACATTCCCAGATTCCACCAACTGTGGATCAAAAACAGTATTTTCGCTCCATGGATGGGAATCTGAGGTTGAGCACAGTTGATTGTATGCACTGATCCGTGACATTTTATATAAGGAACTTGAGCATCTGAGGATTTTGGTGTCTATGTGGATCCTGGAACCAGTCCTCTGTGGATACCAAGGGATGACTGAAGTTTGGGGGGAGTCAAAACTTATATGTGGATTTTCAACTGTGCAGGGTTTGGTGCTGTTAGTCCCCTCATTATTCAAGGGTCAACTGCATATCTATACCTATATTAATATCAGTATGTGGACTCATTTAGTTACCATGCCAATAATCTTCTTGCTTTAATAGTATTATTGTTATTATTTATTTAAACTTCCTCTGTTAGATCTTAAGTCCTATAGGTAACATTCTGGGCAAAAAATTACTCTTAGGATTATAAATTGTATTTAGATTTTATTCAGAATCATTCAGATTTTGTTTCCCAGAAACACTTAAAAAGAAGATCTCTGTAATTTTTGGGGAGTGGGTAATACTGCATTTTCAGCTGCTTTTATGATTCATAAAATAGATTTCTAATTCACAGGGTACGGCTCAGGCTTTCTGAGTTTGTATACATACAGTGAAAATCATAGTAATTATTATGGAAATATACTTTATTCATAATAAGAAGAAATGCTCAACTCACCTCATGAAGCCGGAGGTCTTTCTCGTAAACAAGCTTTTTTACAAAGGCAGCTATAAATACAACCCAGGCCACCATGAGCACGATTGGAAGAGAATAAGAGACACTGGTTAGGAAGCTGTAAAAAAACAAAAACAAACAAACAAACAGAGAATCCAGTGACCAAGATGAATGTCATACTTGCAGATAGCAATAAAAAGAACACAACACATCTTACATTTAAAGTATACTGCTTTTTAAAATTGAGAATAACCATTAATATAACTCTTTCATTTGTGAAATGTGAAGCTGAATTAGTAAGCCCATGATTTTCTTGCTCTAATGCTGCAAGAACAAAAAAACAAAACAAAGCAAAAAACAACACAGCTCTGGATTGCTAGATAAAATTGCCTAATTGTTTAAAATGTGTTTGAATATGTCTTGTCCAGGAAAATAATTATTATATAGACATAATTGCAAGGCTCAAAATCCTTCAGCTTAAACCAAATTCTTATCTAAAAGACAAACTTAAAATTAAGTGATAATTGGCTTATCTAGCTAAAAGCTGTATCTTCCCAAATTACTGTATCCACCTACTCTGGAAGCTCATAGGGATTATTAAACAAAATTATCCAAAATAAGATAAAATAAAACTCAAAGCATTCCATTTAAAATGCAGACAAAGAACTTGAATTCCTTAAAATAATGCTTCAGGAAATTTTTCATAAACAGTGTAGAAATGTGTATTCTGGTAATATGCTAACTAGAGGGTCACTGAAAGACCCCATCGGGACCCATATATATTCCTCAGTGACCTGCTATGATACCTGAAAGTTCAAATACAGCATTTCTCAAAGGTGAACACTCATTAGAATCACCTGAAGGGCTTATTGAAACACCAGTTTCTGAGCCCCACTCTTAAGCTTCTGATTTATCACTTGGGTGGGTTAGGAAATCTGCATTTTAAACAGTTTCCTGGAGATAGGATGCTGCTGATCCAGGGGCTACACTTTGAGAACCACAGCTTCCTGCTTTAGCCACTTTGCTGTGAGCTAAGCAAATGAGTAGTTTTCAATGAGAGAAACTCTAAACTGATTTGTTTTGCATTATTAGGCTCCACTGAAGCTTTTACTTGGAGAAAGATCCCAAGGCCATTTCCTTTTTAATCTATAAGACTAAGGAATTACCTTCAAGTTCCCTATGAAAAAGACAAGTATTAATGGAACGTGACATCACCATCATTCATTCTCACTTTAGCATCCCAAGTGTAACACCATCAGAGACATGAGGGGTTTTTCGATGGGGAAGGAGTAAGGTTGGGGCCATATCCAGTGCCTTTGCTTCCCAGGAAACTGTCTGGCATGGGGTCGGCATTTAAAGATTATCGGCTGAATGAATTTTGTCTTGGTTCAGATCCAACCTTGATGCTGTTTCTGGCTCTAGTATTAGGCAAAAGCCGTCATCTGTTAATAACAAGCCCCTGTATTGATTCTTCTAAGTGATTGTATATTTTAGATTTGATACAGGATAAACAAAAAATATGCTGGTCTTGTAATCTAAGGACCAGTGCACTACCAGTTTTACAATTTGGGGCAAGTTACTTAACCTTTCTGAATTTTCTTTTTTTCATCTGTATGGCCGACAACACCTGCCCCCACTTACCTTCGGAGGTTCTTGGAAGGAACAAATGGAATAGCATATGTGAAAGCACTTTGTATACAACAAAGTTTATATGTACATATGAAGCATTATGATCATTCTCCCATAAAAAATGCACAGCACAATTACTTTTAGTATTTAAAGAAACATCCACATACCCACCATCCCAGGTAGCAAAATTGACAAGGGAAAAAAATAGATAAGAATTTTCATTTAATTGGACCGACAGTTCTTCACTGTTAATGCAAGTCACTGCATTTCACATGTGGTCCAGACTGCAGAGTCCTGACTGGCCTCACAACCAGCACCTCGCCTTGACAACTCACTGACAAAATCTGCACCTGCCTGCCCCCATCACTGCTGCACAAAGTGTTACATAACCTCTTCTCACCTTTATACAGCTCTTGAAGCTATACATCTAGAGAAAGACAAAGATCCAGAAGCACCTGAATTGTATGTAAAATGCAGTAAATTGGCTAAATAATGAGTACAATTTCTTTAAGGTAATATTCAGTCTCAAGCTTTTCTGTATGAGAATGAGCTTGGAAAAGCTAAGTCCTCCGACCTTTTTTTCTTGTTAAGCTGGGGTGAGAGTGGAGGAGCCATTCAGTGCTACCTGGCAGATGTCTTGAACATCCAAATTTGATTGTCTTAAAAACATGGTCCTTACATCTTGTGTTCATTCAGCAAAACCACTGTAGGTAAAGATTCCTAGCAAGTGGGCTCATCGTACGTTACATAGTTTTAAGTAGCACAATATTTATCTCAGAGGGTTGATTGATGATGTCTTCCATCAAAATTTTCTTTACAATTGACCATGTATTTACAGATATTTAATTAAATGAGAGTTGGAAGAAACTTTAAGGTTGTCTGGTTTAACTCCCTTATTTGACTAGAGAAAGGTAAGAACAGTAGAGAGTAGGTAACATGAAAATCATGCAGTCGTACACTCAAGGCTGGAGTCAAATGCTCTGAATTCTGGAGCTGAAGTCCTCAGAAAACTAAGAGTTATGATAAAGAAAACATAGATCTTTTGGTAAGATCGATCCCATCATGTTGGTAACCATGAGCAGCTTTGGTGGAGCTGTGCCCTATAGTGTGGACGGGACCCTTCCCTGGAAACAAGCATTTGACAAAGGTTTGGTGAATGTTATCCCTTCCCCCTGATACATGTGAATGAATGGACAGAAATGAGTTCTCAAAAAATGGTTGCTTGTTAACAAGGGCTGATCGGATGCATGGACTTACTTGTCTTTCATGTAGCAGGGATAAGGAATTGCTTGGACCTGGACTGCTATTTCCTGGGAGTTCCTTCCAGTCTGCAATTCAATAATTGCTCTTTCAATATTATCCTGTAAGTAAACAAAAGCCCTGCCGTAGATCTGGTTGTGTGATGGAGAATTGTGCGGCCCTGGGGCCCAAATCTTAGTCCTTATGTTTCTTGTAGTCTGTGAGGTCTTGAGACTCATGCGGATGGTGTATTTTACGACAGGAGGAAGAGAGACATCTTCAGAGTCATAGCCTCTGTGTTGGCTTCTGTTAGAAGGAAGCTTAAAAATAACACCTAAAAATAAAGTGGCAACAACAGCAGAAAGGTTATTTTATGGTTGACATTATTCATTGTTTGGAAGGTACACGTAGGGGATTTCCAAACAGGCAATTGAGTAGTAATGTGACAGTAAGCTCAGCTCCCAATTTACAGAAAAGATGGCTAATTGGGAGTAACAACCTCAGATATTCAAAGCAGGAGTTTGAGGATATAATTACAAATTGAGTGGCCAGATTAAATATCTCACTCTGAGCCACTTACTGAAATGAAAAACAACTACCACATACTTTACAATGACTAATCTTGATAATTATAAGGACTGACTTGACTTTGCCCTGTAACTATGAAATCCTTTTCAGTCTTAATTTTAAGCATACCAACAAAATTACACATAAATTGAAAGCTGCTCGGATGATATGGTTATTTGACTACATGAAAGGTTCTTGTTTCTAAGGACATCAGAGGGGACAGTGACCATCGCCCCCAGCCCAGACTACTTCTCTGAGTTCTGGATAAAAGAGGTGAGGGAAGAATTTGGCCAATTTTAGTAGAAAGAGAAACTCAAACTTCAGTAGAATAACTTACTTCCAAAGAGTTCATTGCTTTTGGAGAGTCTGTCAGCTTCTCTCTCCATTTCATCCACACTGTTTGCTGCCTGAATACGGTCATATAGTACACAGGAGGAAATATTTACTGTCAGGGAAGATAGTGTGTTCAGATGATCAACGAGGTCAATGCTGTTCTCCAGTTTCAGCCTCAGGATATCTGAAGAAGCAAAGCAAACGGACAGAAAGCATGTTATAATGTTATAGTATAATGTTGTTTCTTCTAGTAGTAATGAGGAAAAACAATGATTTGGTAAGTACATGCCAAACTAGACTATAAATAATAGAAAGTTATAGAATTTACTCTAAAAAGATCTAGTACTCTAAATTTAGGAAAATATATGTCCAGTTGTGCACATATTCATTGAATAGAATGTTCGGTTACAAGTGTAGTAAATCCAAGCTCAAACAACAATACAAGATAATTTAAAAATGTATTCTTTTAAATAAGCATCCCTATGTTCATTGCAGTATTATGGCAATTTACAATTGCCAAGATGTGGAAGCAGCCCAAGTGTCCATCAGTGATGAGTGGATAAAACAACTATGGGATATTTACATATTGGAATTCTACTTGGCCATAAAAAAGAAGAAAGTTTTACCCTTTGCAACAGTATGGATAGACCTGGAGAACATTATGCTAAGTGAAATAAGCCAGTCAGAAAAAGAAAAATAGCATTTCACTCATATGTGGAATCGAATGAACAAACCGAATGAACAAGCAAAACAGAGACAGACTCAGACAGAGAGCAGATGACAACTAGTGCTGGGGGTGGGATTAGGGGTCAGAGGGATTGAGCAAAAAAAGAAAAAGGACTCATGGACATGAACAACAGTGTGGTGATTGCTGGAGGGGTGGTATAAGGGCACTAAATGGTAATGGAAAAATACAATAAAGATTAAATAAAAATAAAAATAAATAAAACCTGTGTGGGTTATCTCTATTGGTATCTGTATTAATCTAGATAAAACGATCAAGATTTTATTTCAGGTAATGACTCGGGAAGAAAGAGAATTTAATTGCTCTTCAATTTCATGATTTCTCATGAAGAAATCAACTGAGACAAAGGGCAAATATGAAATCAGAAGTTAATAAATCATTGGCCAATTAAACTTTCACTGACTTGACCACTATGAATACCAAGAAGGCTGTGAATATCATAAATCCCTCCTCATAGAACCTAAACAGTTCTCTTCCACAGTCTAATATAAGACTAAATTTCTAACAGAGGGCAACTTCTTAAATGAATTTCTCATTAGATTTTAAACTGAAATGTTTTGCTGGATACAGATGTTGGTGGGGGAGGGGCAAAATTGTGGTTGAACAGTGTCCTCCAGTGGCCACTGGAAATTAACACAACACCAAGGATTCTTTGAAAATGTTGGTAGACAGTCTCAGAGAAAAGTTATGAGGGTCAGTGATTCACAAATTCACACTATACAGTGCCTCAGATACTGAGTTACATATACAACATATACAACTATACAACCATCAATTGCTATATTCATTTTAGTTTTTTTTAATTCTAAAAAATCCTATCCTATATTTAAAGTTAGGAATGATAAAATTTTTATAAGAACTTTGTAGTAGATCCCTGATATTTTGGTTCCTTACCTAAATGATACTTTTAGAGTATAAATGCACTAATATCTTTCTTTAATCAAACTGGGCTGGGTATCATAAAGTCCATGTAATTATATACACTGTACAATACAAATGTAATCATAATTCCTCCCCACTGGTTTGTGACCTAGGGCACTATGTCCTTGTAGCTCCAGGAATGAGGAGGAGGGTACTTGCTCTACTGCTGCCAGTTTCTGATGCTCCCAATCCCTTCCTCATCCCCATGGTTGCATAGCAACAGTGAATCAGACAGACTGAACTAGGTGTCTTGCATCCTTTAGGTTGAAGGTGGGAATGGCAGAGAGAATGCATGAGTTCAGACGATTTCCTTTGATTCTCTTCAGTCTGGTCCTTCTAAACAACCATTAAAGGAGGATCCAACTTGACCACTGATTTAGTTTTTAGGTTGTTTTTTTTTTAAAGCTCTACATTGCTTTTGTTTTGCTTTTGCTAACTCTATAACCTCTTCTAGTTGCACTCTGGGTTAGTCAAGTGATTCTGAGGCCAGTGGAGAAAAAACTTTCGATGTATCCAGAAATAAACTATTTCAACTTTCTTTGTCCTTAAGGACTTGCTTTTCTTTAAGCTACCAAAAACTAAAAAACTGTCTTCTTACTCTTAGCAATCCCCCAGCCTATCTGTGATTTTAGGAAAAGCTGCACTTACATGAAATATATCACCTTATGATTGCTGAAACTAACTCCAGTTACTGGGTATCCAAATAATCATTACTACTTGTATAACCAATGGGAAAGAAAATGGATATATATCCAGGAGTTTACTTTTCTGAGAAAAAACAAATACAAAAGAAAAGGAAAAGATGTCGTACGGGACAGTGATTTTCACATTTCTGACACCACTAATGAATAAAAGTTGTGTGAATACGGACTCACCGAGTTCATCCATCTGTTTCAATAGTTCAACAGCATCAAGTCCCACGGAGAACTTGATAAAAACTTGCACAAAGGGATTCCTTAATGTATTCTAACAAACAATAACAGAGAATTAGTTTTACTAAAAGAGGAAAACACGTTTACTCATCAGCTAATAATACCCTCCATGAAATCAAGGAACCACTACTGGGCGTTCTGAATAGACCACACTGCAAAGGGCCACATACCAATCCTCGAGAAAGAAAGAGAAAGCATGTGGCTGGTAATGTCCTGGACTGCTAGGCTTTTGTTTGTCTATAGACACAAACTGGTCAGCTGCGAACACAGCCAGACATGACCATAATGATCTGCATTGGGAGATCATATCCAATTTAGCAATTCTTTTTCCCATAGATATGATAGCATTTGTTCTTAACACATTATATACAAAATTTTGATGGTTAATAGTTGAATTTTGTTGAACTGATGTAAACAAAAATAATTTTTTAAAAAATTGGGTTGTCTACATGGAATGTGACATCACAGCTCTTTGGTATACTAGTTCTACTACTTTCTGGCTGTGAAGCTCTCAGCAAGCATTCAGCATTTTCCAGCTTCTGGTTATTTTTCTGTAAAGTAGAGATGAGTGACTCATCAGAACAGTGAAGTGTAAATTATTGTAATGTTTTATATGCTAATAACGGCAACTACCTGAACATGGAAAAATAAGCTAATAATAAAACTTTAAATTACTCCTTGGAAAGACTTAAAATTTTAAAGTAAAACATAAATGCTTTAAAATATAAAAGGCTTTACAGCCATCTCTCAAAATTGGGATGTATAACTTCTATCACTGTAGAAGTACTATTAGGTAATACCTACCGAGAACTTATTATGTGCTGGACACTGTCTAATAGAATTTACCGTGGCTTTCTCAGTTTTCAATAACACTTTGCAGCAAGTACTGTGATTATGCACAGATAACAGAGGGCAAGGCTAGGGCCAACAGAAGTGTGTAAATTCCTGTGGAAGGAGACTTGACTTGGGGTGGTGAGCACACAATATAGCATACAGACCATGTGTTGTAGAATTGCACACCGTAGCTTCAATAATTTTTTAACCAATGTCATCCCAATAAATGCAGTAACTTTAGAAAAAAACAAAGTGTATAAATTCCCCTAAGAACATACAATAAGGCCCAAGGGGAAAGTTGAAGGAAGAGATTTCAATTCGATTAAAGAAATGTTTATGTATGTCTTCTGTGTAAACTCATGGCCCAGTTTTTATGTAAGTCAGGCTTAAGTTGATTGTCCCTTTAGAGGACAGTTTAGTACCACTTCTTTTGTCCTTCTTAACAATATTTTCTGTTTTGTCATCATGGAGATAAATGAGTAAGAATAATACGTATTCATGAAGCATACGTATATATAATAGAATTAATTTGCTAAGTCTGCTGAGGGGTCTAAGAGTAGCTGGTAGCATGCAGACTGATGGCTATCACACAGTTATATTCTATGACAGCCAGGTCCTTTAAAACCTAACTATTTACCAGAAATTAAATTGTGTTTCATGGAAAGACCAACTGAATCAGAGCATTGCTAATAAGCGAAGTACTGTGTTCACTGTGTTTCTGAGATGATCCATCAAAGTTTATTTCTGCCCCCTACCTCCTTTTACAACCATTCCTCTCTATGATATACAATATTATGTTTAAGTGTTTCTACACAGAGAATCCTCATATGTCTCTGAAGTGGTATCAGTACCCATTGTAGAGATTCATAAACTTCAGACCAAGTACATTAAAGAACTGGCCTAAGGATTCACAAATGGAATAGCCAGGTCTTATGCTAAAAGTGTGAAACTTCAAATTCCATGCACATTTGCAGAAATAAGATTTTCCTTCATAATGAAGAATAATGATACATTTTGATCTAGAAAAGAATAAAGATATTTTTGTTAGATGATGATCCTTTAATGGATATGGTCATAGAATTTCTTCTTAGTAAATCACCACACTTCAGACCTATTATGCATAGATCATGTCCTTTGTTAATTTGCCACTTTAGCTAACAAAACTTTCTTTAATGAAATATTATGTGTGGGCTTTTTATCTATCTGTTCACAGAAAAAGCAATCTTCCACATATGCTGATAATGTACTAAGTAGCCTTTGTTATCTGAGATTCACTGAAAGAGGACACTTAAAATGAATGTCCTTATAATTAAAACCAAATTTAATAGTAATTGTGGAGAAGATGTTTGATGAAATGCTTACTGTATATTAATCAAATATATTAAATATCTGTTTTAGAAACTCATATCATTTATAATAAAAAATCAGGTTGTAATTATAACTATGCACTACTTATTAGTAAAAACAAGGACTGAGTAAAGAATGTTTAGGCTGTAATTTTCCTGACAAAGTTGTATAATTCAAATCCTTTATTCTATGATTGACTTCTTGAGTATGATTATTTAAAAAGGCATTAAAAATAGATATTTTTAGGGCTCCATCAATTTTCCAAGGGCCTCTGTCAATTCCTTGATAGACAAGCCATTCTCCTTTGAAGCGCTTGCATTGCCATCATTCCCGCAAATTTTCTCTTCTCCAACAGATAACTGATCCAACTCTGCTTGGTCCATAATTATCAGTAGCTCTTTGTGTGATTTCTCCACATTATTTTGCATCACCTCCCAACCATTCCACATCTCTCACAAGAACAGCAAATTCTACTTTTCAACCAGTGTGCACTCTATTTGAGTTGCATGGTCAAATCTTTAACCAAAACTAGAGTGTCATATGTTTTAACCAAAGAACTCCCCAAATGTAACATTCTTTTCCAGAGTACTAGTATTGTAGGACATCTGCCTCTGTTATGATAGCAAAGTATGATTTAAAGTACAGAAATAAATAAATAAGCATATTTTAACTCATTTTTGTAGCATTTTATTTTTGGGAAACAGATTTCCACCACTAGCTATGTCTCAATATCAACTTGTACGATGGCTTATCTCTGAATTACAGAGAAACTGTGATACGAGAAGGGGGATGAGTATGAACGTGAGTGACAGATCTGTTATCCTGCCCCAGACCCGCTCTCTGGAAGAGAGGAATTTTAATCTGCTGAATATAGATTCTGAGTCCCTATCTTACTATTCCTGTAATGGAGGTGATTAAAATCACAAAGAATTATAAGTTGTATGAAAGTGAGTGACAGAACCATCTCTTACCTGGAGCATCGGAATCGTCTGGTTTAACAGGTGGAAAGAATTCATGAAAAGTGGTGACTGATTCATCCACTCTTGAGATTTTTCTCTTAATTCTGCCAGCTGCCTCAGAGTTACATTAGACTTAAAGACAAAATAAAAAATACATAAGGTAAAGAAAAACAGATCTTGTTTATTAGTATTTTTCCTATATTTCAAAAAGGCTTCTCGAGGATGTTGTGTTACATAACTTAAAGAAACACTTCTAAGAGGCAAAACATATTGCTAGAAATTTCCCAGATGGTCAAAACTTTTTAAATACCAGCTTTTATAGGTTCAAGATCACTTATAAAATTTCTGGAAAATTTAGGGTTTGCTTCATGTTCAGAGTGAAATTATAGCCAAAATAAAAGCATGTTTTCTGCAGTTCTCACAAGTTGTTCATTTTACAAATGATACCCTCAAATTTACTGCTAAAGAAAACAGCAACGTGGAAGGCTAGAAGGAGAGGATACACTCTTATATTGCTGGTGGAAAGAGATGTTACAGCCTTTGTTGGAAAGCAATCTGACATTAGTCATTAAAATCAAATACAATGGCTCTTAATCTTTCAATCATGAACATTCATCTCCCTGAAATAAAAATACCCTTGTGTAAAGTCAAATACCCAAGAGCATTTGTTGCCACCTCGTTTACATTAGCAACAACCAAAAATAAACCCTTGATATAAAATGAACACCCAACAACTGAGGACCGGCTGAGTAAATTCTATGATGTGAAAATTTTCAATCTTCAGAAAAGAATGACTTAGATTATACCTATTGAATTGGAAGAAATTTCCACAAGGTACTGTGGTATGAATAAAAGCAATGCGTTTGAAAGTATTATAATGCAGCCTAATTTTAATAATTCAAACAATGACCAGAGAACTCTGCATATGAATGTATATCTAGTTTAATAATTTATAAAGGATAAGAGAAATGTCATAAATTATAAAAAGGCATATCCTTGAATGCTCACATTCATGAGTTTTCATGGAAAGAAGAGCAGAATAAGAAGGGACAAAAAAAGGAGGTGAGAACCAAGCAAAAAGGAAAGAAAAAAAAGACTTCACTAGAAAATAAGCTTATAATGACTTCATTTATGCAAAATTGTGTAGATGTGTGTAGTCAATACAGCAAATAAGATACTAAAATGTATTTCAATAAAAAGAAAGAACATTCTAGAAATCAGTGATCCGTCATGTTCATTTTTATAGACATAACAATAATGTTACACTTATATAAGTTACAGTTTAGCAAACAAGTAACAGGAAAACAGAGATTTGTTTTTACTTTTATTCTCTCATTTTAAAGGTGTTAACTTTATCATTCAAATCATTAAAGCCAATTTTAAAAGTGAGAAGGAAATGTTATTATGGTTGAATCAGATAGATAAGCAATAGTTACTACTAATAATGTTGTCTTTCTCAACCTCTGTATTTTTTAAAGATTTTATTTATTATTTTCAGAGAGAGAGAGAAAAGGAGGGAGAAAGAGAAGGAGAGAAACATCCATGTGCAAGAGAAACATCAATTGGCTGCTCTTTGCACTCCCCCAACCGGGGACCAGGCCTGCAACCCAGGTATGTGCCCTGACCAGGACCTGAACCAGCAACCTTTTGGTCCATAGACTGGTGCTCAATCCACTGAGCCACAGCAGCCAGGACTCAATTTCTGTATTCTATATAAGATGTTATATTGTACAACCATATATATGAAGTCAAGAATCTATTATTTAGGGATTGTTTTTGTTTAAATTAGTTATATAATGCTTCAATATTATTTTGTCTAGTGTTCATTCTTTTTACATGCTTAGAAAGTTAGACAAGAGTTGTCGAAAAACATTCTGCTTTGGGAGATAAGTTGAAAAATCCGAGGCCTTGCTCTCACTAACCTCATAGTCAAGTATCAACATGGTTCATTTCTCTTCAAAGAGCTACCACCCAATCTACATTGTTTACATAGACAGGTTGTAAGTGGAGAATTATTAACAGTTTCAGAAAGCCAAAGGTAATAGTAGGTAAGATATAGAGAAATCTGAGTCAGGGTAAAATTGGAAGTTGCTTATTTTAAAAATCATTTTAATATGCAAGATAGAAACTTTGATTTATAATGGACAAACCTTTTCCATGATTGCCTTAGTGACTGGAGTATATGGCGCATACAAAATCTTTCCCAACAACATAGGTTTCAAGAAAGCCCAAATCACAGGTCCAGCAGGCATGTTAATGATGTCTTTGTAAAGGGAGAAGCAAAATGGTGCTGGAAAGAAAGTGTAATAAAAAATTTTAGTGTATGTATTTCAAATCTATTTGTAGATGGTAATAAATTGACACAGATTATTGTTATCACACCCCAAAACAATTCCTTAGCACTATTAACAGATGTGAAGCACCGAATATCTAAGTTAGAAAGCACAGTAACAATTTTATTTTTTTTTAGGTATAAAAGTTTAACACAACAAACACGCTCATAAAAAGTGATGGTGTTTTTGTCAAGAGGAGTTAGAAAGATTGAAATCACATTGCAAAACTGCTTCCAATAGATCCACCTCACCAGCACTTAATTTAGAATGCACACATATCCATATACGTGTGTATACATATATATACACCAGATACAGGAGCTGTTTGATAAATGTTTGCTGAATAAATAAAAAGACCAAGAAATGAGTCAATCCAATTGCTGTACTAAACATCTACATATTACTTGGAAGAGCTCAGCCAACCGTGTTTTACATCTCAAAGTTCGTGGATGAGGTAAATAACTTTGAGGTGCCACTAAAAGCTCACAGTCCTGCTGTGTTTGTGGAACTTCTCTTCGCTGGTGTAGATTCCTAGTTCTAGAATGTTAAGAAAAAAATACAGACTGAACAGATTTAAAGTGTGTATTTACGTTCTCTCTTGGCAAGGAAGGCGTGATTAACGACGGACAAATTCTCAACGTTATGCATAAGTGGCTAGACTTTGTGGCAGACTGGTCGTCTGGGCCCCAGTCACAACTCTGATTATTTCCAAGTTGGATGACCGTGGCCAGATTCCTCAGTCTCTGTGTGCCCTCTGCCCCCTTACTGAGATGAAGATACAGGCATGCGTACCTCTTGGGGTCGTGGTGAAGAGTGGGTGAGTTAACATACACAACATGCTTGACATGCGGAAAGGGCGGTATAAATGTTTTCTATTTTTATATTCGGAGAAGATTAATACTTCGTTTATTATTAAAAGCTAAGATAGAGTAGACAATGTTGTTAGGTGATATTACCATGCTGATTTTGAAGTATACTCACTGGCATTTGTGGGAACTCCATATTTTGCAGCAATTTGCTCTTTACTTAATTTGTAAGTCAACAAATCTTCGGTGCGGTTGCCCCTTTGCCTCTGGGAAGAGGGCAGCAAGGCGGTCAAGTATTCGGTGGTGATTCCTTGGGAACACAAGGCTTGGGAGATGGTGCTGAATGATCCCGGGGTTGTGCTCATCCGATTGCTCCTGTACATTGCCTGTGAGACCAAAATCCACGACTTGTGAACATCGTATGAGCTACAGATGTTCGTCTAGGAGCAAAACCTGACAATACTTAGAGTATTCTTATAGTTCCCACACTTCACAATTCCTTTGAAACTTGTATCCCAAATGGAAATGCAGACTGAGAAACTTCAATTTAAGCTGGAGAAGAAGAGTTTTCTTGCAGATTTTTTTTGCAGCGTACCTTATTCATAACGATGTATTATAACTAATCTTAAATACAAGTTGATACGACAGAAGGAATTTTCCAACAAGAACGCCACTGGGCGACTTCCCTACCTGCGTTAGGGGAACGCTTCTGGGCAGGTGCATTTGTCTCAGGGACCTCATTTTGCTGAGCAGCGGGTGTGCGCCGGAAGCCAGCTGGTTGAGGATGCCTTTGAGCTTCATGAAGAGTTCTATCATCTTTTCTACTGGCTTTTGATCTTCCCTGGGAAAAAACACCTAAAAGAAACAGAATAAAAATAGATGATTTATGTGGGGAAACCAGAACCTGCGCACACCATTGGTGAGGATATTAAAAGGGAAGGCCACTTTGGAAAACATTTTGGAAGTTTATTGAATGGTTAAACACAAATATACCATAAAACCCAGCAGTTCTGTTCCTAGGGATTTGCTGAGAGAAATGACAACGATATGTCTACACAAAGCCTTGAAGGTCTGCCGTACGTAGGCTTGCTCACCAGAGCCAACAGGTGAGAACAATCCACGTGAAAGGATACAATATATATCCTTAAACTGGCATACTACTTAGCAATGAACAAATAATGAAGTATTTACACAAGTTGCAACATGTATGAAACTCAAAAACATTATACTAAGTGAAAAAAACACACACAAAGACCACGTAGTATGTAATACGATTTATGTAAAAGGTCTCAACAAGGCAAATCTATGAAGACAGAAAGCAGAGTAGAGGTTGCTGGGCTTGAGTTCAGAATGGGAAGTGGCTGCAAATGGACATGGGCTTTTCCTTGGACTGATGGAAATGTTCTAAAATCACATCGTGGTAATAGTTGCACAATTTTTCACATTTATTTAAAAAAATCATTAAACTGTACCCTTGAGTGAATTTTATGGCATACAAATACCTCAATAAACTTGCCAAAAAATGATTTTAAAAGTCAGAAAGGTAAATATCCATTATATCATTCTTCATGTATGCTATTGGTCAAAAAGTCATAATGTTCTCCTTAGAAGCAGAAAAGCTCTGTCCCAAAGCTCACATAATTTATTTAATCCTAATCCTATAAATCCTAATCCCATTTCTGCTGCAGAAAAAAAAACACTAAAAATATTTTAAAATTTTAAAGTCGTTTTATCCTCTTACTCATTTATTATGTGAAAATTAATTGAATGCCTGTTCTGTTTCCAGCACTGGGTGAGGTGATGGGTATACAGTGGTGCTCAAACTGGCATCCTCCCTCCAATAGAGAGCTTTGATCTAAGAGCTATCAAATAAATGTGAGCTATCAAATAAATGTGAGCAAGCGTGGAGGCAGAGAAGCCAGATAAGAGGTTATCACAGATATATAGATGTGATATAGTAGTGACTCAGAAAAGGATTATTTACAAGTAGTCTTAAAACATTTTCATCCCTTTTGCTATGATTCAACAAAGTAAGTCAGTTGGTTGCTTTTGTTTTTTGGTACCAAAAGAGAGAGACATATTTTTCAGTGTTTTTAATAACGTAAGTATTTTTGACCTACTTTAGAATTGGGTGAACAGAGTGCTTAGTTTTCTTATGTTTCTATTTTTTCTTTCAGTTTTTTATTAAATAAGTACTAATAAAGCATCTACTTTTTGCAAGATGAAGTCATTGCTGACTTTACTGAGCTCTAATAGTGACCACTTGTTTTATTCCACTGGATAATAATGGTAGCTTCTATCTAAATTGATGAAACACAAATTTTTATTGAAAACACACCAAAAATCTCTTTCTGGTTTACTTGAATAAAATAACTGTTTCTAATATTTAATTTTATCTTAACAAATTAATGCTTATTCACTATCAAAATTATCATAACATTTATAGTTCACACATTAGCATAGTATATATTAAATTTATATATTATATATACCTCAAATTTAATTCCTGCTCTTGAATACATGAACTGAGAGTTAATAAGTCAATAATATTAATTTATTCATCTATAAATGTGCAAATTTGCCATATATAATCTCTAAGGTCCCATGTCACTCTAAAATAAAGCTGTATTTTCCACAAGCTATATAAATGGATTTTATTCCTTATAGTATCAGACAGCACACATGTGTAATGGCCTATTTTATACTAAAGTATGAGTATCAAGATATTTCATCGGCAGCAACTCGCCTTGTACGTGAAGTTGTAGATGTCTAAGTAGTGCAGAAGAGTGAGTCCAATGAGGTAAGACTGCCGGGACCGCTCTGGAAGAGGCAGGCTGCAGAATTCCTCCATCGCCCTTTCCAGCTTGGGATCGGTCATATTAGCATCACACGAATGCAGCCAGAACACACGAGAAATAATCTGCAAGTCGGAGGAAGAAAAACATTTTATCTGTGAATCCTTTGAGAGCCATCTGTCCATCTTGAGAAATTTTTCTTATACTCTTACACTCCATTAAAAAAATATGACGTCCTCAGAATCAAATACTTATTTAAAGCAGTAATTACTACCAGTAAAGCTGCAGTAAGCCTGCAGTTCACTGGGAGGCTCAAGGAATAAGAAGGGGAAAGAGACAGAGGGATGTACAATTACTTCTTGCTTGAACGCCTAGCTGCATGATGGCACCAAGAAAAATAGTTGGTTTGGAGTAAATTTCAGAAAAATACTAACTTAACACTCATGGTGCCTTTAAAACTCAACCTTAGTTTATTTAAATTGCATTTTATTTTTATAGTCATTCAAAGTTGTAATCTCGTCCAATGAACTCTTGGGCTCAGAACTGAAAGGCAAAGAAAAATGCCCAGAATCCCACAGTAACGTGAATCAACCTGGGCAGTAATGCGGGTGTGAAAAGTGAGGGTTAAATATAGGAAACAAGATGTCATCTCCACGGCCACCAAATTGAAATGAAAAGAAAAGCCTATGAAATTCCAGATTACAGAAACTTTTCTCTCTTCCTTTTGAAAGCAGTAAGAATGAATTCTCTCCCTTTACTGGCTTTAGTTTATTAAAATGAAGCTGCTCTTCAGAAGCTAAAAGCAGAGTTGCAGAAATTAAATCTTAGGATCAAATGAGCAAAAGGTGAGATCAAAGGGAAAAGGTGAAGGAATGCCATTTGCTAGAACCAGAGGAAAAAAAGTGAAGTCAAAGCAGTTTCCATTTTTGGATTGAGGAAGCGATTAACATGACAAAAGGACATGTAAGTATTTTCCAAAGGCAGCCTTAGAGGCATTTAAAAAACATTATCTAATATTGGAGAATGGCTGGGCTGTGCTTAAAATGGCACACTCTGTCACATGTAAAATTTGAATGAATGAGGCAGCTCTTTTGGAAAACTTCTATGACACTTGCAGATGACAATGGACTTAGAAAAGAGATGAAGGATAAATGATTGCAAGTAGCAAACCCTATTATCAGCCTAGGAAGAAATGATACTTTCATTTTCACATCCCTAATAATGTATATCACACCTGCAAAACGTCCACAAACTTCCTTTGACCATATCTATGTTATATATTGTCTTGTCTAGGGACTTTTACAAAATGAAAAACAAAAACAAGTATTCATATTTATTTTAGTTTTTACAAATTATAAATGGTCTTCCTGTTTTGTCCCTTAATTAGGTTACTGAAACTTTGATATCATCATAATAGATATTTATGATGCAAATTTACCTCCGATAAGGTGATCGTGACAGTGAACATAAGGAATTGATGTCACCACTTATTGAAGGAAACCATCTGGGGGTAAAGAAAAGGAGAGGAACAAGGAGGCAAGAGGAAGGGAAGAAAGACTAGAAGGAAAGGAACAGAAAGTGGTATATTTTCTTGCTTCAGGATTTTTCTTCTGTCTTCATATAAGATCTAGCCCTCTAATTTTATCACTTGCATAGAAAATTCACCAGATTTATATTCAACTACTCAGTGTTTTACCGATAAATGTCCAACAAATATTTAACGCTATTTAGACTTTTAAATACTGGATGTAAGGACAGATGCGTTCCACCCCACCTCAGCTCTGTTGTCAGGGATAGGAATCGCCAGCATATTGTCGATACTCCTGTTGGACAGTCCTGTCAGTCTCTGCATCTCTTCCTTCAGTGTTTCCACATTTTTAAACATTTCGATTAACTGTTCTGCAAGGGGAAAAACAAGGAAAGAAAAAAAAACTCACATGTTGATTGTGATATAATTTTTTCAGTTGTACTAAAACAGAGAAACCTTCTAAGCTAACACATATATTCAACACATATTTCTTGTGTCTGGAACAAATGTCTCCCAGTTCTGGCAAACTTTGCATCCTTAGAATGTACTTCTATCCGATTTAGACTTGTTCCTGGTACAGTATCACTAACCTACTGTAACCGATTACACCACATTCCTTAGATGTCTGCAACTCAAGATTCATTCAAAGAAAAAAGGGTTTCCTCAGAGACTCTGATCACATAGTGAACTAAATATATGTCTCTCCATTTGATTTAAAACATCACACACATTCAAAATGATTTTTAACCTTGGATTATATAACATTGTCAACGTAGGGCATGGTGTGTTAAATCTACAACACAGGGCCTCAGGGCACAGGGCATTTTCCCATAACTTTGCCCAGCATGCTATAGTTTATAAAGAGTTCTCAAATAGCCCTGGCTGATGTGGCTCAGTGGATTGAGCACCAGCCTGCAAGCCAAAGGGTGGCTGGTTTGATTCCCAGTAGGGGCACATGCCTGGGTTACAGGACAGGCCCCCAAAAGGAAGTGCCCGAGAGGCCAACCACACATCAGTGTTTCTCTCCCTCTCTTTCTCCCTCCTTTCCCCTCTCTAAAAATAAATAAATAAATAAAATCTTTTTTAAAAATGGAGTTTTCAAATAGAATGTGTTTAATTTCAAACTCTTTTAGGACAGTAATTATAATTACTTCATATCTGGGTCATTTAATGCATAATATTTTGACTTCATTTTGGCAGATGGTGATCTCCATTCTGCAAATACCGTTCAACTTCTTTATGAAGTCTCCCTCATGCAAACACACTGCCTTTATTTTTGGACTCAGTGACCTTCCACTTCAGTGGCTGCCTATTGTCCGAAATTCTAAGTGCCTTTCTGTTCAGTATTGAGGTATTATGCAAAGAAGAAACATTGCATGATGCATCATGCTCAGAATACTAATAGGAGGTTCTGAATTTATGTTGAGAGCAGTGCATCTATTTTGTTTTTTAAATCATATTATTCTCACAGAAGTAAATAAATTTCATCCTACCTTTATTGGCAGACCATTGAATGCACTTTAATATATCAGAGAAACAAAAGGTAACTGGTCTAACTAGTTAAATGTTTGAAGACCTTTTCATTGTGAAATCAAATTTCCCTGTTTCATTCTCTGCTAGCTTTCTGTGTCTTTACTTTAGATGAGTAACCACATTTGAAAGCTTCAGGTTTCGGAGGTGAAAGAGCTGATATGAAGCAGGCTTTGTTGAGAACTTCAAAAAAGCTTTCCTTAAACTGCAGCATGAGAATCACACACATTCTAATAAGATGGAATTTAAAATATGGACAGGGACACACCTGGTTTTTCAGAAGTGTCTGCACTGTGATTGACATGCAGTGTGGCTTCTATGGCTGGTATTAATCGTGTAATATTTTCCAAGTAATTCATTTGCAATGCCTGTTCTAGAAACCTGGAACAGAACAGAAGAGGAAATTGAACTCGCCATTTCAATAATTTGAGAAGCGATTTCATCAAGGAAGAAGACAGTGGAAAAACATACCGATCCATATTTAAATTAATTTTGATCGGATCCCCAGTCAGCAGATCTTTCAGTTTTTTGGAGATGATGTTGTTGTACAGTAAGCTGGTTGCTATTTCGGTGCTGAGCTCTGCTGCCTCCAGAAGTTGCACATGAAGCGCACTCTCTTCACACAAGTTTCTGAAGTTCATATCAGAGAGCGGGCACAGCTTCTCTACCGAACTGAAAGTTTCGGGTTCACAAAGGAGTTCTGTCAAGTGCCGAAGTTGAGACACCTTTCCAAAGGGGGAAAAGAGTGGCAAATCAAGGTTACATTATTCTAAATACTTAGTAGTTGATAATAAGCACAACCGATTTACTTCAAAAAATTCATTCATGTGTTTAGTGAGTTGGCATTCGGCAACAGTGTTACCCTGAAGCACTCTTTTCTGTCAGGTGAGGTTATTGCTCTCTTAAGAACGTTAAAGGAGACCAAATATTTGGTAAGAGAAGACGGTTTGACTTTGGATGGTAAACACCCATTGCAATATACAGATCGTGTATAACAGAAATGTACATTTGAAACCTATATAATATGATCCTACTGACCAATGCCGCCCTAATAAATTTTCAAAAACTAAATTAAATTTTAAAATTTTATAAAACTTTTAGACCTATCAGACATATCTTTCCCAACTGTACTCATACCTTATAGATGCAAAGTTTAAAAAGATTTCATTTAATTTTATCTATTTAAATCACAAATATTTAAACTAATTTTGTATTTTAGTTTATATATTAGTTATGGGTAAGGGAAGATAGCAAAGCAAGTTTGGTATGGAACTTCAAAAAAGCCCATCTTCCTCATACCCATTAAGATGGGTACTGTTTTTAAAAATGCCTCCAACCAACACAAAAACTAAAATAGAAAATAGCAAGTGTTGGCAACGATATGGAGCAATTGGAACACTTGTACCCCGTTGGTGGGAAGGTGAAATAATGTAGCCACTATGGAAAACAATAGGGTGGTTCCTCAAAGAACTAAAAATAGAATTATTATACAATCTACTTTACACAGAAGTAAAAGAAAAGAAAAGAAAGTGCACTATAACTAGACCAGATGGACTTGTATCTGTTAACACCAATATACCTAATATACACAATACCTAATATATATACACAGTATACCTAAAAGTATTGGGAGTTTAATTTTAAACAGCTATTTGTTGATGGCAGCATTACTCACAATAGCCAACAGGGGGAAGCAACCCAATATTTAATATTTAATATTCTAATTGATTTCCAGATTTGAGGTATTTAAAATGGACTCACATGTATTAAAATTCTACTTACTAGTCTTAGTGCTGAGAGAAATTTCCATTATGTGGTAGATCCAACCATTTACCAGCTGTAACTACATGTTTGCCACTCTGTTCCTTCAACTTTTCCCAGTGTAGGCATGATTAAAGTTCTAATGAACAGAGCCAAGCCTTCTTGGCACATCCTCCAGTGACTTTTATTTTAGTGATTTCTTAAATATAAAAGGGTAAATACTGGTAGCCCAATATACTTGTTTTAATTGAGACTTCGAGTATGCAGTAAATTTGAATGACTTTTACTCCTCAGTAGAGACCCAGCTATATTTTTTTATTGCAAGTTTGGCATACATGTATGAGAAACCAGTAAAAATCCATATAGCATAATCTTGGCTTGGTAAGATAAAAGTAATAGAAGTAAAATGCAAATCTTGCCATGCCATTGAGGTAGATTTGGTTCTCTGAAATAATAATCTAATTCAGGGTCAATATTGTGGAAGGCACTGAGAGGTGCATCTAGCAAGGAGCTTCATGACACCCATTTAGTATTTATCAATTTGTTCATATGTGTATTAGAATGTTAGTGCTATATGGGTTATTAGTAATCAACATAAATTCAGGGAATTATAATTCTGTCTTTAAACATATATGTCAAGTCCAGACTGAAGGTTTGTCAGAGCCTCACATAGAGCCCCTCTCTCTTTTATCACCAACCTGTTCCACATAGTTAGTAAAGACTCAGGCCTCACTGGAACAATGACTGTAACTAATTCCATCTCTGGCTGCAACTACATTTCCTAGTACTTATGGTTCCCACATGCATCTGAATCAGAATTGTATGTGACATGATGGTGTACACATCAGAATACTGTTAAGCATAAAAATTATAAAACAGCAACACTCTTGGTCCCTTTAGGGAAAGGGTACTATTTAAAAATGTAAAAGTGTTAACAATAAACATATTGTGTTGTGAATATTTCTGCCCAGCATAGGGAATATCTACTTCATTTGCAGTTCCCCAATCATATTACACTTCCATGAAAGCAACTGGAAAGAAAAAGGAATAAAATAGACAATGAAGGACGGAGAGGACACAAAAGTTCTAGAGTAGAATGTTATAGCTAGAACAGAGGGGTGGGAACAAGGGAAAAGTCACCGATGAATAACAGTCATTTGACATTTTGGAAGGTCTAAACCTTCTTAGGAATACCATGAGTAAAGTTTTTGGACCTGGCTGGTGTAGCTCAGTGAATTGAGCACAGGTTGTGAACCAAAGCATCACAGGTTCGATTCCCAATCAGGGCACATGCCTGGGTTGCAGGCCATGGCCCCCAGCAACCGCACATTGATATTTCTCTCTCTCTCTTTCTCCCTCCCTTCCCTTTCTAAAAATAAATACATAAAATATTTTAAAAATAATAAATAAATAAAGTTTTTGAATGGCTGGCCTTGACCGTCACAATCAGAGTCCTAATTACCAGGGAGGGCAAACAGGGGAATAAAAGCATCTCTTATTGTAAAACTCTAGGATAGTTTGTCCTCATTCTTTCAATAATATGTACTGGATATTTTCTGTGTGTCGCGCTCTGTGTCAGGTGCTGAGGATATAACAGTAAAGGGACAAACTTAGCAACATTCCTCATGGAGCTTGTAGTCTTGGGATAAATGGGTTGTCAGTGGCAAATAGCAGCCATGCTTTTACAAATGAAAATGCATTTTCTATCCAAGGGACAAAATTGTAATTTGTTTCCATCTTGGTGGCTTCTAGAAATTTTTTCTTAATATAACCCTCTAGGGGAACAGTATATTAAAAATGTAGATGCTGTTTTATATTATTCTTAGCTCCATTCCCATTCCATTACAGTAAATGATTGAGAATGCTTTCTTTCTATTTCTCTAGCATAAATTGTACACTGCTCAGTTACTTTGCAAGTTGAAAAATACAATGAGTAGTTGCCCAGATAACACAATTACATGGTCAAGGCTCGACTTTAACACTTATTCATGCATTCAGAAGTCAAGTCTTAAGCTCCCACTATGTGCTAGGGGCTTTAGAGATGCAGATGCATAATTTAATCAGAGTTTATACTCTAGTAAGGGAAATAGACCTTATATATACAGAAAATTATAGTGCTAAGTATAAGTTCCAAAAGCCAGAAAATCTCCGTCATCAGAATCTCTTCCTCACACCTCACACCCCACTGCCTGCCACCATTTCCTGTTAACTCAGCCTCGTACAGCACCCTTGAAAGTGTCTCTCCCTTCTAATTCTCTGCCATTGGCATAGTGCACACTCTCAATTTTTGCTTAGGTTACTTCAGATATCACCTATTTGGCTTTCCTCCAACCTACCCTCCACAATTCTCCCAGAGAGATCTCTTTCTAAAATGCAGTTATCACCCTAAAATTCACAACTTTTTCAGGATCAGGTTCAAACTCCTCGGCTACACACAAAGCAGTCTTTGGGATCTGGGCCCAGGTTCTGCACATCCCCCCTTTCCTGCCTCTCCCACAGGCACCTTCTGCTTGGGCTGGACACATGACACCAGGTAGCCTGTATCTGTCCTTCAGGTTCACACCGCTGTCATCTTACAAATGTAGGTCCCTAAGTCTGGAAGGTAGGACTGTAACCGAATTCTACACAGTCCTGCAAGACTCCAAATAAGCATTACCTCCTCTATGACATTTTTTTTTCCCTCCGCCTCCATCCCTTGCAGTCTGACTTGATATCCCTCCTCCCCGCACAGAATCCTGCCCTTCCACATACCGCAGCACTTATCTTACCATGTTACAATTACTGGTCTGCCTTTCCAAGTTCTCCAATTGATGATACGAATTTTGAAGAAATAGATTAGTATTATGGGAGTACAGATGATAGACTGAATGAAAGAATGAATAAATGCTCTGTGCACACAAAGTCATTATCCTGGCCAAGAAACAGGAAGACAGGTGATATTCTAATATCACTGGGATGACGAACTTGTCCTTGAAGGATGAGTAGATATTCTTCAGATAAATGCATAACTTCCTTCTCATTTGCACAAATTAAGGTAGTGCTAAATGGAGTACATTAAAAATGTTGATTTGTGTAGAAGACTTAGGACTACCATGTAGGTAGTCTAACTAGCACATATATTTGTAATATTCATGGATATGTGATTTGGATGCCTGCTTAATGTCGACTCCAGAGCAAGTCATCTCGCATGCCCTGAATAAACAAGGTCTAATTTTACTTTATCCCTGGCTACATAAATCAGATTAAACTGCTGTTCTTACCAGGAAAACTGCTTTTGAAATTTAATAGGGCTATTTAAGAAATGAAGTGAATTTCATGATAACCTGCATACTATATGCATGAGCTAAACAAAGAATAATATGCAAATAAACACGAACTTATCCACACTTCAGAGTTTTCATTTTTTCTTGCTTTCTCTTCTTTCTTCAATATCATAAGATTTAATATGAATTATTAGTTTCTTCTCATAGTGACAATAATAAAAATAAAGCGAGTCAACTTCTGAGATTTTTTCAGCACATTGTAAAGTCTAAAACATTATCAGCTTTTGAAGTCAGATTTTATAGTTTAGAAAACTAAAGACAACTCAAATTAGAAATAATATTATGAATCCTTTTTCAAGTCATGAAGCTTCATGAGATGACTATATTTTTAGTCATTCTTTTATGTATATGCACACTGTAACTCGGCTCTTAAGGGTCATTTCATGCAGACACATCCACCAATTAAAAACAAAATACCCTAACACCTGCACACTTCTGTCACCAATTCCCAGCATGAATCTAGAGTCCAAATAAGACCAATATTTACGAAGATAGAGATTTAAAACTTCAACTAAATCCATCTTGCCGAAGTGTTGACATTTATGTTTTTCTTTCAGGGCTTACTTTTGATTTCAGGACTTCAGGAAGTGAAGGAAAGTAATCCTCATAGGAACCATTTTGAAGAATATATTTTTTAAATTGAATTGTAGACTGCAAGAGTCTTAAATTTTCTGTAAAAAAAGGGAAGAAAAGTTATCTTATGTGAATTGCAAGGTTATTTAGGAAACCAATTTGAAAGATACCTTTTTCCTAATTTATTACTTTTTCTACAATAACAACTTAGTTCAGTATAAACATAAAACAGATGAAAATTTAACTTTTTCTTGAACCATGGAGACTACAGAGTTCATTATTTTAAAAATATTCACATAGCCTGCTTTGAGACAAAAATATTTCTAGCAAAGGTGCTAAACAATTTTGGCTCTCTGTGAATTGAATATGTTTTTATTTATGACTTTTGGATCTACTATTAAGTTTAAGTGTATATGGGTGAACAGGTTATGTAATCACTGTCACACAAATATACCCTTACAACCTTAATTAATTCATGCCCACTAAACGGAGACCATGTTAATTATTTGTTGTGCTATTTGCTTGCCATTAAGTTTCAAAAACAGTTTTGGTGTAGATAAGTGAATACTTATCTCCTATGAAATGTGAAAACATAGATATTTTCTCTTTAAAAGAAAAGAAACCTTTGATTAAATGCAATTTTTTATGGTTGCCCACATAGGAAGAAAACTGAAAATAAAGTGTGTAACAGTAGGAGGTACAAATAGTCTGCCACAAAGATCCCTTTGTGCACATAATTTACATCTACTTTTGGAAGTCTGTATTCTCATTCTTCATTATTTTTTGACAACTAAAATGACTAAGGGCACAGAAAATGTATGAAGGGTTGGATGAACCCCTCATGACTCCGGACCTTTGGAAAGTTTGTCCAGGGGGCCAGGGTGTACTAGCAATAGCAAGAGAAGTAATATTATAATAATATGATTATATATTCCTTTGATATGTCAAATCACCAAACTGAAACCGATGCATATGGAAACTAAGATTTTATTTTATTTTAATTTTTTAAAAGACTTTATTTATTTTTTTAGAGAGGGGGAAGGGAGGAAGAAAGAGAGGGAGAGAAACATCAATGTGTGGTTGCCTTTCACGTGGGCCCCACTGGGGACCTGGCCCGCAACCCAGGCATGTGCCCTGACTGGGAATTGAACCGGCGACTTTTTTGTTTTCAGCCTGCACTCAGTCCACTGAGCTACTCAGTCAGGTTGGAAACTAAGATTTTAAAATTTTCTTTACTTTTTAAGCAAATGTCTTAAAAGTCTTACTACTTTAGAGGAGAATAAGAAGAATGTTACCTTGTGACCCCCTGGCCAAGTGGTCAGTGACATTTCTCACACATGCCAAATAAGGAATGTAAGGACTATCGGCTGATATATTTAAGAGGGCATCTTCGAAATTTTCCAGTATTAGGAGCCTATAGAATTAGAAAAGAATACGTAAATTAAGTCACATGAAAATAAAGCAAAGCCATTTTTGTGAGATCATGTGGGTCCCTGGTTTTTACACACAGGCTAACTTGAGCATCGAAACACTGGGAATCAGGATGTCTCCCCTCAACCAGCCCAAGTGCACCGTGACAGCCTGATCCTGGGTTCTCTGAGCACTTGCCTTTCCCTTGGCATGAGCAGTGTATTTAACTATTTTAATATCCAATCATAACTAGTATTAAGATAATTTTTAGGCCAATGTATGGGGAAGAAAAAAAGCACTGGGCTAAGAGTGCTTGATAAAATACACAACTCCAAGTTAAATTGGAATTTCATGTCAACAATAAATAACTTTTTGATGTAAGTACGTCCCATGAGTCTCCCACGGTTTTTTCTTTTCCCTCTAAACCTGGCAACCCCACACTGGATCTCATCTTCTTCTGTGGTCTAATGAGGGGCTGGATGATCTGCTAGGTTCTTTACACCTATAACATTCTCTAAGTACATTTAAGCTCATTTCACTGTGGTAAAAGAGAAACAGTGGCATCCATTTGAACAATGTACATTTTTTTAAAACTCTAAACAATCAACAAATTTTGTGTTACCAAATTAACTACTTTATGGTTTCTTTCTGACTGGTAAATGAGAACATGCCTAGGATTTTTGAGGCAGATGTATGTGAGTGAATAAATGTGTGCGTTATGCATGCCCCTCGCTTCCCCGTGAGGCTGTTTCTCTATTCATTTTGTAACTTCTTCCCTTAATGCCTACTGTTGAATTTCATTTTGGCAGATAGAAGATAAATGTCAATGACTGATTTGGAGACCATCTAATTTGAATCAAACTGTACAATACACAAATTAACTAGTTTTGTCAGATGTGTTTAACTCGGATTTTCAAATAGCGAGGGGAAAGATTTACCCTGGCATAACTAGCAAGTGTGAAGGAAAATGTTTGCATTAACATGAAAAAAGTCTCAGGGTGTTTAGATGTGGGTCAACAACACTGGATCCTTCAGGAACTTCAGAGAGAAATCTATGTCAAGAAAAGTCTCTGACTTGGCAGTCAGAGCACAGCTAATTGGTGCAATGGCTGACCCTTACATAAATACAGTCCCTAGCCTTCCTAGTAAAAAGAAAATAGCAATCATTTCCAAGCCCTCTTGCTTTTGCTTGTGCATTTTTGACCAGGGACTCTCTCCCCAGTATTGTCTTTTCCTCTTTTGTGTTTGTCTTCCTTTCTGCTAGTTATTATAGCATAGAGCCATTTCCATTCTGATGTAGTGCTCAAGAGCAAAATATGAGCCTGACCTTCTAAATCGGGGTGTCAAACTCGTTTTCACCAACGGTCACATCAGCCTCACGGTGGCCTTCAAAGGGCCGAATGTAATTTTAGGACTGTATAAATGTAACTACTCCTTAACTAGGTAGAAACAAGGTGCTGGGTCAGATAAAACAAGGTGGAGGGCAGGATTCAGCCCTCGGGCCTTGTGTTTGCCGCCTGTGTTCTAAACGCAATGGCACAGGAGGTTCTCACAATAACATTTCAAGCTTAAAATAAAAGAATGTTGTGCTAGACGTGACTTTGAAATATCATCTAAGCCATTCTCTTAGTTTTATAATATTTGATTGATGAGATTTTTGAGATTGGATTTACTATAGCCCCCAAATGAAGATTCCATATCCATGTGCCACTGTCTTGGTATAAACATCCAATTACCCCTTCTAACGGTTTAATTTATGTACCCTGTATATGTGATCCTGTCTACTCCACATGAACGCTTGCATTAAGGAGATGAGCTTGTGGATGTGTGCACGCGTGAGTGTCCATACCCACACACACGCAAAACAATAAAAACTACAACCTTAGAACAAAAATAATGAGGAAGGAGAAGAGCTAAGAAAAAAAAACACTTTTGAGCAGCTTTCTTTACAAAGCTCTGGACCATAATTTTTTAATTTTATGCCAAGTGTGCCACTCTGCAATTATTTTAAAGCGGGAAGAGAAAGGAAGTGCAGAGATAAGAAATCCCTTCATGGTATCAGTCTCAACAAGAAGCATCTTAAAGTACTGAGTTCTCCCTAATAAACTGTCAGCGAGCTGTCAGCAGCTAACTGTGTTTGCTGTGAAATTTGTGGGTCTGAGGTGTCAGCATTATCGATGCTGTGGGTGCCTCGAGGCCCTGATGGAGATACCCGGCTTCAGCGATAATCACCAGTTATCGCGGCTCAAGGCTTTTTATTTATTTATTTATTCATTTTCGATAGCTATGAAAGGCTATTTGAAACACGGCACCCTGGCTAGGGGGAAACTTCCCAAGGCTGCCCAGTTGTTCCGTGAGAAGCATGTGGTCCAGCCGCCCTCGAGGAGAAGAGGGGTGGGACAGAGATAGGAGGTAGTTGTTTATGGAAGGATTTTGCCTAGAATTACCCAGAGTGGGAGAACTTCTCGCTAAGTAATAGATTAGAAATAACTGCATAAATTTGATTTTAGAAGAAGAAATTCATGGTTAAAAATAAGCCCTACTATTTGTTATTATTTATACAAATTTCTATTAACATAGAAATGTGTCCTTTGGGACTAAAGTGAAAAATTTCAATAGTGTATTTTATCAGGCCTAAACAATTTTTACATAACAGGTCATCTCTAAATTTGCCTTGATATAGGAATTTACTTCAATCAGCTTCTAGAGGCAACTGCTTGCATTGCCTACAATAACTGCTACAGTTATTACAGGGAACTGCTTGTAATAATGGGCCTTAGAAGCCAAGGTTGCTGCTGTCATATCCACTGCCTATTTCTGGGATGACATATTTATATGCCCCAATAATACTCCAACATTGAATTACCTATAAACAGTTTGCTACCCAAATACTACTGAAGCAAACAAATTTTTGCATTACCTTGAATGGCCATAAGAAATACTTCGATTTTTAAAAACTGAAATAAATAGCAATGTGAAAAATTGAAGGCTTATACCTTTTTCATGATGAAAAACCTTTAAAAGAGTTGGAAATTGGAACTCCAGCTAGATTTTCCTCATAGACATAAGGTAACCAACCAATCCAGAGAGGACAAATTGGATCTAATTATGCAATCTTAGAATTGAAAAAGAGATCCTTCAAAGTTTCAACTTGACTACACCACCTATATACCCTTTTCTTTGGTCAGTCAACAATTGACTTTCCTTTTCCATAGTCTTACACATATAAAAGAATTTATGTCTATGAACTGTTTTGATCGTTGCAGCCAAGTTACCTTCCAATTTAGAACAAACCAACAAAACAACAAAGACTTACTGTGCTGCCAGGCTGCTTGGAGAAAGTGACTGTCCATCTTCTTCGCTCCACGAGTATGTTGTATTATCGGAGCCGCCTAAAGTAACAACATTTATCCAGGTAAATATTTAACATGTTGGCTTAAAATAGTTATTTTTCTTAGCAAAAATCATTTTGGGTAAGATTAAAGAGGGAAAATGAAGAAAATATGCATAATTTTTCTCCAAAGGACTTTGGAAGTGATGTCTACGCTCTTTTTGTTGAAAACATTTAGGATATTTATAGAAAATAGATGGTTACTAATCAAAATAATCAATCCCAATGGTTAAGCACATGCATTTCTAACAAACTCGTTCTTTGTGCATGAAACTGTTACATTATTTTATCCTAAGACATAGGTGATTCTTAAGTATTTATACATAGGTTATTCTTAATATCGTACTTAAGAATCACCCATGTATAACCATGTGGCTTATTAATCAAATGAAGCCAACTCCATCATGGATAGCGGGATTTTCTTTGCCTTCAGTAGTCTAGAACACAGGAACATCTGCCATCACTGATATATATTTCTCATCTTTCAAAAAGCAGCCACTGATTTCAACTGAATGCAGCTGTGAATGCAAATTGGCTCATTTTAACAGAACTGTTTCGAGTGATTTCAAATAATATGAGGTTTTGGAGTGTGGAAGGTAATCACTCAGTTTGGTCAAAGGGAAACCTTATGTGAAGATCTAATTTAACATTAAGAATTGCCCTTAGAAGTCAAATAGGTTGCTGATTCAGCTTGCCACATAACGTCGTATCAGTAAAGAGTAAGTGTGCAATAACATTCACATGAAAAATTGAAAATGAAAATATTTGAAATGGTTGCTGAATAAATAAAAACATTATAAATCCAATGCTTTCATTCAGCCCCTTTAGGAAAACGGCATCACTTATTTGTCTTCTTTTCTGACACTACTTACTCCTTATAAATAATACAGTATGTTTCAGTGCTGTCATTTTTAACACTGGCCTGATCATTTTCAACAGGAAATTTTATTACCAGCATTAATAGCTCTCCCATTCTCTCTAGTTAATGTGTCCTAACGCCTTCCAAAGAGTTCCTAGTGCAAAATTGTGGAGTCATCCATACTTGAGCAGTGCTGGTCACATAGTCCATTTAAATTAGCATGTGTGTAAAAGTGTTTTTCACTTTGAACTCCAAGGTAATACGGAACAAGTTCAGTGTCATTCATATAATATATTGCATGGAGTTTCTCTCCCTCATTGAGCTACTAAAATGAGTAACTAATGGAAATTAACTTTGTACATATCCATGATAGACTTGACCTTGATGTTAGTAGGTGCTTTTTCTTCTCATCATTTTCTCTTCTAGAGTATAAAGTGTCTTGGGGAAAAATACTGCACTGAATAGGCTTTAATATCAGGGGAAATGTTATACACTTTTAAAAAGTGAGAATTTACTCTTTTATTTATAGAATGAGGCATCTTTAAAATTGGTGCCCATAGACATAGGAAAAAATCTAGTGCACAGATAACCTCTTTCACCACTAAGAATGGCTTTCTAGTTAAAGATATAACTTGATACAATATATTACTTTGCAAAAGAGTAAACTTCAGTGAGTCACAAAGGTAACCTTTGCTCTCAAAATTCAGTGTCTTTATTTATTTTTATTCATTTATTTTAAATTCAGAGTGTTTCAATGGAAGTGTTAAATACTAAACCGTGAAGCAGGGAAAGTTGCTGAGGCAGAGCTGAGAATTAAATTCCTTAAGACAGGAAATTAAAAGACAACTTTCTTCCCAAGTGTTTTTAGCATCTCCAAATTTTCATGGTTGCTGGCCAGGCTCCTGAAGAAACCTTCAAGTGTGTTCATAATTGAGACTGAGTCAGAGATGGACATGGGGTGGGGGAGGTTGTAGAAAGCAGAGTATGGGATGGGGAGAATGAGGTGCTGGCTGTGGGAAAATGTATCACATGGAAGGGTCTGGGACAATAAAACCAGATCTCATCAGAGACTGAAAGTGGAGCCACCGTGAGGCTTGGGGGTGGCAAGTACTTGGCCTGAGAGACCCTGGAATCAAGTGTGCATACATCCCAGTGAGTAAGGCTGAGCGAGACATCCAGCAAAGAGCTCAAGGGACCTGGCTTTGGGTGTAGACAGATCCAGGATTTTCCCCTACTTGCTGGATGTATAACATAGGCGAAGTGGCCTGCCTCTCCTTGCCTCGGTTTCTTTGTAAAATGAGTTAATAACCATATTTCATGGGGCTGTTTTGATGATAAAAGGGACTTAGGATAACAAAGCACTTACCATGGACACACAAAAATACAACTTTTTTTATTGTCCTTTTCGGAATGAGCGGCATGAGACTCTCAAAGCTCCATCAACCCTGTCACGCACTGGAGAGGACCCAAGCCAGTCTGCTAGGAGATACCACCCTGCCCCAGCTTAACTGACAGTAAAGCCAAGGAAGAAAATGTGTTCACAAATGCTGTTCAAGGCTGTGAACACTAAGCAGAAGGTGGCCTGGCAAAGTGGCAGGAGGCTGTGGTTGGGGCCAGAGACCCCTGAGCTGTTGAACTACTGTCATTGGGTCAGCCAGCCTTCAATGGCAAGTTCTGGTTTCCGGAAGGATTTCCACAATTACCTAAAAAGGATTTTTCAAAGTCCACAAGTTTTCTACTCAAACAGGTAGGAACCTGGGGTTACAGACTTTTTGGAACCGACACTGATGCCCCTGCACTGGTACCCTCAGAGCGATGGAGTCACAGTAGGAAATTAAAAAACAAATTTAATTAAGCATATCAAATTTTCAAATAAAAACACACCTCCTTGATGTGTATTTCCTTGTCCTTTGGACCATCTACTGACATGCTTTAATACATTAAAAAAAATTGGCACATGCACAGACATGCAACATGACTTTTGTCAAATATTAAAAAACCGATTCACCAAAAAAAAATGGTTAGCTGCCTCAGTGAATACATGCAGCTTACTTCTCTGGCTTCTAAAGCACTGATGAGCCTTTGTCATTTGTGAAACACTTTTTAACTTTACCTTTTTACTTTATGTAATTACAAGGTGTGAGGCTGAAGATGAAAAGAATGGTAAGGAGAAACTTGAAGCTCTCAAGTCCTTAAAATGCAAATATAAAAAGAAAAATAATTGGTGTTTGTTAGTGCACTGTCTGGTTTTCTGGCCTGGACTTTTTTTTAAAGGGTCTTTTGTTTCCCAATGTTCTTTAAGACCTTGAATTTAACAACTATCTTAAAAGCCAGTCATTAAGTCTGCAATTGTAGATGTACAAAATGCTCCAGATGAACAGAAATCGGTATCCAAGAGTATGTTAGACCCCCCAGTGAGAATTCTTCAAAGCCTTTGCAGACCTGCTTTTCACATGGAAACGCATGGTTCAAGACCTTACAATGAACAATCAGCTTGTGACCTGCGATACTTATTTGTAATCCAAAGAGAAAGTCCACATACTGAAAAGCTGACAAAACTCAATTGAAAAGATTGAATTCTAAACTCATTCAGAAGACCTAAATGTGAACTGAACATTTTACTTGGGAAATAGGGACTTACTCCTTACAGCCCAAAATCTCTCTCTGTGTGTTTATATGTTGTGCATTTCCACATGTGTGGTATATGATGCTATTGTATACATGCAAAGGTGATATTTTCTGACTCACTAGCAACATGCTATATAGCCTTCTCAAGGGGATTGGCAGGAGATTTATACTGATCTAGCCACACTCCAATGTCCACAATGCATTTTCAAAATGGCTGGTTGAGTGGAATATTTTCACCAATAAAGGAATCCCCTCATTAAAAAGCCAACATGTGGAAATCAAGGCAAAAATTCTGCAATTCAATGTGGGCTTTTGTTCCAAAAAGTACTGGTAGAAATTTATTTGTTGAGGCTTACTTTTGATATTTGTTTACCGTACCAAGTGTACACATCGTTTTACAAACTGAGAGACCCTTTTCACCTAAATAAAAACCCTGGAAACTCAGAGTCTTTTCCAGCGATTTCTTCCTTTCTCCACACTTTTATTAGCCAGATATCTAGATTTAGTCTTAGCACATGCCCCCACCTAAGAATAATAGCATCCACAAATGCAATCTTTTAGATTTCTAACAGGCTTTGCGACACAGAACAGAATACAGTAAGATGGAAATACAATACCTTGAGCTGGGGAGTTCAGGGTGTACAGCAGATGTTTAACGGATTTATGGAGAGTTCTGAAACCTTCGTTTGTGGTGACACGTGGATACAGCTTCTGCACGGCCAGCAGCGCACTAACGAGTCAAAGAACAATTAAACCAAATTGCATTGCAAGGTTTGCAGACAGAAACAAAGGGTCACTCAAGGAGAAAATGTCTACAGTAGAGAAAACTTTCTTATAACATGAAAAGACAAGATGCTGTGGTTGTTGTTTAATTACTTGTTTGCCTGTTCATGCACAAAATCCCAACAAAGTGTTCATGAACCAGACAGAGCACTTCACGTCTCCAGGAGTCTAAAGCACTGGGACTCGAAGCCCTGAACGTGAGGGAGACGTTCACATCAGTCATTTCAGTTAAGACTTGAAAATAAGTGATGAGGAACAGCTACTTCCAAGGAAAGGACAGCATTTTTTTCTAAGTAAAGAAAAAATTCAACACTGGAAATTATTGTCACTAAAAATCACACCCAGATAAAGGACCCAGTTTCAGGAATAATCATTATTTAAGCATTTGATAAATATTTATCTCTTGCTAAATAAATGGTTATGTTTTTGGAAAAAAAATGGAGCTTGCCCTAATTAAAGACTGCATTCTCCCCTCTAAGTGGTCCACAGGCGCTACTCCAGGGGTAGCTCAGAACTAATACCCAGACTAGCTGGCACTGTCTTCCAATATTATGTCACTAGTGAGATGGGCAGTCTGCACTGGAGATGGACAATCAGCAAACTCACTTATGCTTGAGTTCATTGCATATTTCTAAAAAGCAATTAGTTACTTAAGAAATGCTATCCTCTTTTTGTCATTAATATCTTTAAAAATGCTGGCATCGTACACGTATGTCTGAATTTCACAAATACTGTGACTTATACCAATGATCAAGGCTAAGGCAATGCTTTGATCTACAAGAGTAGTAACTGTAGAAGAAAAGGCTTTGCTAATATTGTGTCATTGCAAAGTTAAATGTAGTACAAATTAGCTAATAGTTTTTCCCTATGTATCTCAGCCAACTGAAGGCTCATTCTAGCAATAGACACAGTGTATGCATGCATGTCGGTGGCATTCTACAATATTTTTGGCATTTTTAATATTTAGATTATTTTAATTTTAGCTTCCTAACTATGAATGAGGGCTACATTAAGAGTGCCAGATTTGGAGGTTCTCCTAGTTTCTAGTATAGTATTAGGATGTACATATGGATATTGGTGTATTTGTATATCAATGTAAACATATATATGATTTCATTTCATTTTGTAATAATTCCACAAAGTCAATTTTATTTGCCTGTTTTGAAGATGGGTCAACTAAAATTGAAAAAAATTAAATAACTTACACAGTTTTATCCTGTTAATAAGCAGAGTTGACTCTAATTTCAAAGTTCATGTACTTTCTACTCTACGACTTGCTTCTGGCACGGAAACTTTGCCCCAGCATGGCAGGGGAGGAGAAGAACCCTGGTGACCAGGTAGCCAGTTCAACAGTCTCAGGTCCCAGCTCCCCACCAGCCTTCTCCAAGCATGACCCACTGCCTGACTGGCCTCATGCACTGTGCCAAAGAAACACTGTCAGAGGCTGAAAACGTGGCAGTCTCATTAAGACTGTCAGCATCAGTGTTGTTAATATCATCAGTAAAATGTCAGCAGACTTAATTCATCTTTGTTTCACTAAAATGTAATTTAATAATAATGACACATGGCCCCCATTCTCTCTAAAGTCCTTTGGACTACTGATCAGAATATTTTTATTTTACTTTTTAGATATTTTTCCTGCTAGTCATCTTATAATAATGGAAGTTACCCAAAACAAGTTGCCTTATGAAGATAATTTTAAAAAGAGTTTCCATGATTCATACATACCTCAGCAAAGCTTCTTCATAAATGGTGAAAATAATAAATATTTTTATATACCCTTCTTGATTTTTGTGATTGCTTATTTCTGCTCATTTCTAGCATAACCCTAGCATTATATAACCTGGTTTTGGCGATTGAGTTATATAACAATTTGCAACTTAAAAAAGTTGTTGGAGAAAATGATGAAAATTGCTATGTAGTTCCTAGAGTAAGATAAGCCAATGAGATTATAGTTTTGTGATAAAATATAGTCCTTTGTGAGGAAACTGTGGCCTTTAATGGCCCTCAGTTTAATAACAACAGTGAAGGAAATTTAACTTTAAAAACTGGCTTGTGAAGTGCTTTCCAACAGAAATAAAATGCAAGCCACATGTTCAATTTTTCTAGTAGTCACATTAAAAAAAGAAATTAATTTTAATAACATTTTATTTAATCCACTATATCCAAAATATATCATTTTAATATTTAATCAACATAAATATATTAATGAAATATTTTAAATCTTTTATTGCACCAAGTCTTTAAACTTTACCATGTATTTGACACTTAAGGAACATTTCAATTCAGATGCTAAATTTTTATTTAAGAACACTTAATCTGTATTTAGATTCTATTACATTTACAGGTGAAAAAGTAGGTTCTCACATTGATCCAAACATACTAAAATGTTTACCACTTACAGTATCAAGTGTCAATATTGAAAATTTAAATTAACTGAAGTTAAATAAAGTTAAAAATTTAGTTTCTTAAGTCAAAAACTACATATGGCTAGAGGCTATCATATTAAAAAGAATGAATATATAAATTAGCAATAAATAAATAAACCACACACAAACAAAAAGAGTAGTTAAAAGTAGTAGTTAAAAGTTGAATGTCATCTATTTTAAAAAATAACTTGAAGCTATTTCTTTTTAGCTACTTCCTTTTTCTCCTTCATTAATATATAGGCTGGTTTACAACATTTGTAGTCATTACCTGACAGCAAACTCGATTGTGTAATGCTCTAATATGCAATTATTTTATTTTAGATTTTAAGAGAATTAAAATAGCTATAGTGAAATGTCCTTCCTATGTACTATATTCCACCAAAGTAATACCTAAAGTATTTTATTTAGTCATTTATTCATTTATTTTTTACCCTAAAGTATTTTTGGATCTTCTACCTTCCACTGAATAATATTTTGTGGGATTTTTCTTTTTTATTTGTTGTTTTGTAACCAAACTTCATTGAGGTGTAATTCCCATGTAATATGATACATGCAGGTTACAGTTCAATAAGTTTTGCCAAGTTTATATACTTATGTAACCACCACACTAATAAGATACAAAGCACTTTGATGAGCCCCGCCCCCTACATTTGCTCATTCTCCCAACACTTGCTCCAGGGTGCACTGATCTGATTTCTAACACTCTAAATTAATTTTGTCAACATGGGAAGTTCATTTAAATGAAATAATACAATATCTACACATCCAGTGTGTTTCTTTTATTTTCTGGTTTGAGTTCTTTTGCCAGTATAATAATCATAAGATTTATTCACCTTGTTGGGTGGTTCAGTAATCTGTTTCTTTTTCTCGTTGAGTAGAATTCCAATTTATAAATAAACTCATTTTCTGGCATTCTGTTTATAAATATTTGTTTTTATCCTCCAATTTTTAGTTCTTATGAGTAAATCTGCTATAAATAATAGCCTACAAGTCTTTGTGTGGGCATGTTTTCATTTTCTTGGGTAAATACCTAAAGATGGAAAGCTAACATATCATATGGCTCCACTGTTACCTTCATTAGAGCTGTCACTGTTCTCCAAAATGGTTGTACCATTTTATACTCTAACTAGCCATTTTATTTGCTCTACATTCTTGCCAACAATTAGGGCTGTCCATCTTTGAAAATTTTTTCCATTGTAGTTTGTGTGCAGTGTGGTCTGAATGTTTTTTGACTCTTTCCATTGTTATACTATACATTCAAATAATCCCTCTTCTCCTTTAATTGATTCACCTATTTGTTTCTAAGACAGAATATAAATAAGAGGAAGAGTAAGTGTAAAAATTTTGGGTGAGTAAAAATTTTCCTAAGTGGTAAAGTGAGGACCAATCTAGAAAATAAAATTTCCTAATATATTGCCCCTTCTGTAATTTAGTTATGACATGCTACTGTGGAAAGAGCACAGGACTTAGATTTCTTGAGTTCAGTCAGGTCCTGCCTTTGCCACTCACTAACTGTAGAACCTTGGGGAAGTCATGTGACTTCCACAAGGGTTTGTTTCCTCTTCTACAAAATGGGCATATCTGTTGTCTTCATCTCAGAGCCCTGTTGTGAGGATTAGATGAGATTAACGGACCAACAGAAGGATTTATTATAAGGTCTTCGAGTAAACGTAAGCTCTTGGAAGCTTTCCAAAGAAGATGAGGACACTCTCTTCTGGTGCATCAGACATTAGAGATGGAATACACTGTAGTCTTAATGACATTGTAGAGAAGCAGGCTGGGTTCTGGAGTTCGAAAACTCAGGTCTGAATCTGCCTAGTTGCACAATCATCAAATAAAATTTTTATGGACCTCTGTTACCTTATTAATAAGATAAATATAGTTTAGTTATAGGATTTAATGTGATATATACAAGGTCTGTCTGGAAAAGCCCAGACATTGTTAACATTACGAGAACAGTTTGTGCTATGTTGATGTAACCTGCAGCCAAGGAGAGTGGACTGGAATGTGCATGTATGAATAATGATGACTTCACTATACCAGTCAGTGGGGGTGGTAGACACTGTTGAATGAACATGCGTACTGTGTGGCTGTTGTATTCAAAATGACTGAGCAAATAGAGCAATGAATCTGCATCAAATTTTTAGTTAATCTTGAGAATCCCTCTGCAGAAACTACTCAGCTGATTCAGAAGCTCACTGCTATGGGCAACTGGTGATTAGCAGCTTCATCACAACAACATGCCCACTCATGCACCATATCCTGTGCAGAGTTTTTTTGGCAAAATATCAAATCACCAAGGTAACTCCATCCTACCATCACCGAGATTTGGCACCCGGCGACTTCTGGCTTTCCCAAACACCAAAATCACCTTTGAAAGGGAAGAGATTTCAGACTGTTGCTGAGATTCAGGAAAATACAATGGGGCAGCTGATGACAACTATAAGAACTGCGTGAGGTCTCAAGGCACCTACTTTGAAGGGGACCGAAGTATCATTGTCTTATGTACAATGCTTCTTGTATCTGATAGCTTCTTCAATAAATGTCTCTATTTTTCATGTAACATGGCTGGATACCTTCTGGACAGACCTCATACAAAGGGCTAGTAAAATGTGCAGCAGGTAATGGACACTCAATAATTGACAGTTGTTGATGTAGTCATTGATTTTTTTTAATGCACATTTTCAAATTAACTAGACAGGACAGTCAAAACCTAACTACAGCATTTGATAAACTCTAAATGCTGGCCATATTCTGATCTCTTTTATGAAGAAAGAAACCTTTAAAGAGGTTTCTTTGGCAAAATTATTCAGATCTTTGTGTCGTATATGTTAAGTAAAGCCAACTCCATATGAAGGCTCAGAAAGATCATCTGCAGGCTGGTTGCACATGAGGTAGACGCACTCCCCTTGAGGTGGCTCAGTTCAGGACTCCACCCAAGAGGGTCGTTGTACACTGGATGGCATCAACCAAAACCTACTGAGATAGTTTATTCTTGGGTCGTTTAAATACTAGGTGCATGAGCTCTTGCTGTGCCTGAGCCAACACTCCAATCTCCTGTTGGGCCTATTATACATCTCTTTCTCAGATTTCAAGGATACCAACTGACAGTCTAGTTGAGAACATTAGTGTTCCTCCTCACATTCTAATGTACATTCTGATAACCCTGATGCCCTTAGTGTTTCTTTGCTTAACTTATACCTTTACCTTCATTGCTAAAATCTGTAATAAGGTGCTGAAGTGTTATTTGCTGTGTTTGAATTACCTTCCTACTGGTGATCTTCACAGGCAATATTTTTAAAAACTGACATTTTTGTGAATAGTGACATTTCACTTAATTCTTACATTTTCTTACCTGTTTGCATGTCGAAGAACATCAAATACATGGGTTAGCGTCGTGTCATTCTGAAATGCATTTGGAAAACTAGAGAGAAGCTGCCATATAGCTGTCTGCTCTTGCACTTTGGAGAAGAAGGACAGCGCCTTGACTATATCCTGAAATACTGCCTTCTGGTTGTTGGGGTCCCTTGAAATCTTAAAAAGTAAAACCACAAACAGGACAAAATGAGACTTCAACATTTGTCCTCACATGGCTCATTTTCTTCAACGGCATTAAACATCTGGAGTTTCACATTAGCGATTCTTTTAGATTTTCAATCTGTTTAAAATCATCTTTCACTTGAAAAGACAATAACTATTTTTTGTTCTTAAATATAATTACATTTTTCCATATACCTACAGAAATTGGCACATTTATAGTTAAACAGAAGTATATTTGAAATTGTATTTTTGGAAATGAATTTCTTAAACAGCTTCTGAGTAGTATTTTAGTTTTTTCTAGGACCTGGTTTATGAGCCACAAACATATCTTCCCTCTATTCATTAGTAGATCTTATATTATTTATTATTTGGGTGGAGAACCCTTAAAACTTTATATCTGCATATTCATATATATAGTATATATACATATATATGAAAATGTTTACTTTATAACAGATACTCAATGGAATAAAATATTCCTATTGTTGTTTTGCAATATCAGGACCCTTAGTTATAATAAATATAGTGAGTGAACCTATGTAACAGTCAGTCACATCTTGTACTATAAGCACACAGATAAACAAAACCATGGCATTTGCTCTTACTCTGGATGGTAGGAACCAGCTAGTACTTTCAGAAGTAAAGTATTTTCTTCTACTCAAAGCAATTTTCTTAACACGCTTATTCATACCAGTCAAGTCAGGCCTCTCTGTCTTAATTCAAGGTCTTTTATGCTGAGAATATGTTTGAACTATGAATTCTTTTTAAATTTGTTTTGTTCTGTTTTTGTCTTGTCTTCAAAATGGATGCTCATATTAGATTTATGTAAATCACAATCCAGTAAATCATTCCTCAAATAATGGAATTTATGTTGTTTTTAACTTTTTACTATTGTTCTTTTTTTCACTTAACATTTGATCTTGGAGATCTTCCAATGTCAGTACATATGGTTTTACCTCATTTATTTTAACAGCTGTAGTATTCCATAGGTTAGATGTAAATATTTCCTAGTAACAGAAAATTAATTTCCAGTTTTCAGTACCATTCATTCATTCCACAAATGTTTGATGAGCATCTACTATGTTACAGGAACTGATGTAGCCACTACCAATACAGGAGCAAATGACAAAGTTCCTACTCTCATGAAGCTTGAGTCATTCTAGTTGGGAGAGACATACCTCACTGAATGTCTTTGTACACATATTTTTTTTTGCACATATGTTTCTCTAGGATAGATTTCTAGTGGTGATGTTGCTGAACCAAAGAAAAATTATGCAGATTTAGCATTTTGATAAATATTTCTAAATTCCCTCTAAAATAACAGTACATTTTATACTCCCATCACCATCTATCAGAGGACATACTTTCTCACAATCTAGTCATTGCTGAATAGTAACAACTCTTTTTAGTCTGAGAAAAGTAACATCTAATTGTTCCTGATTATCAATGAGTCTTATCGTGTTCTATACATTTATTGGTCATTTGTATTTTTCTATGAATTTTCTGCTCAGATCCTTGCTAATTTCTACTGAGCTACTTGTTTATTTCTTTTTATGAGAATTTTAAAAAATATATTGTACATTATGTATGTGGTGTTTTCTCTCTCTCTGCCTGTCATCCTTGTATTGAATTTAATTTCTGTTCTCTCCAGAGACTTTAACCTCAAGACCATGACTGATTAATAATTTCCTCCTTTCTATTTTGTTGAAAGTTTGACATGCTGGCAATTTCCCCTGCAGTCATGCCCTCTTAAAAAAAATTAAATCTTTTTAAACATTTTTCCATTACAGTTGACAAACAATATTATATTAATTTAAACATCCCAGTGATTAAATGTTATATAACTTACTAAGTGATCATCCCAATATGTTTTGTACCCATCTGACACCATACATAGCTATTAGAATATTATTAACTATGCTGTACTTTATATCCCCATGACTACTCTGTAATATCAATTTATACTTCTTAATCCCTTCATTTTTTCTCACCAATTTCCCCAACCCTCTTCCCATCTGGCAACTGTCAAAATGTTCTCTGTATCTATGAGCCTCTTTCCATTCTGCTTGTTTGTTTATTTTGTTATTTAGAGTCAATTGTTGGCAGATGTGTTTTATTGTCATTTTATTATTCATACTTTTGATCTGCTTTTTTTCTTTTTGAAAGACTCATTAACATTTCATGTAATACTAGTTTGGTGGTGATGTACTCCTTTAGCTATTTCTTGTCTGAGAAGCTCTTTATACATGCTTTGATTCTAAATGATAGCTTTGCTGGAGAGAGTAATCTTGGTTGTAGGTCCTTGCTTTACATCACTTTGTATATTTCTTGTCAATCCCTTCTGGCTTCCAAAGTTTCTGTTGAGAAATCTGTTGACATTCTTTTGGAAGCTCCCTTGTAGGTAACTGCTTTTCTCTCTCAGATTTTCAAATTCTCTCTTTGTCTTTTACCTTTTGCATTTTAATTATTATTTGTCCTGGTATGGGCCTTTTAGGGTTCATCTTGTTTGGAACTCACTGTGCTTCCTGGACTTGCATATCTATTTCCTTCACCAGGTTACTGAGGTTTTCTTTAATTATTTTTCAAATAGGTTTTTGGTTTCTTGCTCCCTCTCTCCCACTTCTGGCTCCCCTGATGCAAGTGCTGGTAGGCTTGAAGTTGTCCCAGAGGCTCCTTTCATAATCCTCATTTTTAAAGTTCATTTTTCATTTTGCTATTCCGATTGGGTATTTTTTGCTTCCTTATATTCCAAATTGCTTATTTGATTATTGGCTTCATCTAATCTACTGTTGATTCCCTATAAATTATCTTTTGTTTCAGTTAGTGTATACTTCATTGTCTTTATTTATACTGTTGATGTTCTCACTAAATTCACTGAGCACCTTATAACCAGTACTTTAAACTCTGCATCTAATGCATTGCTTGTCTCCATTTCATTTAGTTCTTTCTCTGGAGTTTTGTTCTGTTCTTTCATTTGGGATATGTTTCTTTGTCTCCCCATTTTGGCAGCCTCCATGTGTTTGTTTCTCTGTGGTAGGGAGACCCTCTATATCTCCTGGGATTGGTAAAGTGAACTAATGTAATAGGTGTCCTGTACGGCCTTGTGGCACAGTCTGCCCTTTCACCCAAATCCCAGGAGACATAGAGGGATGTCTCTGGGCACTCCAGCTGCGCCTCCTAGTGTGGGCTATGTGCACTCTCCTTGAACAATGTATTCTTAACCACTCTTGTACTCTATACAACTGCTGAGTTTCTTAAGAAAGGATTGTAAGTGCCCAAAATGAATTGGGATTATTGTAACAGTGTCTCTAACTGGGTTCTTTTGGAAAACTCAGATTACTGAAGGGTAATTTAAACATTCTGTACTTAATAAATATTACTTATCATAAAATTCAAGGAATTAAGGGGAAAATATTAGAAGTGGACATATATCATTTATTCCTATTTATAAAATTTCAAGACAATTCTGTATGTTTTTGTAATACTTCATCTTTTGTGGGGTTGTGTTAAATGTAGATCAATGTTTTATTTTCACATTGTAGTTTAAGACTAGCTTATAAAAATGGTCATTAGCACTCTATAAAATAAAGTTTTTGGTTCTAGTGTATATTCTGGAAAGAGAAACATATTGTTTCACCAAAAATAAACTTTTCAAATTAGATTCAGTATTAGTGAGAAAAATTAAAGACATTACCCTTTATTCTAACTTCTGAGATTTGCATGGAGTTAATAGTTTCTTTATTAAATTTACATTACATCTTGAGTATTCTCACTTAAATATCTCAGGGAAAACCATCAATCTGCATTCATATTTAACAAAGCCATATTTCATTTACTTTTACCATACATCTACCTTAGCCAAAATGCAATACTTTGGGTTCTACATCAAAATCATTTCAATTTTATACATTAAAATGGAAAGCAAACACCCCTTAGAGTTTGACACTGTGAGTAATCCACACTCAAAGTCAGCAAATATTCCAGGCAGCATTTCGCAGTCCTTGTGAGCTACTGACCTGCTCTTTGACTCAGGTTGAGTTGCATTGCGTATACAAGAGTAAAAACAATACAGTTTCTTCTATTGTGTATGGGATCTAATCATATTAAGATATTTACACTCACCTGAGAGAATTCATTTGTTAGTTCTTGGAGAGACGACTCCAAAACAGTCATGTTGGACATGCAAAATATGTTTAAAACATTTTTCCCTAAAGTGGTCCAAGAGAAGGTGTTATCAGCAATATATCCTGGGTAGGTTTCACAGAGTTCTTTTCGTATATCTTCTGAAGTTGAATTTTGCTTCAATAGCTAAAAATGTATGTGAGAAGAGGAGAATAATTTTGTTAGTAAATATAGATATTGAAGTATTCTAGTCTTTAAGGAAACTGACCTATCTTCACAATAGTCATTTTAAGGTCCTGCTTTATAGCAAAATAACACTTAAAGACACTGGGTTTACCCATGAAGAGTCATCAAATGTGTGAATTTGTTTAACTGAACTCATTTCCTGTCTCTGACCAGAGAACCTAAATGTATCAGATCTTCTCCGGAAAAAAATCTTCAGGCTTAAAAAGTTTAGTGTTTCCTGGGCATTTAGCAGCAGAGACTCGGGTGTTCTAACTCTTTGTGACACTTTATAGAAAATTGATCTTTGGAAGGCTTCCAAACAGTAACAGCTTCAGACTCTATTCTCAAGACCAACAGATTATTTGAGAAGTGGAAAAACATGGGTTATGTTTCATTTGTAAAGCAATTACTTTATTTAAGAATTATGCTTGTGAAGAAAAAAGGAAAACAGTAACAGCTATATATGTTCATATATATGAAAATATATAAAAGTAAATAATTACCAAAAGCAATAATTGGAAAGCACTTACATTATGGAATCACTATAAGTTCCCCATATATTTCACACTACAGATCAGTCACAGATGCGGCAATATTTTCAGCTATAATATTGATCACATTCACTATTATGAACTTTAGATGTTTACAGAGCCAGTGGTATTTAGTTGTAATATTTAATGGGTCCTTCCTAATAATTAATCCTTATAAACCTGTGAAGTAATGGCCAACTAACTTTATTCTCCCCTTAAGTTTACATCACAAAATCTATGCTCTGCCTTCCAGTGACTTAACTTCTAAATGTAATGGAACAAAACAGTATCCACTAATTCTAAGGTGTAAGTGCCAGGTCTTCTAGCCATTCATCCATATTTACTTCCTAACATTGCACATAAACTCACCCCAAAATGATTTCTCTACTCGTTCTTGCAAGGGTTGCAGAAAGCAGTAAGGAAAAAGAGAGGAATCAGAGATTGCTGACAAGGGCATCGATATGTCACCCTAATTTTTACATCCCTTCACTGCTCCAACTACTCTAAAAATATGTATCTATACATAGAAAATTCATTTTTGACTTATCTCCACTTGGATATATGACTCTGTGCTGCCTCACAAAATTCTGAAATTGTATTCCATGTGAGAAAGAGAACTTGGGAGTTTTAACACAATGAAGTAGTATCTTTGAGAATAATATTTCTTTTCTAGATATTAAAGAATTTAACTGAACCAGTGCAAGACTGGTTACTTATAGGAACCAACATACAAGAAATAGAATGAAATAAAATAACTTTCCCTAGTTTACACACCAGCCTGTTTGCAGTGGAGAGGCTTTACATTGGAATTAACAGAGCATATCAGAGGCTTCTTATGCCAGACAGGGCACTTTAGGTATCTCAACTATTCTTTATTATTGAAACTAGACGTTTAACATTGAGACGAGGCTGAATGGGAAAGTCTTGCATTTCAACCAGCACAGACAGAATTGGTTTGATTGGTATGGGGCCTTTTCCTGGCATTTATTTTTGTGTTGTTCTTTGGCTTATTTACATAAACCGGTTTATTGGGATGCCTTAATTATACAGAGTGTTCAGGGTAACTAACAGAGGCATACTAAGCAGCAGTAGTTATAGTCACTGGAATATGAATCCAAGTCAGAGATATGTCCTCAGGATTCAGATGGAACAAATGTATACTACGTAAGACATAGATGTATTTAAAGTGCTTGTGTGTGTGTGTGTATGAGAGAGAGAGAGAGAGAGAGAGAGAGAGAGAGAGAGAGAGAGAGAGAGAGAGATGTCTATAGCAAAATGTTGAAAGTGACCTCTTCATAATTTCTGAAGAACACATAAAGCAGGACTTGAATGGCAGGACCCAGACAAATAACTTGCATGAATGAATCTAAGATCTCTATTCACACACACAGCTCACGGGCTGACAGTTTACACCTTTGACAGAAATTATGTGTATTATCTTGCAATCTGGAATTAAGGTAAATGACTAGCAAATAAGAGGGAAATCCATACATAAGCTCTCTAAATTCTGCTAAGGAAAAGGATTTCACTACTTTAGAGAGATATTTTTTCCATTGTTGAAATTTTTCCAAAGGCATTATCAGTATGAACAGGGCAGCAAGCTTGATGAGTGTTACAGATTCATTTGCTTTCATATAGCTTTTTTCTTTCCTGCTTACGAAAATAAAAAAGATTACATGTAACACTGCCTTATTTCTTAAGGAAAATCTTAAGTTTGATTAAGGGACTTAACAGGGAAGTAAATAAATATCCAAGACCTGAAGGAACTGTTTTTTATTTTCAGTTCATTACAAAATGGAGTGAAATTACCTTTTCCAAATCAAGGATCCTGGCAAGGACTTCACTACCATTAAAAGTACCTGTTCCAGTACTTTCCAAATCAGAACTTGAACTGGGAAATACTGTGGCTGTAGTAGGAAGAAAGAATGAATAGGTTAGCTGTTAAACACATGCACACAAACAAGCAGGTTCACATAAGAATGCATACATATCACTGTGCCCTTGTGCACCCCACAACGAGAATGTGCTCAATATATGCATCGGCCATGAAAGTTTCATATGGCAAAATGGTACCTTCCATAATGTTTATTTTTTCCCCACATAAAATTGTGGTGGTTTTGGTCTGCTCTTGGTTGTTTTTCAGTTATTTCAGATGTGATTTGCTTTCATTCCAGTTCATGTCATTAAACTTCATCACCACTATCCCTGCATAGTAAACCAAAATTTCTGTGCAGGCCGAGGGGATGAGAGGTGCCTCCACCAGCCCCACAGGCCCAGCACACCCAACATCTGTTCAGAGGATCTGCCAATGCACATCTGGTGGTAATAGTTTCATCTTTAATTGTTCAATTGGGAGGCTGAAATCTGCTTAGGATCATGCATTCTCTCCTCCCCAAAGTGGTTTCTGAATGATATTTCAGGTCATGTAAATGGGATAAAGCAATCAGTCCAGACTACAGTACATTCCACTTAAGTAAATCCCGAAGTGACCTCATACTATATGGAATGTGGTAGACAGGTCTGGGTTAGGAACATTAGGTGGAAGAGTATGTTCATATCTATAGCACGAAGTTCATTAAGCCAGACTGTTAAATATTATAAATTTTGGATAGAAATACTTTGCTATTCTCACAGCAAAGAATCTTAGTATCAAAAGAAAGATACATTGACCCATCATCATTAGGGTCTATGCCTTATTATGGTCCTCATGGGGAAGAAGACTTTACCAACTGTGGTGAACACATAATACAATATACAGATGTACTATGGAATTGCACAATTGAAATTTATATAGTATTATTAACCCATGTCACCCTGATAAATTTTTTAACTACCAACTGATTTCTCTAGACAAAGGCAACAGATTTGTGAGATGGTTGGCCAAGGTGAGAAACATAATATGTGGCTTCTGAGCAAAGCAAAGCTTACTGGACCACAGCACTATGCTTTTATTTCTACTGTGCTTTGGCCTATTCAGCCAAACAGATCATTCATAGCAGCTCAACTCCTCAGAACCACTCACTACCATATTCCTACCACATTAACACATGATTTTTCTCATTTGGTCTGTGTCTTGTATTAGAATGTTATTTAATGTCATAAAATCTTAAATATCTTATGGTATTCTTTTTTTCCCAAGTACAATCACATTCCTACATATGGGAGTTTTTGTTTTCTTCCTTAATATGTCCCCAAGACTTAACACCATGGGGACTCAATAGCAGGTACCCAATAAATATCATAAAATGTAGGTAAAACCATCCTACTGTTTTAAGAATTCTCAATTTGTGGCTTCTACTGAGTGTTTCTCAGGACCATCTGCATCAGAATCACTTGGTGTAAAGTTCAGAAATCTCAGCCTCTGGGCCTTCTGAACACTACTTTATGGGCCATGGGCCTGCTGTGAATGAAGGAAGAACACAATCACACAGAACCACTGTGATTCTGAGTGCTGCATTGGAGGAGTAAGGCTCAAATTGAAAGAGTCCCAGCCTGGCCATTGTTGTAGGACCAGATCTGCTGGATGACTGTAGTCTCCACACTCAACCTCGTTAGGCCCCTATTCCTCATCTGTAAGATGGAAAGTTTACACGAATGCCTGTGATTCCACCCAATAATTTTGATTTCTGAGCTTTCTTACCATCCCAGAATCATTGCACAAACAACTACAGAGTCCTTAGCCAATTCTGGCAAAGTGTGCAATTCTCAACATCACATTAGTACCAACTAGGCTTTTGCTCCCAGAGAGTATTTCACTAAGAATTTAATTTGCAGTTGTTCTTGAGCATTTTGCATAATTGCACCTCCCCACTTAGGCAACCATAGTAAACATTTAGATCTTGTAAGAATACTCTAGGAATTCCATCTTTGCTGAAAAGCTGAAAGTATAAACCATTTAAAATAGCAGACCTTTACTGGCTGTTCCAAAGACCTGTTCTGAACTTGGCGAAAGAGGCTAACTTACCTGGTGATGCATGTCTTCTTTCTGGAGCTTTGGTGCTCTGGAGTGATAAATTGCCGTCCTTCTGCAGGTTGGATGACTTCCTCAGAATTGCACTAAAGAAAAAAAACAAGAACTCTATAACTTTGCCCACATTAAGTTCAGTTAGTTATAGCAATGTGTTATGTGGCACATTCTGGGGCTCTTGGAAAACTTTCAAATTTTTCATCTACTTTCCAGGATTTTAATGGAAGTGCTCACCTAACTGTACACCAATAAAGGGATAAGATATCCTACAAACTAAATCTTACTCAGAGAAAATGACTTAGATGAGGTTTAAAATAGTTGTTTTTACTTAATCTTGTAAAAAAATAAATTATTCTTAAGGCATTGGAGCTAAATGTCAAAAGCATTTATGATACATATTTTTTCTTTCAAAAAGATGATGGATTTTAATTAGATAAGAGTCCAAGGGTGCTTCAGGGTTGGAAACAAAAGTCTGTTTATTTGTCAACTTTAAAAGAAAAATAAATTTTGTATATTAAATTTTGATGGAATTTTGAAGACTGTCAGAGATAAATGCTTGTAAGACAGTTAAGGAAGAAGGAAAAGAACGCACATTTATTGAGTATTTAATCTATTCCAGGCACTATGGTTTGTGTCATTACAGGAGGCACCAGCATGTTAAAAGGAATAACAGCTCTGGCTGGCATAGCTCAGTGGATTGAGCTTGGGCTGCAAACCAGGCATTGCAGGTTCGATTCCCAGTCAGGGCACATGCCTAGGTTGCAGGCCATGGCCCCCAGCAACCACACATTGATGTTTCTCTCTCTTTCTCTCTCCCTTCCCTCTCTAAAAATAAATAAATAAGATCTTTAAAAATATATTTTAAAAGAAGGAATAACAATATAGGCTGATTTTAATGGCACTGAATATATCAGCACAATAATAATAACATTGTGCTGTTAGGAATCCTTGTACATGATCACACCAGCTTTGGGAAGAAAATATTTGTGGCCATCCCCACAATTTAGAAACCCTCTTTTTAAAAAATGGACCTCCTCCTTAGTTGATTATTATAAAATGAGGATGTCATATTTCCTTGAAAACTCAATATACCTAAAGGAACTGCCTGAAATAGATGTATATATATCTCAAGAGTAAAATCACTCAGGATACCTGGACATGAATATTTTTCACACGTCCTAAAAGTTGGTGAATTTTCTGTTGTTCTTACATGAAGATGATATAAAAAGATAACAGTGGAAAAGCAAGAAGTTCTACTTAATACTGTGGTTCAATTTGACTTCCTTTTTAGTAATGAACTATAGAAATGATCCCTGAAAGTATAGTCTTTTGACTTACTTTTTAGAAACAAGATCTGAATCTTGGTTCTAGGGTACTGTGTGATTTGTAATTGGAAAGAAAAAAAAACCTGTGTTTTTTCTCAGCGTGTCCTTTTACTGTACATGATAAGAAGAGGTGATATTTGTTTTCATTCCCTAGTGTTTTTCAATATTCTCTTTAAAATGTGCAGGTTGCATCAAAAGTTCTACATTCTTAATGTATATCTGAATTATTCATGACCATGACTGTATTTCCCTAAATCTTTTCGCATTCCTCATGCTGACTATTTGGATGGGAAGCTTTCAGATAAAAATAAGAACTGACCTGAACCCTTTCCCTTCACTCATACAGAAGTTTTAGAAAACTTGAAAAAGTCAGGTTTATTTTTCTTTTTATCAACTTTTTCTTTTACTTCAGCTTGAACCACTATAAGGAAGACTATTGAATATCAACAATTTTTGAAAATATACGGAAACACTGCCTTCATAAAAATTTTAAGGATTAGGGACAGCAACAAAAACCAAAGGGAGAATGACAAAGATCAAAACGAATGAAAAAAGAGCAAGAGCCAAAGAAGACTGAATAATAAATGGGAGGGGGGAGAAGAGACGAGGCAACGGGAAACTAAGAAGGTGTGGGTTTGGAGAAGCAAAAGCTGCATGCACTCTGCAAAGGACACCTTTCCCACCTTCCCTCAGTCAGCTGACAGCCCTGAAACTACACCTGTTCTTGAAACACCGAAGGAAAACAAGCTCATGCCTTCCCAGGAGGCCGCTGGCTCAGCAGTTCTGAATTTGCTCAACAGTAAAATGGCTAGTCACCGGGTAAGGGGGCCTCTTTACTAACAGGACCTGTCCTTGATCAGGAAGTGTCCAGGATTCCATGGTCACCAGTGAATGACTTGCATATAACGGAAGTGAGGAGGTGGCCTGTCACCTTTTGTGTGGCCTTGGCTCTTCCTGTTTGGGGGTGAGAGCTCAGGATATCGTGTGTGCTTTAATGTCTGTCTGTCTGCCTGCAAGTTGTTTTCAGTTTTATTTTGCATTTACAGCATGAGCTATGATGGTGTGTGTCCACTGCCACTGCACACACACACACACACACCCTCACACACACACATAAAACTAGTTTCTAAACTTTTAAAATGGAAACCATAAAATCAATGTAAAATGGAAGATAGTGTGGGTAAAAAGGTAAATTAAAGCTGCAAGTTGAAATACAGCTACTTCCCCCAAGCAAATGTAATTAATTCCATTAACTCTCCATTAAATTACAAGAGGAAGGCAGAAAGATAGTCTTACTGAGTTAATAATGGTTATCTCTGAACTTTGTGATTAGCATGACAATGCTTACAGACAGCGCACTATACATTTCAAATGAGAGGAGAGAAACAGTACCTTTTTTATTTGACACAATTAAGAACTTTTGTATATGTATTTTATACCACTTTGTTTGCCTGCCTGTTCCTACCACCTTTCCGTTTTAGGCTGTGACATTTTTTTTGGAAGTAGGCACCAAGTCTCACCCATCTTTTTATTCCAAACACCTAGCGCAGCACTGGACCACAAGATCAGATGGCTGATTAGATAAAAAGCGACAGTACTGCTGAGGGGTAGCAGAATATCTTTGGAATCCCAGCTCTGCCTCTTCCTAAAACATCTCAGTCATTGCCTCCTTCATCTGCAAATTAGGAATGACACAGCTACCTTGCATGGTTGTTGTGAATACTCTATGAGATGTGCTTATCAGGGGCCTGACTGGGCCCTGTCAGAAGCACTCACCAAAATATTAGCTGTCAAAGCACCCACAAAAGGAGATGATGCACAGACACAGCCTCACCCATCAGTAAGGAGCTGAAGTCCCATGCTTGTGCATCTATGCTCCATATATAATCCCTCTAGAACACTAGAACCATCAACATTTCTGGACAGCAACCAGATGCACCCCTATTACTCACAGACCTGGAACTTGCAAGCATTGGCTTGTGAGACAGGATGAGGCAAAGGACCTCACTCAGGGTTTTGTAACACCTTTTTAATTTTAGTATTTAATTTCTTTATCAGTCTACTTCTTCAGCTTTACAGTTCTTCAGAAAACCCTACAATGTGTGTGTTGGCAGATGTTAGGGTGTTTAGCACATGACAAGTATTAGATACTAGGTGATAAAAACTATTACTTGAAAGAATTGATAGCTATGGAAGCATCTTTTCTACATAGCCTGGTCTGCCTTCCATTGCTGTATATCTGGTTCTGCAAAGGTCCTTGAAAGAGGAAAAATCCCAGGGGTGACACTTCAGACTCTAATGTGTAATCTTACATTGTATCCACCACATTCATTCATTAACTCACCAACAAGTATTAAGTTCCCACCATATATAATACATGTGCAAGTCAAATAAGAAAACAAGGAATTACACATTAACTGTATTAGCTAAGTAAAAACATGCACGGGAACAATGGGAACGCATCACAGGGGCTGCTAAATCAGAGTTATCATCTGTGCTTCTTATAGAGCAAGATTCTACAATCCTAACTTTAATTTAAACCTCTTGCTACCTTAAATGTTTTCCTTTACCTTTTCACTAGGCCAGTGGATATCAACTGTGGACACTTCCTTCCCTTAGCTCCAGGGGACATTTGGCAAAGCCTAGGGACATATTTTTTATTGTCACAACTGGAAGGGGCTGGGTTTATTGGCATTTAGTGGTAGAGTCAGAGGCTAAGGATGCCGCTTAACATCTGCAATGTTTAGCACACACACAAAAAGAATTATCTGTTCACAAGTAGCAATAATGCTGAGGTCCAGAAACCTTCATCTAGGCTATGACAGATGTGGATTTATTCTATGACGACTCACCCTTACATCTCCTTCCTAAAATCAACTCAGGAGACATACAAGTCCCATTCAGGAACCCTGAATAGTTCTAAGGAAATCTCAGAGAAGCTATCCCAGGCTGAATACCTCTTAGAGGTATTTTAGAACATTATGCAAAACTTAGATGTCCCTGAATCCAGCATATAAGCTAATGTGAGTCCAGAAAATTCAACCTTCTAGATGATGCAAGAATGTAGAAGACCGTTTTGCATTGCGTGGGCCCAGCTCCCACTCGGAGACACACAGAACCCACACTCACAGATAGATTCTCCTGTGGGGAATCAGGCCTGCAATGTGCCTAGGCTACTTTGAATCTTACTCTTACTAAAAAACTCCCTCACCCTGAATTGAGGACATTTACTGAAAAGTAACTTCCTAAAATCCATGCTAAACCTTCCAAGGATGAGTGTAACCAGTTCAACTACTTTTGCCTTTTCATTTGCAAATATCCCTTTTCTGTGATGTGATTAGCAGCAGTGGCTCCTTGGTTTTCTGTAAAAGGTGACCACCTAAAGTGAACCTGTACATAGTAAATGAGGACCATCATGTAATGTGCGGAGAAACCCAATAAAGGCTGTTCACGGCAAGGGCCAAGGCTTTTGCTCCCCTTGAGAGAAAAGCCGTGCTGTTCCTTTTCCTCTGCCAGACTCAGTAGTCCATGTGAATGTCTCATTTCATCCATAATGACATGGACACTGAGGGCCGGTGTCTGCATCACAAGAAAACCTGAATCAAATCTCCAAGGGGCCCACAGCACCATTTAACTACTTTTACTGGAACAACCACATGAAGAATAGCAAGGAGATAGCTCAGGGCCTCTCCTTTAAGATGCTAAAGAAGTAGATTCTGCCTCAGTGGTACTCAAAGGGTTCTATCTTGCAATGGAAGTCAATAAAAGAAAACTCTTGGATTCAAAATGTGAAATTTAAGAGATCGGAAGGGAAAACAGGCCCAGGGTAGATTTTACTGCTTCTCAGACATGTCAACCAACAGTTACATTGGGGAAATGTCACATTTCTATAAATTCTATATCATCTTATGACTTTTCCTGGGTGTCTTTGTATTTCCTGCGGGTGGAAAGACTACCTGTGTAGGTGGTACCCATGTGTGCTGTGCACATTCTGTCTGTCTATAAAAGGAATACCTGCCAGAAAGGACACATATGGCAAATCCTGGAAAGAAAATCCTGATATTCATTTTTTTTCCCCAAGGATTAGTTAACTCTTTATTTATTTTTCCCCTTTTCCCCATAATTAGAATTATATGAATATCTAGTGACACTTAAAAAAAAAAGATGCGGGATGCGCTCTAGACCCACTTTGATCTCATGAGTGTCCAGGTGACATTCATCATTGACCTGTCACTACAAAGGATGAACCCACGGATGCTGTAATGGCACTGGGATCCCATCAGTGATTGACATGACTGTACTTCCTGCCTGCCACCAAGTCATTTACAGAAAAATTTGATTTGTTTTTTCATTATTTTCTTGTATTTCACCCTGACTTTATTTCTTCAGGGTCATCCATGCTTCAATATAATCCTGCCTGCCCACTTAACAATCAACAACTAACATAAATTAAGATGTTAACATTTAGAAAATACCTTTGTATGTTCCTTTGTCTTAAGATATTTGATATTAGGGGAGACTTTGAATAAATATATGCATGGCGGTTAAGACATCCTTCCACTTTGTTTTTTGATCAATAACATTTTAACCTTTATTTTTACATGAAGACTCACTAAAATTCTTACTAAATGGTTATAAATTACTCTATCATTAATTCAGTCCAGGATTTCACCTATATATCCTACTGCATCTTTATAGTCAAATGAGGACACAAGTGTCTCCACTTTCTCTTATCTCACATTCCCAATAATATCTTCAGGTCAGTTTCTAAACACATATTTTTAAATACTAAACAAAAGCCTTGGCAGTTTAAAGTTACCCCTGAATAAAATCTGATTAGCTATATTTCAAGTTCTCCAGGAGAACTTTCGATAGGAACGGAGATCTGAATTTGGAAACCACGGGTCATGGATGAGTGTTGACACGACATTGATGGGGAGCCAATCCCCAGAAGCATTCCCCCTATAGGATCTGCGGGAATGCGGAACTGCTTCTCCGAATAATGACCCTGTGAGCTGGGGAGGACGATCTTTGCCACTCGCCAGCTGTGTGAGCAGTAGCACAGCCTGGTCTCCCACTGTTCTGAGGTGCTCTTGAAGGCAGGGCAGGGAGGAAGGACCACACCAGCAAGTCCTGTGATGTGGGCTCATCATCGCGCAAATGAGCAAGAAAACCACAAATGCGATCGTGTCTTTTTTCAGACAGCTAGTTAGAGTTGGTGCTGAGTAGAGTGTTAGATTTTATTTTTAAAGCCCCTCATCCTGAAGCTAATGCGTAGAGAAGTCTGAATTTAATAACAGAAGGAGAAGGCTAGTGCCAGTGCCAAAATACATCAAAGCACCCTGGGCAGCTGGCCAGCAGAGAGGGACTGCCGTGTGACTGTCCTGTCTTTCAGAGAGCATCCTATTACAATAAACACTGTGGGCCTCTTTGGAAGAGACCGAAGATGGAATTTTTAGCCTCACTTGCGAAACAGAAAGGAAGACCGTTTTGTCTCTTAATGAGGCTATGCTGCTGAATCTTTCTTCACCAAAGGGAAGCAGTTTAGTGGAACGGCTTACGCAATAACCACACTCAGTTTCACTGTATGCTATATAGAGCATAAGAGTTGATAGTATGGTGGGAAATATCATTAGTGCAATTTTATTATTGTACGTAATTTTCTAAATTAAGCTCCAATTACTTGGTAGTTTGGAGAAAATACTGAGTATATAGCTTGAGCGAGACAATCTATCTGGAGGATAGAATAAAAATTTAAAAAGCAGATATGGTCAGCTGTCTAGAGAATATAATCCACAGAGGGTAAAATAAACCTGGACTTTAATCAGAGTTGCAAAACTAACTCAATAGCCCATCTCAGGCAACTCTCATGAATTTGGTTCTCTATCACGTTACCTAGAAAAATAATCCTTTTGGAGGAGGCATATTCATATACTTCTTACATACTGCTAACTATTTCCCTCATGCTGAGTTCTTCATTAAAAAAAAAGTAAAGAAGAAGGCCCAGGCAGAGCTGTAATCTAGTTTACAAACGTGGACATTAATTTTCCCCATATCTTCTCTAATGCTTGGTTCATGAAATGTTCAAGTCACACCCCAGCTGATTACCCCAGCTGAAAGTTGGGTATGGAGGGTGCTAGCTTCCCCATCCTTCTGGCACTCTCCATTGCACTATCTCCTATGCTTGCTATTGATTTAATATTTTACCTCCCCTGCCAGAACATAGGTGTAGATCATGCCTAAGTTGCCACTCACATAGGGACACATAGACCATCTGTGACGTGAGCAGGTTGAATGACCAAGGATGCCATGTTGCCACCTTACCTCTATAGTGACTGCACAAGAGATCATAGGCTCTCATTAGCTTTTGGACTCCTTAAGAGAACTACAACTACTGCTAGTGGAGGTGACGCTTGTACAACATATGCCGAACAGGTTCATCTTGTAGACGATATGTCATCAGTTCTCTGCTTAAAACTTTCCAATGGCTTCTCTTCATACCCAAAATAAAATGCAAATCCTTTTGCTTTCTCTGCATGTTAGACTCTGCATGCCGTTCCCCCTGTGTTCCTCTCAACATATTCCCTACCACTTTCATCCTTCCTCTCTGCGTTGCAGCTCTATTAGCTGATTTTCTGTTCCCCTAAATGGTCGTGTTTGCCCCACCTCAGGGTCATCGGCTATCTATCTGCCTGGAACAATCTGTTCCAGATGTTCACACGCAGGTGCTGGTTTCTCCATGTCAGTCTTTACCTAAATGCCACCTTCCGTCACCACTCAATTAAATTCCCACCTTTCAACTTTTACCTCTTCACCTACATTATCTTCTTGCTATCACACGTACTATCAGTAATTATGCTGCTTATTTATTTGCTTGCTTATTATGTTTGCTTGTTTTTCCATTAGAGTAAAAGTGATAAATAGGCTGAGAATTTGTCTAATTCACCTGTGTTGCAGTGCCTACAGTGTATGTTTGGCACACAGAAACATCTTAGTCATTACTGCTTGTATAAATTAATAAGTCATTGAGTGAACATGAGAATGCTTTAAGCATCAAGTCTAAATAACTTACCAAAACAACAAAGCCAATTGAGTTAACAACCCAACAATTATGTGTGTCCCAAGTCATTTCCCATGACAGTTCTTGGCATGTTCATATTTTATGCTAAACAGCTTGTAGTTGCTCCGTCTTAAAGTGTCACCCATGTTATTTGATGGCCAAAATCATGATGAGGTGATTAAAGGAGAAATGAAGCAATACACCAAGAAATTTAAATTAAAATTTGGGAACCAAATATTTCTGATTATAGTCCAATATAAACTTTTCTTGAGAAGCACTTAAAAATACATCTCTGCCAAACTGATCTCACGGTCATCTCGGATTATAATATTGTTTACCATTACAGACAGGTGGGCTCCTGGGGTCTCTCTAGGTTTAGAATCCCAGGGTGAAAAATTGAGATTGTAAATAGTCTAGGTTCTCTCTTTTTATTCTTCAGCTGCCTCTCACACCATAAATTTAAACACATGTTGGCCTCACTTTTTACATTTTAATTATTTAATCTTGATTGTGTTTTTCCCGTTACCATGTAGCTCCCTTACACTCCACCCCTGATAGCCACCACACTCTTGGCCATGACCACGAGTCCTTTTTCCTTTTTGCTCAATCCTTCCACCCCCAACTCCCCTCATCAAGCCGTTATCTGCTCTCCATCTGTGAGTCTGCTCTAGACTTTTCATTACTTTTTTTGCATTTCTTGGTCTCTGTTATACAGGGAAATACCACACAGCAATATAAATATGTTATTCTTCCAGGAAATCACACCCCTGACATCACCCTACATCTTATGCTAATGATCAAGCCACAGGGTGACATGCCACTGACAACCTGAGGTGGGACAGAGAATCTTTGAGGGAAGTCAAAGAGGACTGCCTTGGGCACACAGTTTAAAAAGCAAAGTTTGGATAATTCATCCAAAGTAGATTGTGTTTGATCCCACATACACATGGTAATTCCAGCTAGTAACCACCTCATCCATTCATATTTACAGCATCACACTGGTAGACATGTAGAATTAAGTTACATATCTAACCTAGGATGGCTTTCTGGATACCTCATAAGGATATAAGGTCTGACCTCTTCAAACAACTGAACACACTTGGGAAGTGCCCCTACCTGTCTTTAAATAGTGCATCGTCAATGCCTTTCCTGCGGAGCAGATCCTGTGGGCCGTACGGCGTGTCTTTGCACTTAGAGTCTGTGTCGCAGAGGAGGGTTTGCAGGAATGGGAAGAAGCCGGTGCTAGGGAGGTTTCGAGGAGCAAGGTAGCCTGAAATGAAAAACAAACAAACAAACAATAATTACATCACTATGACGTTTGCCTGGGAAGAGAAAGAGAAGTAGTAACATTGTTTTGTGAAATTACCCTCTGCATTGTAACTGTTTGGGTCCCCTTTAATACCAGAAGTATTAAAAATGCCATGAATTCCTTTTGCTGGGATTTATTCTAAGGAAGTAGCTGCAAAAATGTTTTCTAGAGTGTCTTCAAAGCAAATTACCGTATATCTATATGATAGAAGACAATGCAATCAATAAAAATGTTGAATAATATAGAAACTGTTTATAATATATTGTTAATTAAAAATAGCAAGTTAGAAAAATGTATGACCAGAATAGTCCTAATCTTTTTAAAATGCATTAATATATGCATATACAAAATTCTTTAGAGATTTTTTTCCTCTAGGTAGTATATTTCATGTGATTTTTACTTTTAATTGACTATATATTAACTGTTTTTCCCACAATATATATATATCTTCCTTTATAATTAAAGTCATTATAAATGTAGCCAATCTTCCAGCAACCAAGAAATATTTTTGTTTTCAAAATTTAATATAATAGCAAAATTAATTATCCTATGCACACAGTATTTTTTCTATTTAAAAACCAATAATAATGGTGTGAATGAATATTCAGATTTTCCTCAATACTAATGTCACAGAAAACAAAAGCTATGAGAGTAAAGGGCTTTGAAACCTTTATTTTAACATTTGTTTTATGAAATATGAAGATGGCATACACATGAGTCAGGGCAATAGGCAAACTATGAAGTTAAAATCTTTCCGCAATTAGTTTTGGTATTGAAATTTTAGAGACCTCCTTTGGAAGGGGGGTGGGGCATGGGGACACTGAGCTTTCTAAAACAGCAGATTTAGAAACTGCAATTCCAAACTGAAGACTAAAAAGCAAAACTTTAATTTCCGCATGAATCTGTTGAAAAGAGTGTGTTTTCATTATTAAAAATGTCTGCTTTCACTTCAAAAAAGAAAGAAGAAAAAGTAAAAAGATACAGAAAAGAGTGACAATGCTAAGTATGAATTAATATATTAGCAGAGAGAATAATAAATAGATATCTCATTCGTGTAACTTGCATACAGATCCACACAAAGAAAGACAATTGGAGATAAAAGAGAAGAGTCAGCAGGGAAGTTTGCCCGAAGAGAAGAAGAGAGCGACATTGGAAGATGTGACACTGTTAACTTTAAAGGTGGGGAAGTGCCAAGGGTCAAGGAAAGTGGTGGCCGCTGGAAGCTGGGAAATGCAAGAAAACAGATTTTCCTGGATCCTCCAGGGCAATGTCTCCTTACAGACACCATAAGCGCTAAGAGTAAAGTTTGAACTTCTGACCTCCGCAACTGTAAAATAATAAGTTGGTGTTGTTTCTAAGACACTAAGTTTGTGGTGATTTGTTATAGCAGTCATAGAAATAACTAATACATAAAACCATACCAGCTGAAACAAAGGTTTGAAAATGCAGAAGAAATTAGAAAGACAAATCCACCTTACTATTCAGTACTTCCTTCCAAGCAGTTTCTGCTTCTGACACCAGAAAGGTCAGTGTCTCTCCTAATATTACACCCAAGTGAAAATTGCAGTGAACTTGGAATATTTTTATTGTAGTACATTCTCTTGCATAAGCTGGAGAATGGCAGTCAAATTGCCTGTTAGCATGTCACATCATCCCTCTCTAACAAAATTCTGCCCCAGTGAACTAACTGCATGCAGCGTGACCTTTACAATTCTGCAGTGGAATTTCATTCCTAATGGTATTCCACCCTGTTACACCAATCAAAACTGTGGCCGCTTACTCAGGGTGTGGGTTGGCAAATGGGCTTATTCCTATTCCATCCCTAACACGGGCAGTGGGTTTTTTAAGTGGATGGCAGATAGCAGGGCAACAAAAATACTGACCCCTCTGTTCTGTGCCACTTAACAAGGTGATGGTATGACTGAGCCCGGCAGTGCTGAAAACAGCAGAAGCTCAAGAGAAGCCATATGGTAACAGGAAGAGGAAGAGAAGGAAAATGTCATGGGAAAAAGACCTGGGAAGAGGCGGCACATTCCATCTGATTTTACTTTTTCTGACATTGATTACAATTTGCAAATTATTAGAAAAGACTGGGAAAGAACTTAAACCCACAATATTCTTTGCTGTGGTTAATTACATACATGTCTACTCGACAGGAAAATTCCTCTCAGGATTTTTTTAAAAACAAGTTCCCATGATCTTCAAAGTACAGGCTGTATATACTTTGTACAACTATATAGATAATTGATATTCAACCAGCCATAATGGGTTTATGCAAATGAGGGATTGGTTTGGATGTGCACAAGTTTCGGTTAACACCGTGCCATGCAGAGCATGGACTGCCTGCATTGTTTATTTTACCACCTTTTTTTTTTCAAGAACCATACACTCATTAAAGGCAAAGAGACCTGTTGCAGCAACAATAGCACTGATTTATTAAGCATCTCCTGTATTCCATACGCTGTGCTAGGCATGTAACATTCATTTACATCACCCATCCTTCTTTGATATCTCTAGTATATTTTCTCACACACATCAACTTTTCACAAAACCTACAAATCCTCTAGAACTAAGGCAGAATCAACTCATATTAAACTCTGTTGAAGCTTTCTTGTAAAAAAAAATGCATTTTCAATCTGGTGCATCTCAGTTCTGTGTGCAAGGGAGTAGCCACTCAGCGCAAGGGTGGAATGAGACCCTCACACGTTTGAGAGAGCTGCTAACACTGAGCTGAACTCATTCTATCCTGAAGGTGTCTCTGGCACTTTCAGGTTTTAAAATTACATTCCTCTTTCTATCCTCTATCCTAGGACGCAGGGAACAGAAAAGCATTCTTTATCCCTCACCGAACTTCCATGGGTCAAGCATGAATCATGCAAATTTAAGGCTCATAATTGGTTACCCAAATTCACAGCCAGAGCACAGGTTTAAGGGCACAAATAAAGGTTGTAACTGTGCAAACCACAGCACTACTTGCAGGAAGGAGGGGGGAGGGGGGAATGTCAGGATCTTGGGATGGCGTGTTTAGGCATGATAAAATCCTTGGTATCATAATTTCCAAAGGTCTCACACCCAGGACAATATTTATCCCATCTCTAGGAGAAAAGCTACTGAAGAACTTGCAATATCATGGGGAAATTAGAGTCAGAAGACTCCAGTGTAGTCTGGGAGTGAGATGGGCTAGGTGAGGAGCAAAATTCCAAGCTCTTATGGCTTAATTTTTTTATGGGCTCCAGGCAGAGGCAGTGAGGTTATCTGAGGAGTCACCCATGGGAGGGGAAAGGTCACCCTCATTAAATGGATACAGTCAACATTATTGACGCAGAGGAGTAATGACATTGAAAGAAACCAATGTTATTTCAGGGAGTTGAATCAAACCAGACTATAAAATATTTTTAGGAACAAACTCTCAATGACCTAAGAGTTCAACTAAATCAAATTTATTTTTCATTAAGAATGAAATCAGCCTTACAAACAGATCCAGTTCTAAAGATTTTTTCAATAGAAACTTGGTAAACAATTGTGATATCAAGCAAACATCTATCTTTACCTAAGAGAGAGAGCAAGCTTGATTACCCTTTCTCTCTCTGCACACAAGCCCTCCTCATTCAGAACAATCTTAGTGTGACATAATGTAAAGACTGGAGCAGTGATTCTAAAAGTGTGGTCCCTGGACCAACTGCATCAGCATCACATGGAACTTAGTAGATATGAAAATGTGAGATCCCACTCTAGGTATGCGTCATCAGAAACTGGGGCAGGGCGGCAATCTTTATCTTAATAAGCCCTCCAGGCAATTCCCTTGCATGCTAAAGTTTGAAAACAACTGGATTCGACTGCAAACTTCTTCATAAGAGCCAGAAAGTAAATATTTTAAGTTTTGGGCTACATACGATCGATCTACTGTCTCTGCCACAATTCCTCCACTGTGGCGTTGTATCATGAAAGCAGCCACAGACAACATGTACATCCATGGGCCTGGCTGTATGCCAATAAAACGTTATTTACAAAAAAGATCATAGGCTGGATTTGGCCTACTGGTTGTCCTTTGTTGACGTTTGGAAGGATGACCTTTCCTCACACTCATTACGTTCCCTCTCCTGCCTTGTGCATTTTTTGTTCTCACTCCTGTTCCTGCTCTCTCATCTCATCTAATCCACTGACTACCCCCTTTCCTCTATTCCCTATCTTTTTTCTTTGCTTTCCACTCACCACCTCCTTCATTTACTGCTTCCAATTTCCCTTCTCTCTTCCTTCTGCTCCTCCTCCCTGTCACCTCTCTATCTCTTACCCATCAATGCATTCTTCCAACATCCTCCTTTATTCCTTTTCCTTTTTCATCAGCAGAGAAGGATTTTTTTACCCACTTCCATAATAAATTCAGGAGCACATTGTCCATCATCGTTGTCTACAGAAGTGCTACTTTCTGTTTATTACATTATTAAAGAAAGAAATATCACAGTCTTTTCAGTAATGAAGCCACTTCCATGTGACACCATTAGGCTCAGGAAGCTTTCTGTAGGTTGCCTGGGTGACATCTGTAGATATTACAGTAATTGTAGAATTGGAGAACTTCCACTGTGTTTCTTTGTGTTTTTATCAAAGCAAGTCAGAACACAACCTAGGTGGTATTTTTGTGTTTCCAGGTGAAAAGAATCTGGTCTTTATTCCAGTGAAGACATAAATGAGAAATCTTAAAAGGAAATCTGGCTTTTTAAAAATATGAAGTTATTCATGTGGGGATTATATTTTTCTTAAGTTTTTTGGATGCAGAGTCACATGGGCAAAATAAGTATCAAGACTTCTAATCAGACAAATGGTAAGACTCCTTGTTAAACACCACACCAAAAAAGAAAATTGCCATCATAACAAGAATACAAAATGAGATGAACATGTCCAGAAATGTCATCTTCAAATACTCAGGTAACCAGATATGAATAAAGAAAATATGGAAAAAGAAA